GATTGCACAGACTGACTACAAGCAGCGGCATGACAAAGTAGCAACAATGGTGCATTGGAAGATCTGCAAAAAATATCATTTGCCTGTAAGCAAAAACTGGTGGGATCATAAAATAGAGAAAGTCATAGAAAATGATAAAATTAAACTGCTCTGGGACTTCAGAATTCAAACAGACAAGCACCTGCAACATAACACCCCAGACTTAACAATTGTCGATAAGAAAGACAAAAAAGTCTGGATAGTGGACGTGGCAGTGCCTGGAGATAGCAGAATAGAAGAGAAAGAACTGGAGAAGATAACAAAATACAAAGACCTACAAATAGAAATAGAAAGACTGTGGCAAAAGCAAGCAAGGGTAATACCAATAGTAATAGGCTCCTTGGATGCAATCCCAAAACAACTGGAGCACCACTTGAACACCATTGGCATTGACAAGTTCGCTATTAGTCAATTGCAAAAGGCAGCCTTACTAGGAACTGCTTCCATCCTGCGATGATACCTGTATACCATCAAACATCCACATCTGCCTATCCCAGGTCCTGGGTAAGGACTTGATAGGTAACAAAATGCCAAATCCAGTCTGAACATCTGGCTGACTGTGCGATGATCCATAATAATAATAATGATAAAGTTGGAAGGGACCTTGGAGGTCATCTAGTCCAACCCCCTGCTCAGGCAGGAAACCCTATACCATTTCGGAAAAGGATAAATAGAAAAGGCCAATAGAAAAGACAGTTTTGAAACTTTATATGAAACTATGGTGACTTTCATGGGTGTATGTTTGTATTAGAACCAGGAAACCTTGTTGAAAGTGTCAGGATCTTAACACTAAAAATAATAGATGTAGTTTGAAAGAAAAAAACAAAGAGAAAGCAACTAACAGCTAAATCAGCATGAAGAATTTTTCAGTTTAGTGATAACTTTTCACTTCACACCTACTCTGACATTTTTGTAAACTCCCCGCCCCCAGCCACTTTAATATATTTGAAACTTTTATATATCCAAATTGGAGTACAGCCAAATCAGTGAAAATAAGACAAGCTAGCTCTTTCTATTTAATCTCACAAGCAACAACATAACAAATTTCCTGTTCTAATCCCAATTCTATAATTGTTTCCCTCTTTTCTCTTAGCCAGACATTTAATCTTCATTAATATATATCCCTCCCTTGTGCCTAAACTTGCATCCAGCTCTGGGAGTGAAGAGATTGAAGGGCTATAAAATTTGACCAAGAAAAGTAATTTCTTTGTCAATCACTTCCATGGATTATACATACTTCCCCACAACTCAGATTTGCTATGATGCCCTGGGGGGGGGGGTGAATCTCCAAAGCTGTTAGGACCATTTTAATATATCCTTATCAATTATAAGAGTCCTGACAATTTTCTTGGTGGTCTCATTTTTTGGGAATTTTCCTTACAGCAGCATAGCTAGTAACAAAAGTTTTTAATCATTTATTCAGTAAATTATTAACTGACTGATTTACTTGTAGGCTACCCATTCCCATAGGCTCTAGGCAGTTCACAATACAAACATATAAACACTACCCTAGAAATCCCCAAATACATTTAAGCGAAAAATAATTAAAAAACTAAACATCAAAAAATACATGTGTTTGCAACCTCACCTTCAAATCATGGATTACTTTCCTTCTGTGCAAGACTGAACAGGTAAATCTTCAAAGTTTTTCTGAAGCCTAGGAGACATGACAGTGAATTTCTACTAGGAGGGAGCTATGAAGAGTGAGGACAGCTACTGAAAATGTATGCTTCCAGGATTCCACCAAGTGATTAGTGATGGGATTTGATCTGATTAGATAGGCAGATGAATATGGGAGAAATTGGTCCCTAAATAAACAGTCATTTATGGTCTTAAATATGACAATCAACACCTTGAATCATCTCAGAAACCAATTGGTAACCAGTACAGTTTCCAAAGCAGTGAGTTACACGGCTTGGGACTTTTCATTCTGCAATCACTGTAATTTCTTCATGTTCTTCAAGACAGCTCCACGTAGCTTGCCTTACACTGGGGAAATTATTAGGGCCTGGGTGACTGTGAGCAGGACTTTGTAGTCCAGGAAGGGTAACAATTGGTGCACAAGATGTTACTATGCAAAATCCCTCCTGGCTACTGTTGCTATCTGCATTTCAAGCAGAATCTGTGAGTCTAGGAGACCTCCCAAATTGCAGACTTCCTCTGAAGGGGGAACTATAAGTCTTCAGAGTCAAAGATGGAATTTCCCAGGAATTGTTAGGCTCCCAAACTCCCCAATCACTTCATTTTGGAAAGATCCAATCCCTTAATTTGTGATTTTACATCAGACAGCATTCACTCTTTCTTATTAATTATATAGGATTCAGATGTTTTTGATGGAAAAAAAGTTTACTAAAGGAAAACAACACATACCATTTAGACAGATAGAAAGAGAACTAATCCACTTACAACAATTTGTTTAGTGACTGTTCGAAGTTACAACGCCACTAAAAAAAAGTGACATATGATCATTTTTCACTTAGGACAATGGCGGCATCCTCATGGTCATGTGATTTACACTCAGATGCTTGACAACTGGTTCATATTTATGATGGTTGCAATTTTCCAGGGTCACCTTTTGTGACTTTCTGACAAGCAAAGTCAATGGGAAAGCCAGATTCATTTTACAATGGAGTTATTAATTTAATAATTGCAGCAATTCACTTAACAAATGTGGCAAGAAAAGTCATAAAATGGAGCAAAACTCAACACATTTCTCACTTAGCAACATAAATTTGGGGCTCAATTATGGTTGTAAGTCAAGGACTACCTGTATAGGGTTCTAAACAATATAGTAGGAAAGAAAAAAGAACAGGAGAAATAAAGAAGAATAACCAAGAAAAGATATTTTCAGAAATTAGAGAAACATATTTACCTGGGAATCAACTCTACTGAATTCAATGAGATTTATAGTTGAGAATATGTGCAGAAGTGGGTTGATGATGATGATGATGTCTATTCAGCCATGTCCAATTCTTGGTGATTCTATGGGCCAGCTCTCTCCATATCTTCTGATCTTGCACTACTTCTTTGAGTTATTCTATGCTCTGGCTGGTGTCACCTTTGATGGTGAGAAATGGGTTACAAATACTCAAAATCAAAGAGGAAGAAAAAGCACATGGTGAAGCAAATGAGAGAGGAAAAAAATAATATGAAGCAGAGAAGCAAGAACAAGAAGTGGCAAGTTCTGCATTTCCAGCAATGGCTCATCTTGCTTCTGTAAACAGAAGTGTACCAGACACCTGGCAAGTGGGACAACTGGCTTGGGCAGGGAGGAATGGCTGTAGACATGGATGAGCAGAAATTTTAACAATTACTTCTCTCGACACTCATATCTACCAGTTGGGTTTGACATAGTAAGGTAAATCATAATCATTGTTTACTAATATACCAGTTTCTTCACTAAAGCAAAAAAAAATGATGGTTTACCAAGCAATTGAATAGGCATACTAAACCAAAACTAAATAAACCATAAATAAATAAAAGAGGAAAAATCAGTTTCTTGGTAAACCTGCAACAATGTGTATTTGTCTTCAGATGGCATTACTGTTCTGTGCTCATGTGTTAAGTGCAATGTCTTTCCACGTTGACAAGTCAAATTATTCATTATACCAAGAACAGTTTTAACCAATATCAGAGATGCAAGCTTCAACTTGAGGTTCACTCCAGGCTTTGAATGGTACATCAAAGTTCACACACTAAAAGTGGGTGGAGACATTAGAAGAAATTCAAAGACTGAAAAGGATGCCTTAACATCTGCAAATCTTAATGTAACAATTTCCTTTTAACTCCTTCAATTCTTAAAAATGCAAAAGGACCACTGAATTTTGGACCCACACATTTTGAGAAAGCTGTGAAGTCACCAAGGGATGCTGGGGAGTAGGCATATTTCCTTGCTTGTATTTCAGATTTGGTCACCTAAACTGAGATATAAATTAATCAGCTAGCATTCAAAGACTTCTGGTAGAGTAGGAAATGCAACTAACTGTGGACCAATTGATGAATAATGGGAAGTACTTTGTAGTAGGAGTTACTTGTCTATTGACCTAAACATTTTTCTTAAGAATATAAGATTTCTTCCCATTTTTTTCTTAACATGTTCAGTTAGCAGTCTTCTCTCCTCATCCCCCTTCCCTTCCCTTCCCTTCCTATCAATTAGACAGTTCCTCTTACATCCAGATTCCCCTTCCCTTTTCCCTCCTCCTGCTGGGAAGAGAAGAGGAAGTAGATAGTTGTGTACACTTGGGTGAGCCTGTGTGTAGAATGGATTGAGTGTGAAGGAGACAGTAGCATCTGCAGGATGCTTAACTTTAAAAAGTTAAGATGGTGGCCATAATATTGCCATAAAAGCAGACACTCCCAGAGAGAAAGAATAACTGGTATATTTTGATAGGAATCAATTACTGGGATAGCTAACATCCCTCATCTTACACACAGCTAGTTATATTTATTTTAATCAGTAGTTATTTAATATTAGTGGGCAATTGTCCAGGCCCTGTTCTTTTTTACATTGCTCATATAGTTGTTGTGAAATGAATTAAAAATAAATAGTTCACATAAACACATGCTTATATGCATGTAAATATAGAATAATACATGTGTTGGGGGTGGAATCTTTAAGAACTCAATCTTACATCTGGAATATGTAATCCTAGATTGAAAGACCACTGAACTCTCACTTCTTGGTATCAAGAGAGGTGTGTAATAAAATTAACAAATTTCAAACATTGGCAGTCATAAAAGTCAGATCCTATATTGCACCATGAAGCACAAGCTTATGTAAGTCCTAGATTTATACAATGCCAGGAAAAGAGCTTGTGAATGGACGAGTTCCGGCTAGCATGTTAGAATACATTTCTAAGGGGCAATCCTTTTATTATTTTCCATTACTTTTAACAATGTTACATTTAACATCTAAAGGATGGACCAATTTATTATAGTATAACATTTTGTGATTATAGAGTGCTTTGTCAGATAATACAGTACAATATAATCCCCATGAAGTGGAATAAATTAAAGCTTGTGCAAAAATGTGTTAGTTTTTATAGTATTATAAGTCTATTTATTCATTAACATAAATCAACAGTAGTACAGCAAAATGCTTTCACAAATCAAGCTTTTTTTTATCCTGCTATCACTTCTATCACCCCTTGGAGTTTTATATATTTATAATGCAATGGCCGTTAGCTAAAAGAAAGAACAATTCTAGTAACATTTCTACAGGCAGTTTACAAGGCAAATTAAATTCATGTTCTTCCTATTGCCTGAATGTTCTGTAATGCATTTACAAAGCCTGTTAATAGTAATGTATATTTAAAAAGCAATGTTCTAGTTTTTCTTTAGCATGAAAGAGAACATATTTTAGTGTGTCCAAAAGCCTAAATAAACACTTAGCTGGGAAAAAGTGAAGCGTTATAATCCCATACTTTCAATAGCCTGATAAAATCTATTGATAGCAGAATTATTTCAGAAGATTCTTCAGGAAAAACTCAATCTTACATAGATGCACATCACAGTGCACTAATTAGTGTGCAGCTTGTTAATGAGACAAATTGAAAAAAAGTTCTGCAATATACTTACTTGTGCTGAAAGCTGCACTTCCTAAATGGAGACCTCATGCCAACAAATAGTATTTCCGTTTCTATGAATGTTTAAGCCCTTTCTTATTTACTCCTTTTCTTAGTAAAAAATCTTAATCTTCCTCAGCCATAGGCTACAATTTACAGATTCTGGTAAGACGGAGGAGAAAATTTGCAAAAAGATTTAACAGTCTAACTGATCTGTTTTTTTCCTTTTTCTAAATGTGCGTTCTCTTCCTAAAACAGATCAGCTTAAACAATAAAAAAGGAAACGTGTTTGAAACATACTGTAATTAGAAGTGGTTTCCTGTAGCCGTTTGCAGTTGTGACACAAGAAGCAGATGCTCGGTGATTGTTGGTTGACCATGACACAGTTTGTTGTTATTAATTTGGCAGTTGTATTCCTTTTGCAACTGAGGCCATAAAATTTGGCTACAGCATGAAGAATCTGTTTTTGTACTACATTCTTCAGGGACATCATTCATTGAAGTTTAGTAATGAGTTAGATTTCTCACCATTGTTGATCTTTTGTTGAAATAGTAAGTTATGCTAGATGACTTTTCAGGGCCTTTTCCAACTTCTGGTATAATGGACTTTCTATCACTCAGGACAGCAGAAAACAATACCCATAATACTGTCTCTATTTCCAGGCTCTACCCTGCATCGATCGTGAGTCCTGATTTTGATGTCCTGATTTTGTGTGTTCAATATGTGGTAGGCAAACTGATAGGTTGAGTCCTTCAACTTTCTTCAGCACATCATTAACGGTTGTCCCATTAAGAGATTTGTCCCAGAATCATTTATAGTGGGGTTTTTTTAGCTTTTTATAAAGTGTATTTAAAATTAGAGATTATTATTATTTCTTATGTTACTGGAGTATGCATGTGAGGATGCAAATACTCAGGTAAGATTCAAATTAATAAAGTCACAATCATCAATTTTATGCACATGTACATACATACCCATTAAGTTATGTCAAGTATAGATTGCAAGTAAAATAATAAGCCAAAGAAATTAGTGGTATGAGTTTTTTAAAAAAAGAAAACAAATCTGGTTTACACCCATACCAGTCACTATATCCATACATATCTGCAAACATTTTTACTTCTGTCATGTACATATACTACTTCATATGCTGCCTTTTATTCATTAAAATTCCCACTACTCTCTTTTTGAGGAACTAAATAGCTCCCTCCAATCATAATTTTCTTGTTCTCCCTCTTTACCCATTTACTCTTCCTTTGATTTTGTTTTTTTGTTTTTTTTTTGCAATTGATCCTCATTCATTTCCTCTATAACAGCCATTTGTCCGAAATGGTAGGGTTTCCTGCCTGAGCAGGGGGTTGGACTCAATGACCTCCAAGGTCCCTTCCAACTTTATTACTATTACTATTACTATATGTCTGAACTACCTCAGTGTGCTCCTTTTATATTGCTCACTCATTGGCATTCTGGTTTTTACATTTTAGTTTTATTTATTAAATTTCAGTGACATTAAAATTACATAGTAGTTTGTATTCACGTTGCTATTTAGAATTAGCATTCCCGCTTGCATCTCATTCAGAATCATTTTACTACCCTAGTATAATTTATGTACATGAAAGGAGAAATATATGGGTTCCATAAACAGTTATATTAAGGTTATTTTTCTTTTTCTATTTCAGTGTATGGCCACTTCCCAATTCTATTTTTGAGAACATTTCCTTTTTATACTGGAAACAACACAGCAAAGATATATATAAAAAAACCAAGATCAAAGCAGAGTAGCACTCAAAAAACATTTGTACGGGGAAAGGAATAAATAAAAATAGGATTCTTCTATTATATTGACAACTTATGACTTACAAAAATACTGTTAATATAAAGGCGTACAGAGATAATTTTTGACAATAAATCTGAACAAAAAAAAATCAAAGTGATGAAATAAATAGTATAGACTTCTGCCATTCTCAGTGTCAACATTTTCTAATCTTATCAGTGAAGTGGACATTGATAAGAGATATAATTATGAGCTATATTCAGTTCAGAAACAAGAAACAAAATTGCTATTGAAGGTGGAATATCACATTCTTCGTAAATAGAAGTACTATAATATAAAGCATCATTAAAACATTTGGAGTACTGTATTTATTTTAGTAACATAATAGCAAATAGAGGAATTCTGCATTAATAGCATTATTTCACATTATTAGAAACAGTTTTGGAGATTTAAAAGAACTGTTGTTAACTTGGGGAAAATGAAATTTCAATATACCATATTTATTCTAAGATTTCATTATGAATAGTAGAAGAACACATCTAACTGGAAAATTGAAAAGACTCTGAATTAGTGTATGCATTATTTTCTTTCCATAATAAACAATGTTTTCAAGAAAGGACTGGGTGGGTTTGCAGAAACTGAAATATATTTTGTGATTTCTATTTTTTGATATTTTAGATGCAAGTAAGTTTCTCCCATTCTTCTTCATCCTTTAGTAGAAGTCCTTATGGAATACATTGCATATATAGATTTACAAACAGTCAAATCAGAAATGACATTATTTTACTTCGAAAACTAATATACTGGAATTTTGCAATTCCTAAAGCGCCTTAAAGGTGCTTTTTCAAAAGGCAACTGGACTTTGTTTTTCCTTAAAATGAAGACATTTCTTGGATGAGAAGTGAAATGTCTTCAAGAAAAACGAAGTCCACTTGCCTTTTGAAAAAGCATCTTTGGGACAACCATGACCTGGATGACTGAGAATCTCCATAGACGTCCTAAAGCATTACTTCTGAAAATGTTTTCCCCCATGTTTCATGAATACAGGGAAGAGAAGAATTAAGAAACACCATACGTTTGCATTTTTTCTCATGTGTTTCTGACATTTAGAAATATGCAGTAGGCATAGGCATTATCTTCTTATGACATGTTTGATATTTAGAAATAAACAATAGGCACAGGCATTATCTTCTTATGACATGTTTGATATTTAGAAATAAACAATAGGCACAGGCATTATCTTCTTATGACATGTTTGATTCATTTCTTCTCTTTATCTGTTATTATTGTGAATTATATTATTATGTATACTAATAAATTTTGGAACAGTGAAGTCTTTTTGCTTAAATCATTTTCTAGTCTAACAGGTGGATGACAGAGGCATTTGAAAGGTACGTACTGCTTGCATTCATGCACGAACAGTGACAGCAAGAAATTGTACTATTCCCACAGGTATGTTTGATGAGTTCATCAAAAAGCTCTTGCAGTTCAGGTATCATTTTTTTAAAAATTCAATGGACTTCTTGCCAATGACTTGAGGAGGAGATGTTTATCCTCTGCATGACATTTCAGTGCCAATGCATTGTATTTAATTCCAATAAGTGTTTCTGAACAACTATTGTGCAGGTTAATACATGTGTTTTGAGAGGGCAGGAGGCCCTTTTACAGTAGAATGATTGTACTTTACATGAATTAGATGTATTCTTATTCAGGTAGTATATAAACAAATGACACTGGGAAGACACCTTTTCTGTGAGGGTATCCTTCAATCCTGCCATGCTGAAAAAATAAAAGAAAAGCCAAGATTTTTAACAGACAGCAGGAACCGTGCACAATAATTAGAAGCTAGTTAAGAAGATATACATGCTTATCAGTATTTCTGATCCCATCATTTTCCACATATTGGAATAGAGATATATTGGATCAGGGGTCCCCAACCTAGTGGACCATGAGGGAATTGCAAACGGGCCATGGAAAAGGCCAGCGAGCCCATGAGCACATGCACATATCCTCACTTGACCGAGCAGAGGGCAAGTATGTGCATCTGTGCTTCATTTGCGTGAGCGGCAGGTGCACATGCACATCGCTCATGCAAATGGAGCTGTATGTGCATGCGCTTGCCGACTGCTCACTCAGAACCATCCCCTCTCCCCTCCCCCGCTGGTCCACAAATCCGGAAACATTGGGGAACTCTGCATTAGATGAGATGAGTCTGTACCTAACACCTTTAATGCTTATCTTGAGCTTCATTATACCTTTTATTTTTGTAGCAGATCAAGAATTCTGAATACTGCCAGGCAACTAAATTTATTTACCATTTTTAGTTTCCCACAATGGTTTTAATATAACATTATTCTAAGGCATAACTGAAAATTAATATAATTCTTGGAAGACTTTTTGAAAAGTTAGTCACCATCTAAAAATAGATGCTAAGTACCCAGAATATTCCAGTGCCTACTGGTGCCTAATATATACCCACCATGCTATCCATTGCCCAAAATAGACCCAATGACTTAGTAGGAAAACTCTTATAGGCTCCTTCACAGAGTCTTTGTCCCAAACCTGAAGCTGGTCTTATGGGATGTGTTCTGTGCTCAATAAGGAATTCCCAATAATAATAATAGAGAATCAAATTGACACTTACCCACCAGTTGGAGTCCTCTTGTCCTTCTACTATAATAATTTCTCCAGCCTTGAAAGTGAGCTCATCTTCATGATCAGCCTGACAATCATAAAGGGCTCTGACACGATGCAGAAAGGATGTATTCTGCCATAAGCAAACAGTTTACCATAAGCAAAAAGCTTAAGAGTACGGGTCTTGTATATCACATAGAATTGCAAAAGCTAATCATACAAATATAAGGCAAATAAAAAGAAGTGTTCAGAACAGTAGATATCTTTGGGTTTTTAAAGATAATTTATATATTTCTGCATGTGTCTCATGCATCCATATACCCAAGCTGATTAGATTTTTATTGATACCAGTTTATGAAAAGAAATCTCAATCATATTGTGAAGAAGACCTAAACATGTAAGATGAGACCATCACACAATGAATTTCCTAATTGCTAAATATTTCAATGCACATAATCATACACTGTGGTATTATCTATTTTTTAATTGGTATTGAACAGTTAATTGCCCCAAAACCTATCTGAATATGGGTTCATATATATTTAGATAGTATCTAGGATATTCTGTATCAGAAGAAGATAGTTACCTTAATCCATAAATGGGTATTCTAAGCAAAAATAACCTCAGAATATTAAGTTTAAGAACATACCATATATCCCCTTTTTGGTAGTGGTGGAGGAATGTCATCTGATGATTCAGGAGATTGAGAAGAAGACCAGTGGTTCTCTCTTGAGTTTTGGTTTGGCTCAGAGGCAGCTGCAATGTAAAAAGATATGTCATTTTCAATTTTGGATAACCTGAGTGATTATGCAGAATGCATGCTGGTGTGTTTAATGCTGTGCAGTTTTCACTCTGATTCAATATTATTTGTATAGCATATGCTTCCCATACAATATAGGACACATAATGGATCACTTCTGAAAGAGTGGATTCTTCTGAAAGGAGAAAGGAGAATGAACACTTGATCCACTCCTGAGTTATAGAACCAGTGTTGTTGGTTGAATATCCTGGTGCCCTTAACAGTTGCTGTATCATTGCTGAGTTCCTGAGAAATAGAAAGTTATTGTTTGCAAACAACAGAAAATCATAACTTTCTTCTATTCTTCACTGGTCAGGTTCTTGCTTGTGTTCGGTTCTAGGCATATTTAAATAAAGATTGAGAGAAACTGGAGCAGGTTTAAGGAAGGGGATAGAGGGGAGGAGGGGGAGGGAGAGGGAGAGAGAGAGGGAGAGAGGGAGAAAGAGAGAGGAGGCAATGTTTGTTGGGATGTATTAGGATGATGCCCAGAAATGGGCACTTGAAGCTTGACAGAATGCAAATTAAATTTTTAGTTACCTTATTTTATGGTAAGCTTATTTGTCACAATGTGATGAACCTAATGCCAATATCTATTCCCTTCATGATAGTATGCTCTGTAATATAAAGCTATAACTTTATATTTTCTGGGAGGGTCAGAGGCCCCATTTATTTTTTCTCTCTGAAGTTTGCTGTTTGTGCCAAAAAAACCTGATAACTGTTATGATGAGAAGACATAATTCTACAATATTTTGAGACCATAAATCAATCATCGTTGAAAACCAGTTCTAGTGACCCAAAAGTGAGTAGCTGGCAGGAGAACTAATCCTGAAGAAGATGGGATGCAAACCAGTCCCATGAACCTCAAATAACCACAAGCTATTTAGGATGCTGGCACAGACAGAATATAATAAATGTGACTGGACAAAACAAGGACACACTTTGTGCTGGAGGATTTATTGTGGCTTTACGCAGATATTCGCAGAGGCTTGCCCACCACACTCTATAGTGTAATGATCCAAACGGATTCATAGTTTTCAGCCCATCCCTCCAGGAGCAAATTGCATGCATCCAAACAACACAGGAAATAGAACTACCCTGTAGACCAGGGCTTTTCAACCGGTGGTACCACTGGTGGTACATTGACACTTGGCAGGTGGTATGTGGCCCTGCCCAGCCTAGCCAAGTGTAGCAGGGGAGGGAATGAGCCAAAGCGGCGCAGCCCAGGATTTGCCGTGAAGAAAGTCCTCAGGAGCTGCAGGGCTGCTGGGACGAGACAAAGGCCCCAGGATCAGCACTTCCGGCTGTACACCATAATCTCAGTGTCCTCATAGCTGGTGGGCCTCAGGAGATATTATAGTGATTGTTTTGCTTTTATTGTCTTGAGGATTGCTGGTTTTAAACATGGGAATGACATTATACAAGAAATCTAAAGTATTTATTGTGACTGAAAGAAATCAGATTTGAAGTGCAAAATGTGTTTTGGAAGGGATATGTAGCATCTATCAGAATACTTTAAAGCAGTCAGGATTACCTTTATATGGCAGTAACCACTTTATCCCAGGGAAAAAAATGTTCTTTGATATGTTCCACCTGTAACTACTCAATTTCCAAATCAGAGATTTTGATCAAAATTAGTTATCAAATATATAGTTTATAACATTATTATTTTTGGATAAACTGTGAAGTAGGTGACCTTCTGTGTTTAAATAATTTGATAAATATTTCTGAGCTTGGATGGGAAAACTTTTCCCTATTAATTTCTACCTGCTAACTTTGCAGTTTATAGCATTCATATAATTGCACTTTCCATAGCACTTATTTTCATAATGAGAAAACTTTTTAAAGTATTTTTTCCATCTTCCTCCCCCACCATACAGGAAGTTATGTAAATTGACGTTTTTCACAGCTGAAACGCCTCCCTGAAGAAAGAGATAACAATTCTCAGTTACAACTAAATAGTATATTTAAAACAAACTCTCTTACCTTGCTGCCAGGAATCCACCCCTTCAGAGAGTTCAGATGGCTGAGAACTGAGGGAAATAATGTAGGTGGAGAGGAAGAGGGAGAGGAAAATTATATACATGCATACATACAAACATACATACATACATACATACATATATACTGTATGTATGTTTGTATGTATATGTATATATAGTTGAATATATACATATTACTTATTACTTGCTATTGAACATTTCTAAATGATAGCCTCTGTCTAGATATTCCCAGTCTAGTGCAAAGTAGCTTAAATTTGCATTTACAAAATACCCTTAAGAGATTTCCACAGTCCCAGCTGGTAAAAAAAAGATCAGTGATAATGACTATTTTGGCCAGAGTAACTTTTATATTCCCATTACCTCAGGCACAATCAACATAAGACTCTTAGTCTCTATTCAAAACTAGGATGTACCCTCAGAGCAAACCCAACTTCAGGCAGGTAGCATTATTATTCAGTTCTGCATATCACATGTACACAATTACCTCAAACTCCTAGGAGAAGCTCCTTCTGGAGAGCAGCGCCTTGGAAGCGAGAAAGATCTAGAATCTAATAAAAAACAGAATCAAAGCTATTTTTCTCTCTTATGAAGTGAACTTTGTCTAATGAGTCAGAAACATAGTAAAACCAGTGTCAAAAGCAGCTGTTCCACAGGAGTAGATTTTCCACTTGAGAAGTGATTCAGTAGGCTCTCTTACCATCAGAAGGGCTGTGATTCAGTGGCGTAGAAGGGAGAGGCTCTGAGGAGGTCCGCTTATGCCTAATGGTCAGAGGAGGAGGCATAGCTCTTTTAGCTGCTGTATCTACAGGATAGACATAGTTGCTGGTTGGGGGTAATGGAGGAGAGAAGCTGGGGGCTGAGAAACAAATTCAATTACAGCAATCTTAATAAAACTGTAAGAAGCAAATAAGGAGAATAGGTTAATCATATCCTCAGACTCATCTACTGTGTTTATATTAAAGCATAAGTGTGTTGTTTTACAAAGATTGCATTAAATATTAAAATAGATTAGTACTAAAATTAACATTTTTTAAAAAAAAAATGGTATAATTCCAAGACTATACCAAGCATTGTCTTACCTCTGGGGGCATTACGTGGTGGCAATGGAGGGCCTGGACAGGCAGAAGTGGGAGGCGATGCTGTTGCAGCAGATCTATAGCCATGTGGTGTGGCATATAAGTCATGGCACTTGTCCTGGGATGCTGGACTGGTTCCTCTGAAAAAGTCGGCTGGATTCTTCCATGACTGAGAGGTTGGCCCAGGAAGATTGTAGCAGCTTTGCGGGCGATGAAAGCGATCTTTTTTCACCAGCCAGGGCTGAAACATACAAGCAGATTACATTGCTAGAAAAGTGAAGTTAAAAATAGTATTCTTTATATTTGTATATTTGTAAAACTGCTACATTCATTATTACATTTGGGACCATTGTATTAGGAAAAATATCCCCTTTAAAATGATGATTTAAATATATAGTAACAGGTAGTCTATCTGGAGCACAAGTTTTGGATGAAAATCTGTGAGTGGCATCTTAACCACAGAATGAAATATGCTTAAGGCCCCTGATATTCAATAACAAAAACATAATGCAAGACTATGGCCTTGGAATATCAAAATAGTCTAAGAAATTAGGCAGGACCTCATTGATTTTATAATTCAGTGACTGTGATAAATATCTATGTAGTTTTCCTGGAATTGATATCAGAAAATATATCCAATAAAAGGTCAGTAATCTATTAATAAGGTACCAAATCTATACCATATCAATTAAATAATTATAGTTACAAATTTCAACCTGACCAGAAGTGACGAGATCTTACCTTTTCATCCAGTTCATCATCACTTTCAAACATCTCCTCTTGGCCTGGCTGCCACTCATATTCAACATGGGCACGCATATTGAACTGATTATTTTCAGCCTGCAATAGCTGGAAGATACAGAACATCTCTGCTCATAATGATATTGCGCGAGGAAAATTCCAAGCATGTCTAACCCCACTGGACTAAATCTGTTTTCTTTGGTATTTGGGACTTTCAATGGAAATTAGGAAGCAGCAGAAAACAAAGGGAAGGAATATTTATATAGGTAATCACACTACTATAAAATACTGTGCTATGCAATCACAGTAGTCTTACGTAAAACAATTGTTCTGCTTTTTCAGTTTTAGCTCAGTTCAGTAGAAGAGAAGGTGTTTTGAAATTTCAAAGAAGAATTTCACAGAAATTCTCAAGGTGATTTTTATTTTGCATTTGTTAGATAAAATCAAAAGGTATAAGTGAATACCCTTTCAATCATCTCTCTATCAGTGGTGCAGCCTTCCTTCCTTCCACTTCCATTCAATCCCAAAGGTAGACATCATAAGTGAACTCCTTCCACTGAGCTTTTTTAGATTGTATTGGTAGACAGAGAGCTACAGCTGTAGTCCTAGCAGAAACATTTTCTATCACTTCCAGCTCCATTGCATAAGGCCAGTGTTTCTCAACCTCAGCAACTTTAAGATGTGTGGATGTTAACGCCCACAATTCTCTGATGCCTGGGGAATTCTGGAAGTTGAAATCCACATATCTTGAGGCTAGTGAGATTAGAAACATGGCTTAGGCAATATCACCTTGTGGGACTTCAGAGACATGCTTTCTCTATTGCCGCCTTTACAACAGCATACCCTGATATTCAATTGGCCCTGATTCTGCCTGTCTTTCAAAAAGCATTGAAGACTTGGCTTTCCCTCCAGACATTAAGTTAGGGAATGTTTAAAAAGTAATTCTCAAATACTCAAAACTAAGCTAAACAAGAATAAGAACAAAAACTGAAAAATCTCACAGGGAAAAATAGATTTAGAAATCAAAACACCAACTTCAGTACAGGATGAATTCAGGGCTGAGGACTGAATATTTTGAGATTTCAACCACATTATTTCTGAGCTATGAAAACCTACCTATTACAGCTGATTTTAAAAAAATAGTGTGTGGGGTGGGGGTGGGGTGGAAGCTGCATCTGATATTGGGCTTGTATCCAAACCATAGCATTTCAGTTCTTTCCTTAATATTATGAATAAAATTATGATGTGTAAGAAGGCATTGCATGGTTTGTCTGTGATTAAGAAATCTTAATAGAGCTTTCTATTAAGATAATAGAGGTTATCTTAATAGAGGTTACTAGACGCCTAGCAAGGGGAAGATATGTCTCTTTTTGTCTTCATGTTCTTTGTCCTTTATATATATATTTTTGTGTGTGTGAGACTATGTGAATACAAACCTAATTTTTCACTAATTTAAAAGAAAAAGAAACATATTCTCTAGACTTTTGTTTGCAAGTGAGTACAATCTTTTATTCCATCCTCTTTATACAACGATCATGCACATAAATCATATAAAAACAGAAACACTTTAATTGAAGTAGTTGTGGACTCAATATATTTCAGCTTTTATTTTTACTTAACATGTTTCTGCTTTTATAATGTACAGTTAAGTGCTATGCTAAATAAAACTGAACATCTATTAGAGAAGAGATTATGATAAAAGCTGTGGGAAAAGACACGTGTACAGCAGAGCTGTAATAGTTTCAACATACTTTGCATTTTGAAAACATATTGCCTATAGCTATGTATGGATCACATTATCCAGATACCACTTGTCAAGGCCTTGGGACAATGTTAGACATTTGTGTTGAACCTGCTGTTTCTTACCAGATCTTCACATGTAGTGTGATTCAGTAGCCTAGCAATATCAAGGGCTGTCTCTCCAGCTTCATTAGCTGTTGGAGAATATTAGATGTCACCAAAGAATAATAATTAAAGAAATTGTTCATAGATTTGACTCCACTTATATAAATCATATTGTCAACCACAGAAAGGACCTCAAAATGACATTTAAAGATTGTAGCTATATTATTTGTATGTCCAGTTTGAAACTTTTTTTCTAACAAAGGGTTGTTTTCACACTATGTTTAGCATGGCTGAAATATTACTTTTTTTAAATCATCATCTATGCAAAGCAAGAACAGCAGTGCAAGACTGTAGGTAGGTCAAAAATGTCAATATGGAAGCCACAACCAAGCAATCAAAGCCCTGCTCATTTTTCTATGTATTATGCTCAAGAAAAAGGGTGGGGCTTCAATCACATGGATGTGGCTCCCATATTAACTTTTTGACTCCCTCCCTGGAGAGATCCCTGAAAGAGAGAGATCTGCAAAAGACAGAAAAACAATATATAAAACCCTGATGCAATGCTCTGACAACTGCCTCATCTAGAGCCTTTGTGAAAAGCATTTTTAAAAAGGTTTTCTACTCTGGATTAAGCAAATAATGTGGAAGAAATCAGGAAGTATGAGCAAAGTTCTCCTAACAGGATAATACGTGGCGTAGGAAAATTCATGTTTGAGGATCCTTATACCGGGGGCTGAGCCATACTGAAACACCATATTACTATATGATTTTGGTGATTCAAGTGAAGAACAGCATAAAAAATGTCAATATTAGGCATTATTTTAACTCAGAGTATTGTGATGGAAATACATTTTACTTTCTTTTGTTTTTAATTAACCTTTATTATGTTAGAATAAGACCTCTGGTGCCTAAAGGTTGTTGGAAATAAACCAGTTAGACAGCACTATATAAATTTGCTGTTTTAAACACAATTTTTAAAATATTAATTCTTAAGTGATTCTCCAAGTTACATTTAGAAACTATCAGTGCTTTTTTTGCAAAAAAAAAAAAAAAAGGGGGGGGTGCCGGAACTCACGCACAGCTCCGGCTTCAGTCAAAAGCCCTTTGGGGGGGGGAGAAGAAACCATTTTAGGGAGCTTCCAAGGCACAGAACACTCACCTGGAAAAAGTCTGTCTCCTCTCTGCCATTGTTTCTGCTGCCGCTCCGGTCTGAGGCCAGGGGATGCGTCCACAGCCCCCCACGGCCCAATCCAGGCTCTGGAGGCCTGGAAAAGACCTCTGCCGCCTGGATCTATGCCCATGGAGTGATTTTGTGACCTCCCCCAGCGGCCTGATGTGGGCTCTGGAAGTCTTTTCTAAGCCTGCGGAGCCAGATCCATGGCTCCAGAGCGATTTTGCGGGTCCCCCCAGAGGCCCGATCCAGGCTCCGGAGGCCTGGAAAAAGGCCTCCAGAGCCTGGATCGGGCCACTGGGGGGGCCACAAAATCACTCCATGGCTGTGGATCCAGGTGGCAGAGGCCTTTTCCAGGGCTCCAGAGCCTGGATCAGGCAGTGGGGGGCTGTGACCTCATCCCCTGGCCTCAGATCGGAGCGGCAGCAGGAACTGTGGCAGAGAGGAGGTGAGTTCTCCTCTTTTCAGGTGAGTCCCACATGGCAGGAAGGGAGGGAGAAGCATGAGAGTTAAGTGAATGCTCGTAACTCACTCACGCTGACCGCTTAGAAGGAACCAGTTTTTCTGTTCAAAAAAAGGTGCCGGAACGCCATTACGTGCGTTCTATGACAAAAAAAAGCACTGAAAACTATTAACATAAGAGCTAACACTATGTAAATTTAAATATTATATACAATAAGATACAAAATATGCAATTAAAGCTGTTCTGTTATTTTCACAACTACAGTCATTATACTAGAGAAGGATCTATGTCATTTGAGAATAAAATCTTTCCAAAATGACTGGTTGGGGTTTAATATTTTAATATTTAGTATTAAGAAGGGTCAAATTAATATTTGTCTTAGGTGGAAGAGCAACCAAGATTTATTTGTTGTATCTAAGATATATGACTCCTTGCAGCTCAAGGAAGGCATAATTACAAGATTAGCTAGACATCAGTTTATGAACGTACTGCTAAATTATGGTTAATCAATATTAAACATGAAATCTAATTTCTTTCTATAGTTGCATCAAAGAAGGAAAGGGGAAGTGAATTGCTCATGACTCCAGAGAAGATAAATTGTAAAATGTAGTGAAACTGTAAGCTTCCGGTAAATGAATGTACTAAGGGCAAAATATTAAAGTGCTATTCTCCAGCAGTAAAGTATGCCAAGCCAGCATAAAACATGCTACTCTCATTGCCAATTTCTATTCTGCCAGAAGGAGGCTGCAACTGGTCCTCTTGTCACTATTGATTTAATGTGGCCTGTTAAGGAAAGTGATTGGTGGGTTCCCCTGGCTTTGTTTCCCATCTCGCTAATCAATGCTTCTGGAGAGAGGGGAGGAAAATCACCCATTACTCTGCCTGAAAGGACTGTAGTTGTCAGAGCTGGAAAGAAAAGAGCCTGAAACCAGATAGGACCATTATCAAACCCCTTTGCAGATGCCTTCTACATCTGAGGTCATAAAATGAATGGCACAAATGTCCAAAACCAAGTAAAGGCAGGATAAATTGATGCAGGACTTCAACACTATATCTGATGTGTATCAGCTACTACATATAAATATCTAGATTTGGTAGTAGCTGATTTTCTTTGTTAATTTTCTTATAAATTATAAAAGCAATTTGCCTATTCAAACTTTGTCCTTGGCTCTTGTGCTTATGCTCCTAAGTGTAAGTTTTTATTGCTAGGGTGAGATTTACTGCCTTGTCCTGGGTAAATTGCTGGCACCTATTGGCTTAGATGAGTGTTGGCAGATGCCTGGAACAGCATGTTTAGCTGCCAATCAACTACTAACTGTTGGGTTTGACAGATATGAAGATATACCTAAAACAACATATCCAATCACTGTAGGATGTTGTTTTCTCCCATAGTTCTATGGAATTTAGTAATTATTGTTGTTTAAGAGCACTTGCCTATAAACTTGCTATGAGTTGGAGATAACTGAATGGGTAAAATTAACTATTCTTAAATGGCTTGCAATTAAATACTGTACTGAAAAAGACTACCCCAATGCAGTAACATCAATGGGAATGGGTTAAATATTCAGGTATGCAGTATTAAAATAAAATTTACAGTGATACAAATATTCAAGTATGTTTTCTTAAACTGAACATTCATCCATTACTATTAAATAAACCTACAATAAAAAACTACAGAAGAGATAGAGAAAGGAAAAATAAATATAGTACAGAGTATAAAATATAGCAGCATTATAATCTTCACTATACATTTTGTAGCACTACAGTGAAATTGACATTTTGCCTTCTCATTCAGAACACTCCTTTTATTTCATGATCACTTACTGATTGTGATATTGGCTTTTGCTCTCAGAAGAAGTTTTATGCATTCAGGTTTATTATGAAGGCTACAATAATGAAGGGGAGTATTTCCCTTGGATGTCTGTTTCAGCAGGCTCCCACTAGAAGAGAGAAATTATTCATCATACAAAAATCCTCCACTTATGGAACCACATTTATTGATTGATTAATTGATCAAATTTATTTGGCATCCACCTCACTGATCAGGGCGACTCTGGGTGACTTACAACGATAAAACACACAAACATTCAATGATTATAAATATAAAATTGGATGAAAATTATAAAAATTAAAACAAACTAAAAAAACAAGGATTTGGAGGGGAGAGGTAAGGGTGCCTTCTCTATTAGTGCACCGGCCACCTCCAGCCAATAGCTTCTACTTCAGGACCCCATGCTAATTGGCAGAACCAGGTTTTAAGGCTTTTCCTGAAAGCTAAAAGAGAGGGGGCAGATCTTATCTCCTGTGACAAGATGTTTGAAAGGGCAGGAGCTGTGGCAGAAAATGCTCTTCTGAATCCCACCAGCCAAAATTCCTTGGTTGATGGGATCCGCAGTAGGCCCCTTCTGCTAGCATGAGTGGAGCAGGCCATTCCCACTGGGGAAAGATGGTTCTACAGAAATCTTAGACCCATACAATAAAGAGTTTTAAAGGTAGCAACCATCTTGAATTGCACACAGAAGGCGACTGGGAGCCAGTGCAGCTCATATAACAGTGGTGTTACCTGGGCCACCTTAGGGATTTCCAAAACTGTCTGTGCTGCTGCATTCTGGACCAATTATAGCTTCTGAATATTCCTCAAGTATAGCCCCATGTAGAGCATGTTTCAATAATCCAAATGGGAAATGATCAGGGCATGAGTGACTGAACGCAAGGCCTCGCAATCCAATAAAGGGCACAGTTGATGCACCACATGATGTTGTGAAGCATCTCCTAGCCATGATTGCCACCTGCTTTTTGAGCAGGAGTCGTGAATCTAGAAAAATCCCCAAGTTGTGCATCAGGTCTGTCTGTGGTAGTGCCATCCCATCCAGAACTAAAAATGATAAATGTCTGGATATTGAGACTCTGTATACCCATAGCCATTCCATCTTACCAGGGTTCAGTTGAAGCCTGTTGTCCCCTACCCATGCCCCCACAGCCTTGAGGCACCACGAAAGGGTATCCACAGCATCATTTGGGTCACCAGGAGTGGAGATGTAAAATTGTGTATCATCAGCATATTGATGGTATCTCCCCTCATGGTATCTCTCCTATATGGGTATGTCAATTTTTGTTCCACCGGAGTGAAGAAACCCCAGAGCTAGTAGCTCAGAATCTATTAGTATTCTCACTTTATTTGGTGTGCATGTGAAAAAAAACCCACAAGAACATTTGCTACTTGCTAATTCTGTTAGGCCTATCAAGGCAACTCACCTATTCTGCACCAGAAAATCTACAATATGCAAAGAGGTTCGGTCACTAACTAGGACTGCCAGATGAAGAAGCGTCTCTCTAGGTTCCTTTGAAACAAGAAACAAGCTGATTATTTAAGAAAATAGATTGCCATGATAATTCATGGGGAACTAGCATCATAGGAATGATTTCTTCAATTTCTGCTAATTTATAATAGAAAAAAACATCAGAAGAAAGTTTATGGAATTACTTGCCTAAACTTAGATTACAAATTGGTCTCTGATCAAAGTGCAAATGAACAACTATGGATGGCTAATAGTTTACTGGAGAAACGGGCCGCATAATCCTGTCTATGAAATGAATTCCTCCCAACTGTTCCTATTGTCAGTATCCATTTTTTAAAACTTTAGTGTTAACATTAAAAGGTCCCCTCAGGTGGAAGCAGAATCACAGAACGTTTCTGTAAAATCTTCATATTTAGGCTATAATTACTATTAGTAAAGAAGAGCTATTTGTTTATTTTATTAATTACATTTAAGGGAAAATGTAGGGCGGTGACAAAATGAGAGGCCAACAGAGACAGTGGTGGAAATAAATATGTCAGCATTATCCTTCATGGTGGCCTCGAAATGAATAGGAAAATAGAATCTATTAGCACCACTGACAACAGGGATAACAATCCAACACATCTTGAGGACACCAAATAGTAGAAAATTGATATATAAAAAAACTTGTGTCAAACTGTATCAAGTTTTTTTCCACTGACATTCAGTAGGTTTTTGACTCAAAAGAAGGAAAGGGAAGTTAATGAGTTTCCTTACTGAGCAAGCTATTGCCCTGAAGAAAAAGACCAGAACATTAATGCTGAGTCACTTTAGGTAGATTATCTTCCCTAGCACATAGTTCAAAAACCAATTTTTTCTTATACGCTTCAATAAAAAGAGTGTATTGCATGTTCCACATTTTGGTATTAATGTATTATTTCTGCTAAAGTGTCCATATATTCCTCAGCTTTTAACAGGAGGAAGCCTCACCTGGCTAGATTCCAAAACAGGCTCACTTAAATCCATTTTTTCTGCATATGCCTGAAGCAAAATAAATATATCCTTCTCTCTGACAGCATTCTCCAAATTCTTGAGCTTGGCAGCTGGACTCCTCATGATCCTTGGAACAACATACTTCCTATCAACATATTTTGAAATTATGAAATGTTTCCGATGAGTCCTATAATGGTACACAGAAAGACAGAAACGACAGATTTAAAAGGTGCACAATAATGATCTGCTAGCAGAAACAATAAACTCCCCTCCAATAAGCAGAGACGTGCAAGTCATAAGGCTCCAAAAGAAAGAGAAAACGGAAGAAAGACATCCTTTACCGGTTCCCTACTTAACAGATTATCTTTTAGGGTAGGGGAAAAAAAAGAATTTATGATTTAATGTATTTGTTAAATGTATTTGCTGCCAATCTTACTGTGAGGCTACTCTGGGCACCTTACAAACAGTAAAGCAGAAATAAAAAATGATAAAAATGTAAAGATAACAAAAACAAAGCAATGAAAAGATAAAAGTAGAATAATATGAATTAAAAAGGTGGATAGAGGGGGAGTAGAAAGCATGGGGGGAATGGGCCAGCTAATTAGTCCAGTAACCACCTATACATTACTTAAATAACACAATAAATAACTTTGTATTGAAATTGGTCTTGCAATTTCTCAAATATTTATTTTCCTTTGCAAAATACAGTGGCACCTCAGTACTCGCCCAGGATTCCTTCTGGGAGGCATGATGACTACTAAGAACAACAGGTACTGAGCAAGTCACGTGACTTACGTGATCCTTTATTTCAGCCAGAAGGAATAGCGAGTCATGAGGCAGCTGACGCCAGCAAGTTCTACCTTGTGCATCAAATACCAGGAAAAAGATGAGTACTGGGACAAGATTTTTGCTTCAAAATGCATCAAGAACTGAATTTGATGAGTTTTGAAACAGTCAAGCACTGAGATATGACTGTACTACTAACCATTTTATTACCAAAAGCCTGGGCAGCTCTCAGCAATGGTATAAACATTCCCAAACCATGAATTCATTAAAAAACTTCCTATACCCTCAAACCAAATCTCCATACATCAAAGTTGAATTCTTCTTCTGCATCCTCAGAATATTTGGAGGGTTTTAAAAAATAGTTTATTGTTGGAGAAAATTAACATAATGCTATTGTTGATTTTTGCTTTTCATGGCAATCAAGCAGAAATCAAGGAGCTATTACAGAGAAAACCATACCTTCACCAACACTGGCATGCAAGCTATTTTATATAAAAGTTAAAACCCAATCAAGTAATGAAAGGTCTACAGGCAAACAACCAAGCTCAGATAGCACCAAGGACTCCAAATCTACTTACAATAAAATCACCCTCTCCTATAATTTTTTTTCTTCTATATAACCAGTCACAATTGTTAAAAAAAGATATTTTTATAGGGAAAAAATATTAGTGCCAACAAGCCTTGTTGTATTCTCAGAAGCAAATAAAAATCACTACAGGATACTGGATTTCATGATCTTTTAATCTGATCTAGCAGGGAACTTCTTATAATGATAAAGTAATACAATTGCTGCAATTTCAGTTGCTTTTATTTTTATTTTCCAATTTACTTTTAAATTGCCAAATTTCACACTGACTGTAACCACTTGTTCAACTGATATTCTGAGCTTTTTAAAGTTTGTTTTATGGAATTGTGAAAATTCTGCCCCTCCCCATCCCCTTCTTATGATCATAAAAAAATGAATGTTCCTTACATTGCACTGTCCTTAGTTGGCTTTGAAGATGAATTGGGAAGGTTAGCTTCTACTATGTCATTAAATCGTGAGTTTCCAATATTTTTAGCCAACTACAAAAGAAATAAGAATATAACAAAGATTTTATAACATAGTGAAACTTATCACATCTATTCCAATGCTAAGCTTGTGAAAAAATGGTGATGGTGCAAAACAAAATTGGTTCTTACCAGAAGTTCTGAGGTGGCCAACTTGTCCAAGGCTAATGATTGGATGCGGGAGTGATGAACACCCATCTCTCGATGAATCCCAGAACATTCAATGCAAATTAAGATCCCCAAATTAATGGAGAGCCATGCTGGATCTATGCAAGGAGGAAGCATAGGGTTATAGCATTATCTTGCTGGAAATAATGACTAATACAGGGAATATTCCCAATTTTTGACATTGTGAAGGTACAGTATTTCCTAAAATATTAATAGTAGAGATAAACCATTTGCTATAGAATAATTTGTTTCAAAACAAAAAAAATAAAATAAAAGGGAAACAAAGTCTATAGTCACATTTAACAGTCTCTGTGCAAGGAAGAGGGCAGATGTTGGTGTGGCTGTGGTGGTCATGGCAGACTGGATGGGTGTGGCCAAGGTGGGCATGGTCACCTTGATGTTGCTCATGGGGAAGGATGCCTGTGAGGGCCGGGCAGGGTTGGGAGAGATCCAGGGGGTCTCTGGCAGGTGGGGCGGTGGGCAGGAGGCTCATCCTGTGGGGTGAAGTGACGCAAGGCGAGGCAGGGCAGGACAGGGCAGGGGTGCCATTGTCGCAGGACAAGGTGAGGCAGGGGCTGGGGCAGCTGCTGCCTGACACCATCAGCCCCCGCACAGAGAGGCCAGAGAGTACATGGGGGGCAACAGTGTCTGCCAGCAGCCACAGCCTGCCGGCCCCTTGATCAGCACACTCTGGGGCTCCACAGCCTGCCACCAGCAGTTCAGAGAAGCCACTTCTGAGCTGGACAGCCAGCCAACAGCTGAGAAGGCAATGCAGTGGGTCGTGCCTGGGAAAAGGAGAGCACGTGAGGCCAGGAGGGATGGGATGGTAGGAAGGGAAAGCAGCTGTGCTGGGATGCATCCAGCCATGTGGGACCTCAGCGAGTTAATGGGCAGTTGGTTGCCATCTCTGGGGCATGGCACGTGTGCCCAAGAGAGGGCTCTGAGTGCCGCCTCTGGCATGTGTGCCATAGGTTCGCCACCACTGTCCTAGGAACTCCTAGGCATCCACAGCTAGTGCAATGACAGAAAATGATGGCACATGTATAGTGAGACTTTAATGCAATTTTTTTTTCATATTCTGCTAGCAGCAAATATTTAACTCCTATAAATATAAAGTGTAAGGTGTTAATACCAGTTTACAATGCCCTGATAAAGCCACACTTGGGATATTGCATCCAGTTTTGGTCACCACAATGTAAAAAAGATGTTGAAACTTTAGAAAGAGTGCAGAGAAGAGCAACAAAGATGATTAGGGGACTGGAGGCTAAAGCATATAAGGAACAGTTGCTGGAATTGGGTATGTCTAGTTTAACGAAGAGAAGGATGAGGGGGGACATGATAGCAGTGTTCCAAAATCTCAGGGGCTGCCACAAAGAAAAGGGAGTCAAGCTATTCTCCAATGCGCCTGAAGGCAGGATGAGAAACTGATCAAGGAGAGAAGCAACTTAGAACTAAGGAGAATTTTCCTGACAGTTAGAACAATTAATCAGTGGAACAACCTGTGAATGCTCCAATACTGGAAGTTTTTAAGAAGAAACTGGACAGCCATTTGTCTGAAATGGTATAGGGTTTTCTGCCTGAGCAGGGGGCTGGCTAAATAATCTCCAAGATCCCTTCCAACTTTATTATTATTAAAAACAAATGAACACAATAGAAAATAGGAAAAACAATTAACTGGATGGGTGAGAAATCTGCTTTCAAATGACCTATTACTCAAGGCTTCCCCACTCTGGTGCCCTTCAGGTATGTTGGATTACTTTTCTAAAATTCCCTGCTGACACAACCAGCAGGTATGTGATTGGAAATAGTGAGAATTGTTGACTAGATTGAATTGGACTGGTTAAGAAGACTGCCTTATTTCAGTTCCTGGAGAAGAAATAAGACATACACACACCACACACCCTATATATTGTATAACAAGGGCTATATCACTCTTTTCTACAATTTAACATAATCATTTGCTGAGATCCTAAATTGTTTCTCACAGATATAGTGAGAAGCAGCAGCAATCTCTTTTTGTACCTGGTGTTGAGCAATCACAGCACATATTGTTTCCTGGCATGTGCTTTATTTCCTCAATGATTGTTCCAGTCAGATTCTCCATGTTGTATCCTTCCTTGTTGTGAGTTTGTTTGAAGGCCATATTCAAAGCTTCTTCTTTACTGTTACTCAGAACAGAGATCCATCTGTAATATAGAAGAAAATTGTCATTAGATAAATGAATGCCTTCATCCTGTTACTCAGAGCGCCACAGATTAAGGGGATCTATAAAATCTTACTGTGTACACCACTTCTTTTACATTAAACAATGGAGAAAGATAAAAATGGAATCTGCATGACCGACATTGATGAGTGAACACTTCTCTGACATGGGGAAAAGATATATAGTCTTATGCTCTCCACTTATTCATTTCATGCATCTGTGAAGGGCAGAGTTTTCAAAAGCCAAATTAAATATGTTGCCATAAAATACACTAAAAGGTGGATTTCAAAAACTCCCCATCTTTTAAAGATGTTGTCCTTGTAAATGGTACAGTATTGATCTTTGCCACATTTTATTGTATTGTGAATTTTATAGGCTTCTTTGGCAAGAAGTTATCTGGTCTATTTTAAGGAAGAAATATTTCTGAATATGTTAAAAATTTACTTCAAACGAAAATCCTAAAATTACAGAAGCCATGGCCAGATTTTTAACTATTGTTATAAAACCAAGATTTTTAGTAACACCTCAGTTAGTTGGGGTTTTAAGTGTATTATGTAATTTTTTAAAAAATATTATACATCTTAAACTGTTTTATCTAATGCCAAATTTTAGTTTATATTTGAAACCTGCTATTTGGACTTTTTGTGGCTATTTGTTGGCTGTCAAAGCTAACATCAGCCAGAGCATAAAATAACTGGAAGAAGTTGTGTAAGATCAGATAATGTGGATAGCTGAGAATTGGACACAATTGAACAGATAGTATCATTTGGGTCTTATGGTTATAAATAAATTGAAATTGAAAGAACAAAAATAAGACTTTCAATTAGTAGGAAAAGAATAATAAAATCTTAGATTTAAAAGGGACCAGCCAGGCCCTTGAGATAAATCTTTCTTTAGCACAGAGATACAAAAATCTATTCAGATTTTCTTTGAAGAAATCCAGTGAAGAGGCACTTATTTTTCCTCCCTGATACTTACATATTACATTCTTGTTCATCCTCTGCCAGGAAGTGATATGTCCGATTATCTGAAAAGAAAAAAATCCCACAAAAACAGAATAACAGAATTGTACTTGAATAATTAGCAAACCAGAAAATAGCAGAGATAAAGCTATCGTATCCTTTATATGCAAATGTGGAAACAACTGAATATTAGTAAAGAAATATAAAAAATAAAGCAACTGGAGTCATTAACAAAAAATATTGTAGGATGACAGCCATATTAGCCACGATAGTCAAAAATCAGGAAGGGTCTGGTAACACCTTTTCACAATTAAAAATATATATTAATGAATTTTAGCTCATTTTATCAGATGTGTGTATGATTTAAATTGGAATGGGGAGAGGGAAGAGAAGACAGGGTGGTTATCCAGATTCAGGTTACTTGTGAGATAAACTACAAGTACCTAATAATCATTACATCAGCATCAAGCAACCAGGTGAATTCTAGATACTTTGGGCAGCAATTCTCCTAATCCCTTATCATTGGCATGTCTACTGAGATTGGTGGGAAATAAAATCAAATATCTGGATGATACTTTGTTAACGACTCCAGTCTAAGATGAATTTAACAGAACTCACGTGAAATAAGATCAAAACATTTCTTGTCATCTGCATTTGGTTTAACTTGACAAGTGAGCAAATTCAGCTTCACCGGAAGACGATTTAACTAATTAACCATAGAAAAAAAAAATGAACATCAGTTTCAATAGCATTTAACTAGTATCCTAAGCAGTATTATTTGGGTTAAACCCTGATGTTATAGAGCTGTTGTTACTACTTCATAAAGAGGATCAGATGAAGTGTGTTGGAATATAACAAGAAAAAGAGAGAACATGTCTATGCGTGAAGTGTACCGAATGTCCGGAAAGAAAAATTGGGGAAAGAAGTTTATGCAGAACAATTGTCACTTCCTAGCTGGAAAGGGAGAAGAAAAGTTCTCAGGAGGCAGCCCTGAAAAAAGGGAAATAAGGACCCAAAGGGATGAGAACTCTCAAGATCTAAGAATGGGAAGGAGAGATCCAGCTGGTGACAGCTTCATCCAGACCTCAAGAGGGGAAGGAAGGGTTTCTGGGGAAAGACTGAGTAGAAGACCAATGGAGAAGCAATAAGTGTTAGGTTGAATAGTTCCAGGAGGAGGTAAATTCTCTAAAGGTCTCAAGTAAGGTTGCAAATGACATACTACTAAAACTGGGCAAAGCCCTGACTGGCCACATCCTCCATCTGCTGATCCATGAGTCCAGGCAGACCCAAGTTGTGGACCTGCCTTTTCAGGGCATCCAAAAACAAAATAAGGGCATAGAGGAACTCCAATGTATAAACAGTAGCTCCATTTTGTTAAGAGTTTTGTTTTAAGAGAAACACCCCGATACTGGAAGTAAAATGCATACTGTACTGTGTGAAATGGTAAAATAGCCATTCCTGATTGTGCACTTTCTCTTCTGCCAGACTTTCCTTAAGCTGAAATATAAAAATAGCATATTTTTATTTAAAAGTTAAAGATAACATTTTAAATTATTGGAGAACTAACCAGTTATATATACAGTATTAATTCCAACCACCATGGCATAACAGCACTGTTAGATGGTCAGATCAAACAAAAGGCATTCATGTTTGGAACATAACTATAATTTAAATGAAATAATGTTTTCCACTATTTCCTTTCTTCCTAATGAAGCCATCAGCATCTCTATAGGGTCTGTCTGGAAAGAGGCCTTTTTCAGCTCTGCAGAGCATGGAATTTCTTATAGAGAAGGGTGAACCTTCTACCATTGGGCTGAGATACTATAATAAAAGGATTTATTTAGTTCCCTTATACCATGGCTGGCTCAGGAATTCTGGGAGTTGAGGTCCACGAGTCATAAAAGAGCCAAGGTCCTTTCTACTCAGGCAAAGTAGAAAAGACAGACAGCCCATTTTAAAAGCAAAACAATATATACAAAATGACATTATTATATTAGTAGAAAGAAATTAAATCAATAAACATATTCTGGATACTGAGAAAATAGAAACTCAACTCAGCTTCCAAGAGAATGCATTCCAAAATCTTGGAGCAAAGCAGGAGGTTCTCTCTCCTATGGCAGAAATATGGCAGCTACAAAAAAACCCATCTTACAAATCTGAGTCAGATAGGTTCATTATAGGAAAGGCAGACTTAAGATTTAAGCTAGTTAGGCCTTGAAATGTACTTTGGGGCAACAGATAACTGAACAGGCATGGGAGAACATGGACAAGTAGAAAGGAGGGCACACTAACTGTTTAACTTTCTCGGCATCCACAGTCAAAATTACAGTGAAAAACTGCAATTTTTTTTACTTAGGTCTAGATGTATATGAAATCATATTTTCATAATATTTTTACAACAAATTTTAATTTCCAGAACATCTGCTAGCAATAACATAGAATCTGCAGCAATGCCCCATTCAGATTTCACAGAGAAATGTATGATGAATTGTGTGATCCACAAACTAGAGTGATCATCGATTTGAAAGGACTTGAGTGAAGTCAGTTGATGACTTCGGGAAATAAATAATGTAATTCTAAACTCTTGAATCTACCAATAAACAAGGTAAAGAAAGAAGCAAACAATTTACAAAGTCACAATATATGAAAATTTGAATGACTATGGCTGTGAAACAATCCAAAATAATAATTAAAAAATGAAGAGATTCAAAAAGACAATATTTTATTTTAAGGCTATGCTTTCCAGAGGCAAAACTTGAGGCCAAAAAGGACATATCCTCCTTTTTGCCAGATATCTGTTAACCCCAAATATACCCAGTAAACAACTTTAATAATTTTGACACCAAAATTTTGCCTGGAAAACAATTGTGTTTTCTTTTCAGTAATTCATGCTCTGCTTTCAAAATACAATATTTCCAAGGCAACTTACAAGAGAAATAGCCACAGCCCTGCATTCAACAGAGAAAATCAGGCAGCAATTAAATAGTTCTATTGCTTTAAGTTTTATTGTTTTTAAACTATATTTGCAGTTGCCAAGGATGAAATCATTGCATTACTTACCCATCACTTTTCTTAAAGAGGCTCCCAGATCTCTCTGTGCCATACTGCTTATTTCCCTGGAGCTGATGCATGCTATACCTCACTGGCTTGCTCACAGAATTCTGCTAGAAAACAAATATACATTTTTAAAATGTAATTATATACACCAATAAGCAAGGGTGCCAAAAATTCAACGTCCATTAGAATATGATCTCAAAATTAGAAATGTTGAGTTGGAAATAGATGGACATTGATTCCACCTTTCTGCTCAATCCAATATGGAGCCATAGAATCCCTCACAATCATCCAGCTATTGAGTAAGGAGAATCCACCATATTGCAAAATCCTTTTACCATCAGATCCTCTTAAAATATAACCTTTGCTTCCTTGCCATTTTCACCCATTGATTCTTGGTCTGCTCTCTAGATCAACAGATAATGTAATCCATTTGCTGCACAAATCCTTTCAACTATTCATTCATATGATGTATCTTCTCTTTTCCCACTGATTCATATTTTTTAAAATTGCTTTGGGCACAGGTTCAGCACATTTACCTAGAAAATGCTAAGCCTGCAATAGCAATGTATTATCTGCAGCAATACTGTTGAAGCATAGAAAGATCAATCTAGTATAGTGTTTCTGAACCTTAGCAACTTTAAGATCTGTAGAATTGGATTTCTGGAAGTTGAAATCCATACATCTTAAAGTTAACAAGGTTAAGAAACATTGGTGTGATATAATGGCCTGATTTTGCTGGCACCCATCTTTTCTTTTGGTCACAACTCCTCCAATGTTAGCAGATGAAATTTGAAAGCTGGGCAGTTATTATCCTTGCCAAAAAAGAAATTGTCCTTGTGATAGGCTACCTTGGCACCTTTTCTTACTAATAACTTTCCTCTTAAAACAATGTAATGGGCATTATATTTCATGTCAAAGCACAAAATACTTTTGGGCACAGAAGGCTTTGTGAAATTCTGCATAGACATATTGAATGGGGGGCTTTTTTGAATTTCCCCATGGAAAATTTTTTTTTTAACATTTTCTCATGAGCACAACTTTCCCTTAGGTGGGACAGCACAACTGCTGCTACCACTATTTTTTTAAAAAGGCTTGTGGGAGTAGCTCCTTCATACTGTCTTCTTTTGAGATTTAATTGAAGGGAGGATGAAGCATGTAGGAGAGAAAAGTATACAGTGAATACAAGAGACATGACTACATTCATCTGTCTGTCTGTCTATCTATCTATCTATCTATCTATCTATCTATCTATCTATCTATCTATCTATCTATCTATCTATCTATCCAGCTCCCTTGTAATTAAATAAATACAGAAACACTCCTCCTGTGAATATTTCCTGAAGCTCTCTTCTCCTTTGAAGGAATTTTGAAACCAAATTCTCTTCCATAAAACTGAAGAATTGACAGAAGCAAAGACAGATTGGCAGAAACTGTGCTCATACACATGGTAAATTGCCTTTCCCCCAATTAATTCTGCCTTTTAGTCCTTAACAAAAGATTTCTAAGAATATTTCATCAGGTACCTGCTGGTCTTTCTCTATAGCAAAATTGGTTGTACCGTCCCTAGTTTTACCTCTCTGGGCTCCAACTGCAATGCTATTTTGAGCTGATCCCGAAGGGAACACAACTGTTTCTTCTCCTCCTCCTGCTTTGACTTCATCTAAAAAGCATCACAAAAACATTTCATCAAACACATCAGTTATTTTTGTGTTTGCTGCAAAATACCTTCAGTTAGCATTTCTTTCTATGCTGCCCAAATCTCCAGAAGTCTCCAGCCAATATTATTAACAGCAATTTTAACACCAGTTAAGCTAATGAATTTAATGACAACATCATTTGTTCCAAGTCTGACCGCTATGTGTTCAGATGCTTGCAATTTGAAATTATGTCTACTTCTCTTCGATTCTTCTTCATTGTTACACATACTTGAAAGGGATTAATTTAAAATTAAAGTGAGATGTTCAGACTGCACAATACAGCATATAAAATCTGACCAGAAGGAAAAGGAAGTTTATTTATTATTTATTAAATTTATATACCACCCACCTCCCTGATAAAGCGACTCTGGGAAGCTTACAGATTATAAAAAGATGAATAGAAAAACAAATTGAAAATTGAAAACTACACAAAAAATTAAAACCAAGGAGATGGACAGCATGGAAATGAGGTCTTATTCCATCAACCAACTCTTCCAGCACCTAAGCCAATTGGCAAAAACAAGCTTTAATACCCATCTGGAAGGCCAAAAGGCCAAGTTACATGTCTTTCCATGGAACCATTTTACTTTTTCTGCTGAACTTAATTATTAAGTTGAAAATATTTATTATGGTTGTGCCTTGCAAACCATCCAAGTAGTATTTGAAAACATATGAACTTCCTTAAAGATATATTCAAGAAACAGGTTTAGGGTGGAGGACTTTTTGGAACCCTCAGCCTGTTGCTGAAAGTTTGCCTCACCAGTTTTCAGGCACAAACAATCAAGTCCACACATATAGTGTTTCAAGCTAACTACTTTATTTTATTCCACTTATAACGCAGGAATCTCACTAGTCTGCTTGCTTTCTCTTGGGAACATATTGATAAGGTACATGGAACTTAGAGGGGAGGTTAGAGCTAGGTATTTTGCAGCTGAGTAACAACTCAAGGCTAACTCCCAACTTGGTTCCCCCCTCCTTGACTGACTGTCTGTTTCCCCACACCAGTGTTGCATATTTGCATGGTATAGCAGGGTATATGTAGTGCAAAACTCTACATATTTAGCATGTCCACTCTGGAATATGAGTGACATGCTAGAAGCTGCACAAAATGCATACATTAGGACAGAAATTAAATTTTATTTCATTTTATATTAAAAATAAACATAACCAATATGCTTATTCTCCAATCATAATCGTTCAATAATTCTCTTCTCAGTGGCTTCTGCAAGTTCTTGAAATTTTAAGTTACAAGCTCCAATCCCTTTACACATGTGAAACTTCCAAGTCTTTACTGTGGAGGGTGCATTCCCAGGACTTCAGGTTTTGTGAAACTGTTCTAATGCAGCTTGCATGAGAATGAAAAGCCAGAATATGAATGAAAACCTGCTTCCGGCTAAGTGGACAGGCTCTTTACTACACAATTTACAAGGGAAGAAAGATTTTTGAAATGTAAGCTTTTGTTTTTATTATGTTGTCTAGAACAATTTTCTCAACCTCAGCAACTTTAAGATGTGTGGACTTCAACTGCCAGAATTTCTCATCCAGACAAAGTGCTATTTATATTAGTTATATTATGTTCAAACAAACTAGCTTCAAAATATGATTTCTAGAGATGGCTTGTTAATACAAACCTTAGTAATGCCAAATACAACAAAGAATCTAGTTAACTAAAAGTAGACTGAAAACTTTGAACTTTTGTTTGGAAAGTGTGTGTAAGCTTAAGACTGGATAGGACTTAAGTCTGTTTATGTATTTCACACTGTGTTTTAACCTGATATGAAATTTTGGCCTATCAATTTCATATTATATACTCACACTCTGAAGCTCAGGAGTTAGTTTCTCTATAAATTGCTTGTGCTTCTCTGTTGCCTTTAAACATTTCTGGAAGAAACTGATGGAGAAATACAAAAATACAATGAAACAAAAGTAAAAAAGTACATGTTCATTTCACACCAAAGGACACTTTCACATCAATACTACTATTTTCAGTGAAGTCTTTCCACAATTATCATCACAATTGCTAACCTCAATATGTTGTGAATGATGCTTGAGTGGCAGAAAGAAGATGGGAAGTGGGAGGAGATTAGGATACCTTTCCATCAGTGGGTGAGTAAAGCAAGAGTGGGTAACCGATTGTCCAGGTCTCCAATGCTCAGGTGAAACTATTTAATTTGTTGTGATGTTGCATGCACTATAGAGCAAGTAAGAAATCAATTCAACTCCCAAATGCAGCCATGAGAGTGATGAGGTCCAGGTTCTGAATTGCTGTAAGGACCTCATCTGGAAGAGCTCTTTTCAGCCTCAGTACCCAGGTATAGCTACTGGCCTGGATGGCTTTAAGGCTAGAAATGTATCTCTTCAGAGTTTGCAAGATGGTGGCTGAAAAATCTATGGACATATTGCTCTTGCCTTACTTGTGTTTTATTGGATTACTTCAATTGTTACCCATTCTTGTCGGTGAAGGGACAGTTTATACATGAAACAGAAGGAAATGATAGAATAGGCAAGGCCATTTGAAATTGGAGGTGGGGAAGCACACTTTCAAATGTTTCCTTTTGTTAACATTGCATGCATAGTAGGCAAAAACCTACTGACCTATGTACCTATCCATCATACAATTTCCTTTCAGGAGAAGCAACATTGCTACTCTTTTATGAATGACATCACAGTTTTTATTATTATTATTATTAATGTTTGCAGCATTGAAATATAGTATTGCCCACATTCTTTTTGAAATGGACACTGCATTCCACTCCTCTACGGTCTTCACAACTCATTTTGAAACGGATGGAAATTCAAACAGAGCAACTGGTTACACTAGATTTTGAGTGGATGCCCTTTGCAATTGTTCTTGCATAGTTTTTAAATAATTGCTCTAACGCAGTAGTAAAAACAAAAGGCAAACTTTAAAAATTAAAATATGTATTTGTATACTGTTTTTCATTTGTGTTAATCCCAAACAATTTACAGCACTATCCCTTCCCTCCCAAAAGGTAGAAAAATTAACAGGGATGGCAAAAGCCAACATAAAAATAGGAGTTATGAGGAGGGCCTGGCAGTTTTGCAACTATATTCTATGTTTCAGAGTTCAGACAATTATAAGAAAAGAATTGGAAATGAAGCTTTGCAAGGATAAGATTACTTACCTGTAATAGAGTAAAATGTACACTCTAGAATAAAATATATGTATGCCATAGATTCACACTTACAAAAGTTCATGCAATAAGAAATTTGCATTTAAACTGCCCTAATATCTTTGCTTCCAAGAGAATTGTGAAGAATGAAAAGGTAGAAAATGGATGGTACTTACTTGAACTGGGAGTTGCAGTGATTGATGTTATTCTGCAGCAAGTCAACTCCTTTCTTGGTTTTAAGATCGTTCACTTTAATTAGGTACTGGAGGGAAAGGTTACATAGCTGACTTTTTAAGCTACATTCTCATTTGTTTGCTTAGCCCTCCTCTGTTCTTGAATGCTAGGTTACACTTTGCAGTTCTTTCTTTTTATATCACGCACAGAGTATATAATAATCTTCGCTTTACACAAACTCAAAAACAATTGTACTTGGATTGAAGTAATTTAAATTTATTTTTATGATTTGTCTTTTAAATTCTATGAAAGGCAGAACTTACATAGCTATTTACACTAACTAAACCAAGTGTTACATTTATATTTTTCCAAGTATAAGATACGCTTATTTCTAATAGCCCGCAGCAAAAAAGTTAATTGCTACATAGTGGTAATTATGGTACTATGGTAGAATTAAGATCTGAATAATTATAACCGAATTTTACCAAATAGTGGAAATATTGTATATTCTCAGAGACTGAATGAGGCTTTAAAAATGAAGGTCCCAATGTTAGAGGAATTATCTTGAAGGATATGTATCAACAAATTAAAAACAAACATAATTTATTGGAAAAAATTAAGAGTTGGATCCAGATTCTCCTAAATGAACTGAAGAGATTCCTTCAATTTGAAGAGGAAATTAGGCACAAAACAGGCAGTGATTTTGCCACTTCACTTCTTCATTGCAACTCTATATTAGCTCTCCTGCTTTCTGAGGCCCACTACAGATGGTCCTCAATATATGACCACAACTGAGCCCAGAAATATGGAGGTTGTGGAGGTTATTGAGTGAGGTGCCCACATGATTGACTTGCTTAATGACTACAACCCTAGCTCTCCCCATGGTGGTCAATAAGTGACTGCAGTTCATTAAGTGGAACATGGGGTGCCTCAGGGAGGGAGGCCTGGCACAGATCAGACCCACAGTATAGCACTTCCCAAGCTCATTCATTTGCCCTTGATTTGCCAGGGCCTCCCTAGTTTCCTGTGACTATCCTTGCAAATTTCCCACACCCTTGGCCTCTTCCCCCCAATCATGCCTCAGTTCACTTACCTTTTCTAAGATCATCTTTTGGAAAAAGAACCATCCAATTTGCTATGCAGCTTTCCTATACTATATAGAGGCCAGATGATGCTGTCCTGGAAGCGGGTATCAGTTTGGAGGAAGGCACAATTCTCACAATCCAAGAATTTTGCTTCTGGGACAGCACCATTAGGTATCGTATAGATATAGTATAGGAAGGTCACATGGCAGATAGGCCATTTCTCTTTCTTAGAGGCAATTTTTGGAAAAAATAAATGAAGTAAGAAGTAAGAGAGTGAGAAGAGCCAAAGATGTGGGGCCCAATGGAGATATGAGCACATTCCCATCTAGCATTGAAGATATTACCTAGTTGGGTACTGAAACATCCAAAACTACCAAGCTCTGAAAGCACCAAGGATTCCACAGGATGGAGTTAATAGATTCTCAACCATTTCAGAGGTAACATGCTAAGGGTCCTGCCTAAGCTGAAAGAAAGACAGACTCAGGGCCTCCTTTCTGAGAAGAAACCTCACCATCTGCCTGCCTCACCTCACACATGTGTAACTGGAACATCCTTCGCTCTTTTTCCATCTCCTCAGCAATCTCTCCTCCAGCAACCTCTGTCCTCACCATTCCATATTGTTTCGCCAGCTCACGTTTTTCTTTCTCTATCTTTGCACTCAAGTAGAGAAAAAGCAATGTTAGGTATTTTAATAAAATCATCTCAAAATAAAGTAGGGTTAGTTTTGTAAAGAAGATAATATCAGAACAACTTACAGTTTGCTTTCATAGTCCTTCCAAGCTTTTTCAAAAGGCTTTTTAAAATCCTATTGAGAGATGAAGCAACACTTTAATGCTGCATTTTATCTTTTGTTCTATTTTTCTACCCCCAAATAATTTTACATTGCTAAACTGTTCTGTTGGCATGTATGTATTTGTGTGTCAAGCATTCCAATTTACCTTCAGTTATTATCAGATCAGTCTGATTCTATTTTTCTGAATATTGCTAAATACAGTTATACTGTTTGTATAATACCCCACAGTTTTCCTCAGTTAATTCTTAGACATTTCCTATTTGACTCTATTGGTCATCCTTTTTTAGCTGTAGTTGTCTATTTAGTTGATTATCTGTATCTATGCATTATGCTTGTATGTACGCGATTCCTATTTTAATTTTTATTATTTGCTAAAACTATCTTTAATAGTGCAGAAAATTAGTTATTGCAATTAATCTGTTTAACATTATAGTATTTAAATCATAATTCCCCTTTATATAATACTTTACAGTATGCTATATCATTATGCTTCTTTAGGCACAATATTGATACTAAATAAAATTTTGTTTCAACTGATCAGTTACTAAAATAGAAATTTGAAGTAAGTAATCCTCAAGTTCTCTGTACTCATCAGACCTAATTAGTACCTCTCTGGTATTCTCTGACAGAAGCAACACCTTCTTGATCTTTTCAGCTCGGGCTATCAGGGATAAAATCTGAGGCTACATACTTGCAAAAGCTCCTGAGCTATAGTTCCTTTTTCTAACTGTGGTATTGGAAACAATATACAGAAAAAGAGCCATTACATTTCCAAAGAGTTTGAAAACAAATAAAATAAATATATTTTCAATTTTTTTTAGTGTGTGGCATCATAGAGAGTGAATTCTTTCAGCTTTTCCATCTCCTAACTCTCTTTTCCAGAGAGCTATATTAAAGTGTTATCCACCAGTCATTGAACTAACATAAAAGTAAGCTGGAATGCTTTGTTCTGCCCCAATCACTAATCAGCTCCAAAGCAATCTGCTATGGATTCTGCCCCAACTGGCAGAAGCAATGAAGTTGGTGATAGGTACCATCTTTATACACATTGCAAAAATTAAGGAGGGGGATTAGTGGATTCCTCTAACATTACTTCCCCTCCAACCTGCTGGATGGAAAAAAGAAGTGCAGGTAGATGCTAACAGAGTAGGTTTATCTACTTATTGGGTTCCCCAACTAATAGTGTGCAAGTATAGAAAGATGCATAGAATGAAACAGGATCCCATATCTTGCTCAGCAAAATGCTTGCTCCACACCTCTGGCCTAAAGTATAAAAAGAAGCTGGGCAGATCCCAAGTTGAAGACTGCATTAGCATCCCATTGATGAAATATGCTAGATTGTATTCACAGCCCAGCGGAGAAGAGAAATGCTATTTTAAAACTGACACAGCTAAGGACAACTTTAAGTGGCCTCTGCTGGGGATGAGTGTGGAAGAAAAACTTCAAAGCTGCCAATGTGAGTTTTCCTTCCTTGTGGTTTTGTATCCCCTGGGATTTCGAGAAAATAAATGACCACCCTCGTGCTGCAGAGAGATAAAAGAAAAATGCTGAAGGGACAGGGTGTGAATGGAGGTAGAAGAAAGAAAATTGAGTCAAAGCTGAAAAAACAGCCAGCTGGGCCTGGAGGAGGTGAAACGGAACATAGATTTGGTGTAGTGAGCAGTGAAATGCTAAAGCTGGTAACTGGAGTGAGAAGCAGTGGAGCCTAACAGCCTCACAAGCTTCTATTGATGCAGACTGCTATAGCCAACCAGCAGCAAGTAATTGTGTCCCATCCCACACTGATAAGGACCAAGACACTGAAAGGTAACTCAGTAAAAAAATAAATAAATTATCAAGCAACTCCAATCTGCAACAAGACCTATGGAGGTAAGGGGCTGGAGGGTAGAAAAAATATAGGGACAGGTGTAATCACAAAATAATAGGATTCTCACTCCCTACAGGAAAGGGCTAGAGAAAAAAAAAATGTGTTTAATGGTATGTGGGAATGTCCTTGGGAGACAGAGGAAAGAGCCAGGTCAGATATTAGGCAGCTCAGCCTGCAAAAGGAATGTGGGTGAAACTGAAGGGACCCTCCTTAGTTTTTTGGGGACTGCAAAGGCAATGGGAGAGAAATCTACTTTCAGACTTGCAAGTTTCTGTTAAAGTAAGCTTACAATAAGGTAGAATTATTTCATCTGAGTGTGCTTTTTATGTTGATCATCTTGGAAGGCTAACATTGTGTCACTACTATACTATCTTTATTGCTAAGTTGGTCAGTTAAGGACATGGGAAAAGGAAATTTGTAACTTTGTTCAGTTTTGTAAACTGTTATAATCCTATTGATATAGGATTAAGCGTAGTTGGATAAATGTGTATACAGTATAAGCTAGATGCACTACAACAGTGATTATAATTTATGTAATAAGTCTACCTCTTATAAATATGAGATGAGAAGCATTCAGCCACATGGTCTGTGGATTCTACAATACTTTAAATATAAACCTGCCACAATGAGACAATGGCAAACTTATGAAGACAGACAGAAGGTAATAAGCAGTTATCAATGCACATTTGTGTTGCTATTAGAACATAAGGAAAACCCTTACAGTCACATCCGGCAGTATTGGATATGCTACTTTCTTTCTCTTTCTCCCTATTGTTCCAACATCTAATCTTTAGTCTGGTTTGCTAGCATCTGAGTGTTCCCATTCACATGTATCAAATTCCATCTCATGTTGATGAATTATCCATTCAATAAAACAATTGAAATAAATGAGAATTGCCCGCCTGCAGCAACAAGCCTTCACTGCAATATCATTGGATTGCCAGGAAGCTCATCAAAATTAGGCTGCAGTTTCTTTTAATAATCCCTTTTATTTCTGCCACACAAATTGCTTTTATATAGGCATAATGCAAGAAATGCAGCCTACCAGCTGCTCTATTTAAAATGAAAGTTAATGCAATACACAAATGTATAGTTTTGGAAGTGGTATAAGTAAATGTTGAAAAAGTCATTTTTCATTGTCCTGAAGTAGTAGAGGACTACAAATATGCTCTTGTTTGTTAAGTTGATTGCTTGAGATCATGCAGGCCTGAACAAAAACTTAAGTTTAAAAGTAATTTTAATTTATTGACATACTAGCTGCTCTGAGAAGGTCCATTCGTTAATCAGTTTTCCAGCCCAATGGTGTGCCTTAAAAATGAACTTTAATTCTGCTTATTTAGAAATTATGCAATTTTCCCTATCACTTCTTCACAAAAGAAATTGATAATACCACAGCTTTGATATCACATCAGAAAACAAAAACAGTGTCCATAACTGCCCAAAAGAATTATCAGAAAAATAGTCTGTGTAAAAGGCTTTGCAAGAAAATAACTTCAGGGTGAGGAATTTGAGAAATAGTATGAAAAGAGCTGTCCCTAATAATGTTTCCTACAACATAGAAACTACAGAATGACTCTTTTAAAGATCATGAAATCACATTTTGAAAATTAACAGATGACTAGCTTTAATACACATTCTACACTCTAATTCCAGCATCAACTCACCCCTTTGAAATCTCCCTTGACCAGTGAATCCAGAGAAAAATGAATGTTGTGATAGAGGCTCAGCAACTGAAAAAAAAAGTTTATTATGTAATTGGCACATAATAAGTGTTGTTTCCTAATGAAAGAAGAGAATATTAAAAACTGTTGTAATAACTTAAAGTATGCAGTATAGTATGGGCTATTATATGGAATGCTTTCAGACAGCCAACGTTTATAGACATTAAGAAGAGTCAAGCAGCTGTTCTCTTATAATGTCTAGTCCCCATAACTCTATTTATGAGGCAGGGCAGCTGTTATAAGAACCTCCCCTAAAAGCAAACAGATCTAGCAGTACTGCAGGAATTCAAAAACAATGATAAAAGCAGGCAATGCCGATCCCAGAGCAATATTATGTACAACATTCAGAAATCTCATCTATAGCAGGTCTAAACTTGCTGTTTTGCAAAAAACCACTCTTCTGAGAGAGCAGGCATTCTGAATCCAAACAGCTGAATCACGGCTGTGGATAACTGACATGATAAGAAATGGGAAGGAGCAATTGATAATAATTGAACTTTACCCTTGCTTAGCAAAGGGATGGCAGTGCTGGCAATAAAGGGTCATGACAAGCAGCATCTAGAAGAACCCTGTGGAACAAACAAAATGGGATGTGCCTGCTACCCCAGTATTAAAATCAATGGCCACATGAAACCCCTACTCAACAGAAACACCAGCAATCTTTTAACGCCCTCATCAGGCATAGAACTAGCAATGCACAGCTGGCAAACTCCGCTATTTTTCCTGGATCAAATACTTTATGCAGTGTAAACCAGTTCTCTTTAAGGACAGGTCCATGCTCTTTCAAAAGAGTACTAAATCAGTGCATATAAAGAGCCTGTGTAAGATGAAACAAGCACTTCAGAATGGATTGATCAGCACTTGAGGGCAGATGCCTCTGTAGAAGCCAATTATCCTGTCTCTTCTGCAGCCAGGCTAACAAGACCAATAGGAAGTCAGTTGATTCTCAACCTAGATTACATCAGCAGCCAAGTGGTTGGTGTAGTATGCAAGATTTTTTTTCTTCCATTCAATCATATCTAATTTTTGGAGACTGTCTGGACAAGTCCCTGCAGTTTTCTTCAGAAGTAGTTTCTCATTGCTTCCTTCCTTGGGCTGAGAGGAAATGACTGCCCCAAAGTCACTAGAACCCAAGCTACCATTAGAACCCACAGTCTCCTGGTTTCTAGTCTGATGTCTTAACTGTTACAGCTACACCAGATTAGCTTTCATGATAGATTATAATGCAAAAATTGAATCATGAAAACATTACTTCAAAACTGGAACAGCTAAAGGTGCCTTTAAGCGTCTATCCCAGTGGTGGCGAACCTATGGCACGCGTGCCAGAGGCGGCACTCAGAGCCCTCTTTGTGGGCATGTGCACCGCTGCTGTCAGCAGCTTGTACAGGTCCATTAGGCTGCTGCCGCCTGGAGCGGCAGCCCCACCCAGCACAAAGGAGGCGAAGCGACCAGCTAGCAAGCTCAAGTAGAGGTGGTAGAGCATGCCCACACCCAGCAAGCCAAAGGCCACCCCAAGCAGGGAAAGCCGGATCTCCATTGGTGCCATGGTCCCCCAGTCCCCATTGGTGCCATGGCCCCCCAGGGAGGATTGCGTGCTTCCCCCCATCTATGCTGGGCCTCCTGCTCACTGCCCCACCCACCAGAGATCCCCTGGATCTCCCCCCAATCCTGCCCAGCCCCCACAGGCATCCCCTCCATGAGCAACATTGAGGTGGCCATACCCACCCCAGCCATGCCCACCCAGTTTGCCGTGACAACCACAGCCATGCTCACCCAGTGGGCCATGCCCACTCAATGGGCCATGCCCCTATGCCCCCCGAGGGCACCACAATGCTGATGTGGCCCTGGCACTTTGTGGTAAATAAGTGGGTTTTGGGTTGTGGTTTGGGCACTCGGTCTCTAAAAGGTTTGCCATCACTGGTCTATCCTTTGGGCTGGAATTAAGATAAAGGAAAAGTCTTGAGGGCATATCTTTAAAACCAGGACTGAGTTGCAGTCCAATGCAACTTTAGGATAAAAAACTGATAGGAATTGTGGAATAATCTTAAAATATGTACATTGCAATTAGAATTCTCAAACATTTGTCCCCAACCTTATTCCTATCTCAGGCTCCCCAGATGCTGAGCATGGGCTTTGGTCCACACAAAAAATTGACTACTCATATACAGAAAGCATCAAAATGTTCTGCTGACTCCTCCGATTAATAAATGAATTAAGCACATTTTCCATTTTTATAACTAGAAGATTATTTAATCATGTGAATTTCTTGACACCTGTAGTCAGATTTTGCACAGGTCAGCGAAATTTCAATCGATTTCCTAAAATGAAATTAATACAAACTGTCATGACAAAGAACAGGAAAGTCCTTTCCGTGGCCCTCCAGATGCTGTTGGACAACAACGCCCAGCAAACCCAACAGTAGGGCATCGGAATCCTTTCCCCAGAAAATGGGAGGTCAAATGAATGGCACAGTACCAAACTCTTGATGGCTTCTAGCAGCTCTTGTGAAAATGAAGCAAAGGTGGTAAAAGCTTCAGAAAGCTTTTCATCTCCAGTGTTGTGATAGTTTCCTGAAAATTTCTCCAGGGCAGCAATATGAGCTTCTAAATGGCTAATGAGATCTGCAGAAATAAAAAGGTATTTGAATGTTCTTGCACATCTTTTTCTGAGGCAAGCAAAGCTGTATTACAAAAAGAAAACAGAAAACGTTGGCAGGAAGCCATTTCATTTATTTTAATGGCCCTAAAACCAACATGAATACATATAGTATTGGAATACTCTGGAAATTAGGATATGGAAATGTACTTTGAGAAGGACATAGAATGCCACATGAAGGTAAGGACCTCAGATAACTGATCTGAGGTTCTTAAGATAGTACAGCAGAAGAGAATATGTGGTCTTCTAGTTCTTGGGACCTCCTGACCATGCTTGTAAGGGCAGATAAGGGCTGGAGTTCCATGCCAAATGAGGAATTACAGATTGCAAATGGTAAGCCTTTACAAAGTAGACTGCTTTATAATAAGATACGATCCCTCAGTCTTTTCTCCTCTGGAAAGAATGACTTCCAAATGTATCCTGAATGGGAAATTTATCTACAAGGAAGGAGGTGTAATGACAAAGGGGTCACAGAGAGATAGCTGGTCAGGAGCGAAGGAAGCACTTTTGGAATATATTTTCTCTTTGAGAAATTGATGTCACCATGGTAATGTCCATGATTATGCTGTTCTTTTTTGGAATCAATTTGTTTACAAAAGTATTTGTCTGATCTAATTTCTTTCACGGAATATTACAGTTTGGCTGAATTCACACTGTGGGATGTCTCTGCAGGGGAGCAGGACAGCAAGTGATACCACAGTGTTAATGGCATCGTCATGCAAATAATTCAAATTATATAATTTCTGTCAGTTGTAGACATGTGATGCCTATGGTTGTATAAACAAAGTTTGATTCTGGTTAATTGTAGTCTATCAATCTAGCCATTCTGACTTCTAAGTCATGGTTTATGGTTAATGTGCAAATCAGGATATATGGCTTATTTAACAATCCTTAGTTAAAACAAACTGTTGCACAATGTAATGTGTGAATCCAGCTTTTTTCTTGCATACACAGATTATTAAGCAGAGTGCATATAATTAGTCTGCTGCACCCAAACGTCTGTTCACATGTAACAAAGAAGTACACAACATCAGTGAACAGCCAATTTCCATGGGGTTCAGCAAGATTGCCTGTAATGGGCAGCATTTGCATCTACAGCTTGACACGGAATTCTAGAATGTCTGTCTGCAGGAAAACCAGCTTTTCATGGATGAAATGAAAAGGATTTAATATAAAGGAGAGTTGCTTAATGCTAGGCATGTACTGAGTTGAAATTTCTTTGTCATGCCTGAACAAGTATATTTGTCAGGTAGCAGTCTGGTGCATCCTACCTGAAAATGGCAGTTTGTGCAATACATTTACTGAGTGTGATCATAACAATCAACTTTTCTTTCTTTGCGTGACATGGACTTGGCTTATACATCATGTTGCCTACAAGATGGTTGCCTAATTTATGGTTCAATGTAAGTTGCCTCCCCCTCTCCCCCTTTTTGGTTCCTTTGAGGACATATTGACATCCTGGACAAGCCCCTGCAGTTTTCTTGGCAAAGTCTTTCAGAAATGTTTTGCCATTCCTGCTTGTTAGAGCTGAGAGGGAATGACTGGGCCAAGGTCCCCCAGCTGGCTTCTTGCCTAAGCTGGAACTAGAACTCAGAATCTCCCAGTTCCTTACCTGATGCCTTTACCACTTACACCAAACCAGTTCTCTAAACAGCCTTACTAAATTCAACATTCTTACTAAAGCTTAGTAGGATCTATTTCTGGATACCTGCATTTTGTAGAATTAAGAGAAAGAAGAAAATGAATTAGTCATTTTTTAAAAAAAATACTCCTTAAAGATATAAAGATACAGAAATATTCTGGCCCATCAGATTTGGCTCACTTGGCTACATTCTATTTCTTGTTGCAGTCTGACCTTGTCCAGTCGTGTGTTTTGCTTTGACTGCTTTCCTCATTTTTTGCAGAACAGTTCGATCTGAATCCAAGTCCTAAAAGCATTAAAAAAGAAAGGCTAAACATATGTTCTCTTTTGCCTACAACCATAGTCACAGCAATTGGGAAAAGTATGTTATTGCAGAGTTACCAACATGCTATTACTTTAATTTTGCAGTTCATTAGGATTAGCTTTTATAGCAAATCATAAGGACACTAAAATGGTGACAGGCTTGGAATGATTTCATTATACAAAGGTTGTGGTTATATCCTAGCATCATGGTATCAGACACAATTTTATAAGTGGTGATATTTGCATGATGACATCATAATGCATATATTGTCATCCCCTCCCCACAAAACCTATGTTCACAGAAGCTTTTAAGACAACAATGATGCAGGATGTTTCTGAAAGATTTCAGTGGTTTTGTTCAGATTTATTACAATCAACTATATAAACTTACTTTCATAACTAACCTGTTTGGATTACTGCAATATACACTACATGAGGTTGCCCTTGATGACCACCCAGAAGTTATCTGGTCCAGAATGCAGTGACATGAACTGTATTGGGCGCCCTGAGGTTTGCCCATTATACCTGTTCCATGAATTGCATTGGCTCTCAATTTTCTTCCAGGGGCAATCCAAAGTGCTTATATCTTTAAAGCCCTATATAGCATGGGACAAAATTACCTGCAGGACTGCCTTGCTTGCCTTAAACATTGCCATCTTGTGGGTCCTTGGAAGCTTGCCTTTTCTGTTGCAGCCCTTGCGCTATGGCACTCCCTCCTCCCAGATCAAGCTGCTCCTAGCCTTTTTATCCCTGTGGACAGCTTTCAAGACTTGACTATACTGCAAGCACTGGAATAGGGTAAAGTGAGATGAGAATGTGGGTAGCATCAGAGAAATGGGGCTATAGTGCCAGGTTTTTCTGTTTTATTGTTTTCAGCATTATGTATTTATTGGATGCAAGCCACCCAGAGTTGGTTTTAAGATGGGCAGCTATTCAAATGCTGTAAATAAATAAATGCTGTTCAGATTTTTGCAGATCATCCAATGCTGGAATTTTCTCCCCTGCACCCCAAGATAAGAATAACCTCATTAGTTCCCAGCTTCTGAAGGTCCTTCAAGATCTGGTTTTGCCAGCAGGCCTGGGATGGCAGGGGACAGATGAACTAGTGAGGTGGCTCCATTGCTATAAATGTCCCTTCGTCTAAAAAAACTATACAAACTACTAAAACAAGTATAATGTTTTTAATACTTGTTAATGAAAATGATTTTAGATATTTATTATTTTAGTTTGTTGTATACATCCCAGAATAACTTGCTTGTGAAATGGCTGATATAAATTATGTAAATAAATAAATAGACTCAAATACATATACTGGAAAGCATGGTGAGGATTGCTAGCAATTTATTACTCTTTTTGTGTGGAATGAAGATAGAGAAGTTTGTCACTGTACAGTTGGTGGAAGTTCAAGGTGTGAACTAACTAGACAAGATTTTTTTATTTTATTTTTCTATTGGTCAAACGGACAACACTGAAATCATTAACTATATGATATACCAGTGGTGGCGAACCTATGGCACGCGTGCCAGAGACGGCACTCGGAGCCCTCTCTGTGAGTATGCGCGCCATGTCCCAGAAATGGCAACTGTCCCTCTTCAACCAGCCGCCCGCTAACTCGCCGAGATCTCACGTGGCCGGATGCATCTCAGCACAGCTGGTTTCCCTCCACCTGTCCCATCCCTCCTGGTCTCGCATGCTCTCCTTTTCCCGGGCATGACCCACTGCATTGTCTCCTCAGCTGTCGGCTGTCTATCCAGCTCAGAGGCGGCTTCTCTGAACTTCTGGTGGTGGGCTGCAGAGCCCCAGAGTGCGCCGGTCGAGGGGCCGGCAGACTGTGGCTGCTGACAGACACTGTCAGCCCCCATGCGCTCGCTGGCCTCTGTGTGCGGGGGCTAATGGTGTAAGACAGCAGCCGCCCCGGCCCCTGCCTCATCTTGTCCTGCGACAATGGCACCCCAGTCCTGCCTCACCCCACAGGACGAGCCTCCTGCCCACTGCCCCACCTGCCAGAGACTCCCTGGATCTCCCCAAACCCTGCCCGGCCCCACAGGCATCCCTCCCCATGAGCAACATTGAGGTGACCATGCCCACCTTGGCCACACCCACCCAATCTGCCATGACCACCGTAGCCATGCCCACCCAGTGGGCCAGCGACCTGGCACCCGGTAATAAATAAGTGGGTTTTGGGTTGCAGTTTGGGCACTCGGTCTCTAAAAGGTTCGCCATCACTGTGATATACAATACAATCATATACAATATACAGACGGAGTACTATGGAGGAGTACTATTCAGTCAGTACAAATAAGACTTATTGCTTCTTGTGAGATTACACATTCTTTACCAAATTAAACCTTAAACTAAAGAAAATAAATAAAATAGACCAAAATAAAACCTCAGCAATGTTTCACATGTGACAAATGTGAAAAATATCTTTAATGGAATAGTTATTACAAACAGAGTGCCTCGCAGAACTCTACACTGAAACTGACACATAATTAAAAATGAAGCAAACCAAAAATATTCAGAAATGCAAAAAGTAAAAGAAAAATGACAGTCTGCTGACATGCTGAATGGCAACAGAGACAGGAAACTTTTTGCAGCTAAACTCCAAATTTTAGTTAAAACAGGGAGAGACAAAGAGTTCTGTCTGAATAACCAATTCAAAGAAATTAAGGACAACTGAAAAATAGAAGGATAAAAAATAGTTTTTTTAAAAAAAAATAAGAAAATTACAGAAATCAAAGGAGGCAAACACATACTATAGAAAGAGGTGACACAACCATAGAGAAAAAACATGACCAAAACAGATTGTCAAAATCTTTCATGAAAAGATTTTATCACAGAACTACAATCAGACATTCTGGAAAATAAAATTAAGTGGCCCCTACAAAATATTGCTAATAACAAGCCAGCAGGAGCTGATGAAATTCTAGCAGAATTATTTAAAATCTGACAAGATGATGAAATTAAAGTTCTACGTACAGGTATGGAATGCAGTGTGTAAAGGATTGGGAATATCAATTTATTTCCCAGTATCAAAAATTAACAGTACTAAAGCATGCTCAGTCACACACTACAATAGTAAGATAATGCCAGATGAAATAATGTCAGTATGCTAATTAGAAGCACTAATAATGAAGATAAACCTTTGGACTTATAATGTGAACGTCACCAATATTTTCTTTTTCTGATGCTACAAGTTTTTTTCCTCCAAACTATTAATATTCTTCAATGGTTTCTTGCTACCAATTTTAAATTTAATGTTACATCCTGTCCTAGCTCTTAAGGGACTTTTGATAGATTTCAGGATCTGCTCAGCTCTTTACAAAACTAAACTAGCTGTCCATTTCTAGAATCTTCTTCACAATAAGTGTGGTTATTGGGAAACCAAAATGAAAGATGTGCAACACATTTTAAAAGAGGAAATGAAAAAGTAAAAGAGACAGAAATGGTTCTAAAAATTATAATCAACAAATATTTACTGTAAATGATCTCTTCCATAGCTGTATAAACGGTGCCCCACCTTATTGTTTTAAAAATATCAATTATGCCTGTTGTCAGTCAGTTGTTTTCTCAGAATGAGAGTTTATTTTCATGTGATTCATTCCTAAGTAATATTGTGAAAAGACCATAAACTTAATCTGCCTGGTTAAATTATATATAAACAGTTGTTGAAGTGCTGACACAGGATAAGAATAATAACTCAAGAAATATGCAGAATTCACTAGCCAAAGAGCATATCAACCTATTTCAGATTGTGCCCATAGGAACTCTGCAGTTATTAGATAAGACTAATTCATGGTATCTTCACCAATGAGATGAAACCTGTTAAGGCTCAGAGAAATTTTGTGCCGCTGTAAAGTCCTGTGGTGGTCTGGCTCTAAAGAGTATAGCTGTACTTATGGCATTTTAGGGAGTAACACATTTATTATGGTCAAACTCTTGTACATCATAACCTTTTTGTCAGCTTGGCTGGAAAGTTTTAAATGGATTGTCAACCTCTGTGAGCATCTGGATGCACAGATAGTCATTCATACTTCAAAATAGAAATATAATATTAGATTTTTCACTTTTTCAGGAACTTAATTTTTAATTAACAATTGCATTTTTATTATGTAAACTGCTTTGAACTTCTGCTTTTGAAAGAGTAAAGTGCACATTATTTCACAAATAATAATTGGTTACATATTAATAGGATGAAGGGGAAATTTCCTGATTCTTGTTTACTCCCCCCCCCCCAATAAATCCTCAGCAACTAATTCAATCCAGTTGTATTGGCTTAAATCCTTTTTCCCTGCTCCTCCCTTACCTCCTCTAAGATGCAAACTGTGTTCCTGCATTTGCCCAAGTGGCTAGTAAAGGAGGAGGTTGTTGGAGAACTCAGGTCCTCTTGGGTTTGGGAGATGAAGTCTTGGACAGAAATTAGGTCTGGCATTCTTGTGTCTGTGGCGGGTGAACGTAGCAAAGAAGGACACAGCCTTGGGCTGTCCAGCCAAGTCAGAAAAGTGGAATATCAGGCCACAGAAAAAAGGGGAACAGGATTGAGAGGAAGCAGCTAAGGGTAGCTGAGAAGACCACAAACCTCTGAAAAGCAGAGCAGCAGCTTGCTCACTCTTCTTCTGTAATTCTGCTTTCCTGTCCAAGTCATGCACAGAGAGAATAGTACGTAAAGAAATGCTCAGACTTGTGCACTTTTCTACCACCCAGTAATTGCCTATCTTGTGACTTTCCCGGGCCATACAGTGACTTGGAAAGGAGTGTTTGGTCACCAATTCTCTTGAGTATTTAGAAAAATGGCAAAAATGCCTTTCTTCTGCCAAGCTTTTAAATTTTATTTTTTGTATTTTTAAAATATTTAACAGTCTCAAGTATTTTCATAAACAGAAAGGCAGAGTATACATTCATAATAAATAAATAAATAAAATTATGCTAAAATACTTTTTTTACTTAAAGTTAACATTTTTTTAAATTCCTGGATGCTGATTACTATGTGTACAAAGAGATACATACAGTATGGCAGACAAAAAAGGCACAAAGGATAATGTAATTTTGGTTCAGCACTGGACTTTCCAAATATTCAAAACCAAATTGAAGCTATCTCCCACTGAACTCCGAATAGTTTTCTAGTACTGTTTGTAGTCTGATCATTGAAAGGAATTGTGTGTTCATATCTGTTCAAATCACTTCATTTAGTGTAGTACTAGTTGCATACATATTGCTTATGACACACTTTAGCTAAAGCTATTTTGGCACATATTTAGGAGCCAGTTGGTCCTTTGGAAACGAAAGATTAATCAATAACATGATTTGCAGAGCAACCTGAGTTCCTAAAAGTTTAGTGTTGACAGCTATAAACTGATTTTTGATGCCTTATTTTTTTTACAAATTGTGCAATATTGCACTGCATAGATTCCCCACTTACTGTGCTGTGACTCATACAACAAAAATCTGCAGCAAAATTCAGTGTACTCATCTCATTTAATTGTTTATAAAACTGCACTGGCTTCCTATAAGCTTTCGGGTGCAGTTCCAGATGCTGACTATCTCCTATAAGGCCCTTTATGGCACAGCCCCTGGGATAGCCTGACTCTAATTATCTCTGCTCAGCCCAGAAGCTCCAGCTGAGTGGATACATTTGGAGTCCAGACAGTGGTTTGGTAGTAGGCTGATTACCCAGAATAAGGACCAAAGTAAAAGTAGATAACTTCCTTAGAGCTTAGAACAAATGATGGGGAACAATCTCTCCTGTCTTTTGATTATAAAACCAATGCTTTGTTTGGCCATGTCCACCATAGCAGCCATTTCACAAATAGATGACCCACATACTCCATATTATGAAAGCACTTCAATATGCTCTCACAATTGCCCAAATATCCAAAGCCCATACAAATTACGTTACTTAATAGAATCTAAGGTACTGAAAAGCTATATAACACTATTAACTATCTTTCCCATTCGTGAGTGTTTCTTATGAAGATGAATGTGGCTTGGTATTCCAGCAGTCTAAGTGTTCTAATCCACAAACAGCAGTACATCTCTACCTCTCTCAAACTGGATATTATATTATTAGCAATTTGGTAGGCATGGTTGGAGAGAAAAAAAATCACTGTGATTGATTATCTACAAAAGTTAGTATAGTTTGCACCTGCACAACCTTTCTGCACTTCCATTGCAAAACTGACAAAGAATTTGATACACTTAATTCTTCTAAAGATTCAACTAGACCTTAATAGTTTTTTTGTCCTCAGTGCATCATCATAGCATTTTATTCAGTGTGGTACAACACAACCCAAGATATAGTAAATATATGAGGAAACAGAGGTATAAATGCAATTAAGTTGATCCAATCATCTTCTAAAGTTCCCCCCCCCCATGGTTAAAATTGGTCTGTTTGCGTAGTCTATTTGGTACATAGTCTATTTTCTTATGTACTGTTATATAAACACAAAATACTAACAATGACAAGTGATAATTTTTCCATAAATAAAATGCATCCCACTACCGCTTACCATCTCTTGCTCTATAATATTGGGATTTTTTTTTTCTCTATAGCATGTGTTTTGACTAATTGAAATTCATTTTCCCACAGACATTTGATCTGGGAACACAAACAGCACCAGCATAAAACTGTTAGTCTTCTTTGTATGACTAATTTTAGTGCTTCTACATCTCCTCTGCTTTCTTTTATTTATTTTATCCATAAAGTCCACAGAGTCGATTTTTCAATAAAACTTTATCTTCGGAACTATTGACAAGTAAAAAACATATTTCAAAGACTGTTATGAATCCTATATGTGAGCAGGCTGTCTGCTCAGATAGAGGCAGCATTTCTTTTCCACTGGCAGATGCATTTTTAAAATGCTGTACGAATAATTAGGCAGCTATATTCCACGTTCTTTAAGATCTTTGATAGAAAGTCACTGTTATCTCCCTTCTGTTCCTCTTGTTAAATCCCTATTTGCTGGAGAGGAAGAGTAATTCTTTAGCCATTTATTATCTTCTCACTGATGTATCCAGGCATTGTGTAGAGAATAAGAACCAAGAATATGGTCACAATTGCAATGATCAGCAATGCAATGATGTACTTCTTATACCGTTTCCAAATGAAGAAGACGAATGTTTTTATGGGGTTCACAAACCAGTTGAAGGATGTTTTGGGACGACTGGAGGAGAAAGAACATGTTTTAGATAGGTGGGGAGGGAGAGAGAAGCTAAGGAAGGAATCAAATGCTAAAATTTAAAATATACAAACCATATGCCCTATATCTGATGTAACATGGGTGGCTATATAAATGTTTTAAGGAAATAAAATTTGACTCCCACTGAGTGTACAGATGCTTGGATTCTCATAAGGAGGCACCTTCTCAAGCATAAAATTTGACTGAGTTCATCATCTTATCTTCTTTAAAGGAAACCCAGAAGCAAAACACAAGGACAACAACTGTATCATTCTGTTGGCCAAGAGTGAGTGATATTCAGAGAAAAATTGCTTCTCATTCTGGAGGCAGGATATAGTTATCACAAGTATAGTTCATGAATAGCCTTATTCTCCTTAAGCCAATATTCTTTGCTTCAGCCTCATAATCTGAAAAGCTAAAGATCTTCCAAACTGTGTTGCCAGTTTTTAAACTGAATATGTTCCATATTCTGTATTCTATTTAATTAGCAACATAAAGAGGCAATTTTAGCAGTATGATAATTTTCGATATAAATTGATTTTTGGTAAATTTAGGCTCTCTTTCTCTTACTACTTTCCAGCTATCTGGACCTGGAAATGATAGTAAAAAAATAAGAAAATACAGTAAAAAACAGAGTTTCAGGACATCTAACTGGAAGTGGGCCACATTAATATAAAATTATCCTAACTTTACATTCAGCTAACTCCTCATACACATAAACAGGAGGATTCTAGAGCAGGGGTTCCCAACCTATGGGCCGCAGCCTGGGCTGTGGGCTCTTGGTCAGCAGGCCACGGAAAAGGCTGGCCGATGCGTGTACATGTGAGTGTGCATTCCCCCCCACTCGTGCTAGCCCCTGCGGGCCTATTTGCCCATGCGTGCAGGCACAAACGGGGATGCTAGCGTGGAGTGGGTGTCTGCAGCCCATTTGCACATGTGCCGCTAGCATGGGTGGGTTGCATGGCCTGTTAGCACATGTGCAAATGGGCTGCTAGCTGCCACAGGGGATGTGTGACTGTTTGCGCATGCACACAGCACCAGCGCATACCGCATGAACAAACAGGGCTGCTAGTGCCATACCAGTGTGCGTGGCCCCGTGCAGCCATGCACCAATTTTGAAGATGCTCTCCATCCCTCCGGTCCGCGAGCCCAGAAAGGTTGGAGACCTCTGTTCTAGAGAACCCTTCACTATATATCACTGTTACCATTCTGAGTGGGAGACCAAGGGCAGATATGGTTGGATCTATGACAGAGGCATTTGTATGATAATCAGCAAACATTTATCAGCACTTACTTGGGTTTTTCCAAAGGTTCTGGTTCCTTTCTCCCCAGACCAACTGGGTTTTTTTCAGCTTCCTCTATAATCAATAACTGAAATTCAGCTTCTACTTTTCCCTGAAAAAAAACCATACTATGAAATAGCGGTTAACATTTTCAAGTGTTTGCTTATTAAAGAAAATACAATGCAACGAACCAAAAATTTTCTCCAAGAAACACAATTTCCACAACAGTTGAAACAGTGGTGGGATTCATATATGTGAACAACCGGCTCTCTGTGTGGATGCCGCTTCCGGAAGTCCATTCTGGGCCTGGGCAACAAAAAATTAGCTACCGGTTCTGCCGAAGTGGTGCAAACTGGCTGAATCCCACCACTGAGTTGACAGCAAATTAAACATAAAATTAATCAATCAAACTCAAGAGTAAAAATCCATGTCTGTAGAATCAATCATCAGAGAAATGGGAGAAGTCAGTTGATAGTCTTTAAGAACAACTGCTCTGATACCTAGAAAAGATAGTGGCTTCTGATAATATATGAGGCACCCATTATTTTATGTTCTGTGTCTTACGTTTTATGTCTCTTTAAACACATTTCCTAGCAAGATAAAGATATTTTGACTGCGCTCAGAGTAGCACAGATCCCATTTAATTCTAGATTGGGATCTTTTTGTAGGGTCACATCTATCCACCTATTTCCTCTGCCCAGAACATGATGTTGGCAAGAAGTTTTTCTGATTATGAAGTTCATCTTTTTAAATTTCCTGTCTCTGGAGACTGGTTTGTTCTTTTGCCTGAAGCAAAACACATTGGCATCAGCCCTTTGAAGTTTTTCTTTTTATTTTGAATTCTTCTTTTACCCTGTCAGGTTTTGGTTTTATATTGATAGCCATCACAAATATATAAATTCCAAACTATAGTCTAATGAAATTCAGAGCTTTTTCCTAATATCTGGAAACTGAAGATGGATTCAGCCTGGTGACATTCTGTAAAAAGGCAATTTCAAAAGAAAGCATCACAACTGTCAGAAAACTAGGGTCTGCCCGATTCCTCTCAGATAAAGAGGGAAGTAGGAATAAGAAGACCAGGAAAACAGAGATATTTTTAAGGAATGGGAACCCTAAAATAAAAGCTGGGTTTCAGCCCCCACATTTATATCTTAGCCTTTCAGGCACCACTTCAATTTTGCTGCATGTTTTCTTACAGTTAAGATGAAGATGTTCCCACTAGGATCTGAAAACTCAACATCTTCTGGCTTAACTGATCTCCTCCATTTCTTCTTCTTCTTCTTTTTCTTCTGCTTAGCCTCCCTCTCTTCCCTTTCGATGTCTTCCTGACCTTTCAATTTAACGAAGGGCCACCACCCTTTCATTCGTTTGTTTCGGAAGATCGAAAACCGTGGCATGGCCTTTTCCTTGGCCATCTTGATAGTGCACTGCTCTGAACTCTTGGCAGCTCTCACCATATCATTCAGCTTTAATTCAATGGCTCCTATAAAGGTGCAAAAAACAGAGAATCTCAGGCACTCACCCACTTATATAATATATAATATACGCAATAATTGCTAAACCGGTAAGAATTGGTTTTTTAAAAAATTTTACTGGGAATTATATTAATTTTGATCACAATTAGCATGGCATCAAATCTTCATAGCCTGAAACGTTATTGCAGAAATCACAATATGACTTCTTAATGTCATCTTGTTGAATCCTGCTCAAGGCAGAACATTCTAACCATCAGTCTCCCAATAGCATGGCATAAGTAGAAAGATGTTTGTAAGATGTTTTGACCAAGTCACATACAGAAAAAGAGGGCACAGCAATCTGGCTTGAGAAAAAAATGTGAACCTCCTTTTCTTCAAACTTCCTCTTAAAGATAGTACAAAAAACCTATATTCTGAAGCTGAAGAAATATCCTTTAGTCAATTCTTGAACAAAGTCCATCTACTACTAATCTTATGGAACTATCATTTGATACAATTATGCACCATTATCACAGATGGCTAAATCTGGTGCTACTGATGAAATACTGACTGAAGGTGGCATATAATAACTACAGCACATGATCTAACCCAGGGGTAGGCAACCGTGGCTCTTTTATGACTCGTGGACTTCAACTCCCAGAATTCCTGAGCCAGCCTGGCTCAGCTTGGAAACCTCTCCTTTTCCCCTCAGCATGGCTGGCTCAGGAATTCTGGGAGTTGAAGTCCACGAGTCATCAAAGAGCCAAGGTTGCCTACCCCTGATCTAACCCAATTGATCAGGTTGATCACTGGGTTCTCCTGGGAAAGAAAAAATATAAAATGGCTTCCTTTTCTTATTGAGTCCTGTTTGAACAATACGATCTTCTCAGATTTTGTTGTGTTACTGTATTCTTGCATAACTCTCATAGCTGGTGAAGTTCATTTCAGGGAACTTCCCACCTTCAAGCTTCACTCAGTTTGTTACTCAGAGCAGAGAATAAACTCATTTATAACCTTGTTTGATTAAAGATGCTAGAAAAGTTGTAATCACAGCAGAAAACTTGCAGTTGCCAACTATATATACCCACAATGTACCAACCCACACTGGGCTTAGCATTATAGAATCCATCTGTGGTCTTCATCTTTGTATTCCCAATGGACTGTCTGGTTTCAGGTTTCACCTGTCCTTGGTTCTTCTAGCTCTGATACCCACAGCTCTACATTGGCAACACAAAACATTCTGGCCTCTTTTTAAAGCAGTTCCTGATGTTCATATAGATCTTCCTATTTAGTTAAGAAAACCTACCCAGGGATACCAGAAATTGTTTAAAGTTAAGGGACCCTCAACTGAAAGTTCTCTGGATATATCCAAATAATTATCCTGGTAACAGTAGAAAAGTGGCTTGCCATTTTCTTCTTCTACAATATTTCTTGACTTTTTAGCCTATACTGTTTCCCTGGGATTTCTCGTGATCACCCAGCAAGAATTAATCAGACCTAATCTTGCCTGGCTTCTTGGCAGAGGCATCTGGTATTTTACTTGCTAAACAAATAGGCAAACAAATGTAATACAGGTCGTCCTCAACTTACAACCACTCATTTGGTGACCATTGAAAGTTACCAAACAAAGGAACTTGCAACTCACATTGAAAACCATTGTAACATTCCCATAGTCCTGTGATTAAAACGGCAATCAGCATGCATTTATGAGAGTTGCAGCATCCCAGGATCATAGGATTGAGACCTTCCCGGCCAACTTCAGATGAGCAAATTCAATGAGGAAAGCCAGATTCATTTAAGGACTGCATGATTCACTTAACAACTGCAGTGATTTGCTTAGCAACTATGGCACAAAAGAACATGAAAGCTGGCATGACTCACTGAAAACCTCCTTACTTAGCAATGGAAATTCTGGTCTGAATTGTGGTCTATAAATAAATGTGACTGAGAGCCAAAGAGACTCAATCAATGCTTCTGAATTCATAAACTCACCCTGACATTCTCTAGACCTTATATTGTAATATCTTGGTAACCACTGGGTAGTGCTGTGTATTCATTCTTGTCCTTTACTGCTTCACCAAGGATACAAATTTTGTATCTATAAATAGGTAAGATGACTTTTGCTACCTATAGTTGCATAAACCATTCAAAACTGAGCAAGGAGAAGAGGCTCTTGCTAAATTGTCCCTGGCATTCTGGGACATGTCCTCTAAATAATAGTGGGAATTGAAATAGTTCTTTTTCCTGTTTCTGGCTCCCTTTTTATTTCATATTAACCAGCTTAATAGAAGAACAGGACACCTTTAAGTAGCAGATCAATTTCATATAATTGCAAGCAAAATTATAGAAGATCTTTTTCTCCTAAATTTTCTCCTATTTGTATGCACTAAAACAAGCTAACATTCAAATTCTGTACATTTAGAAGAATACCTAGGAAATCATTTGCTGAAATCCTGTCATAGTCCCAGACTTGAAGGACTAGGACAGCTGGTTCACGAAATTCTGACTCTTCCAGAGAAAAAATAGAATCCTTCTTTTTGTAAGTTATCTCTTTCTCGGTTGGAAGATAATCAAAGCGGAACACAAACCGCCAGTTGAAGTTGCCTTCCCCAGTCAAAGAATTAAAATGAACATCTGTTTCTTGCTTGTCTTTCTCCAGTCCTTTGATCCAGCTGCAGGAGAAATTTTCATTAGCATCTAGCAACATTTTAACATAAGGATGATTCAGAATACAGGTAGTCCTCGACTTACAACAGTTCTTTTAGTGACAGTTCAAGGTTACGGCATTGAAAAAGGTGACTTATGAGCATTTTTCACACTATCTTTGTAGCATCCCCATGATCATATGATTAAAATTCAGATACTTGGCAACTGGTTCATACTTATGACAGCTGCTGTGTCCCAAGCTCATTCTAATCACCTTTTGCAACCTTTGGACAAGCAGAATCAATGGGGAAGCCAGATTCAGTTAACAGCCATGTTAATAACTTATCAACTGAAGTGATTCACTTAACAACTTTGGCAAGAAAGGTCGTAAAACGGGGGGGGGGAATTCACTTAATAAATTCACGTAACAATGGAAATGTTAGGCTCAATTGTAGTCATAAGTCAAAGACTACCTGTACATCCTAAATAAGGTAACAGTGGAGGAAGGAATGGAGATTTGCTCATTCAAGCCCAAAGGTTAAATGTCTCAGCTGCAGCCCCGCTAGCCTCCATCACATTATAAATGTCCACATTTTTATATATAGGTAGTCTTCGACTTACAACCCACTTGTTTAGTGACCGTTCAAAGTTATAGCGACCCTGAAAATAAGTGATTTATGACTGGTTTTCACACTAAACCCATTGCAGTATCTCCATGGTCACATGATCAGTTGCACTGCCTCTGGGGTCATGTGATTTGTAACCTTCCCAGCTGGCTTCCAACAAGCAAAGTCATTGAGGAAGTTGGATTCACTTAACAACCGCATGATTTATTTAACAACTGCAGTCATTCTCTTAACAACTGTGGCAAAAATCGTCCTAAAATGGGGCATAATTCACTTAACAACTATCTTGCTTAGCTGTGGAAATTTTGGGCTCCACTGTGCTTGTAAGTCGAAGAGTTATTTATATAGGATATATACAGTGCATTTTCATATGCAAGCTTGAAGAAAAACAGCAGCAGCTTTATTTAGGTGCCCCAAGCCAAAGTCTATATCAGTAGAGTATTATTTGCTGCAAAAATGAAAAATCATGCTAAATTGATTAACTCCCAAATAGCAAAGGAAAATCCACAAATTGAGAGTGGGCTAAAGTTCACATCATACAAAGTGCTTAAAAACCCAAAAGGAACCATGTAGCAGGAGGAATTTGTATCAGGATAATTATGAATTAACCTTCCACACACAAATACAATATATTAAATTCCAATTCACACACTAAATGAAACAGAAAGGATGGCCCAGGGACAGATTTCTGGTTGTTTTAACCTATCCCAGCAAATGCACCTTTTGACATATATGTCACTGGAAATTTCTCCTGTTATTGGATTGACATCGTCAAGAATCACGTCATCTGTATTCCAGATAATAACACGTAGTTCATAACTGGGAAAGAAGAAAAAAACCAAAGACAATAATGATTTTCTCGAAATCCTGAATAATTGGTTAGCTGATCTGTTAATTAATTGCAAAGATGCATTCAAGATGGGTGGCAGTGAAGTGGCCTTGCAGTGGCCTTGGTACAAACAAATCCTTAGGGCAGTGATGGCGAACCTTTTAAAGACCAAGTGCCCAAAAACTGGTCCTGCCCCCACTCCACCCCCTGTCCCACCCCCAGCCCACTCCCCATCCCCTGCACCACCTGCCCGCAGGGCCACTCACCGCCTCCAGGGCCTGCTGCATTGCCCAGGCGGCCCAGCAGCGCTATGGTAGTCACGCCCTCTGCCCGCCCCCTGCAGCATCCACTGTGCACAATGGGGTGTGAGGGCAGAGTCTTGTCTACGCTGCCTGGCTGCCATGTCCTTGGCAGCACTGCTCCGTTTGGGCCACGTTCAGGGGCAACTCTCCTTCAGGGGGGCTGCTGGAGAGAAGGGGGTCGTGGGGGGAGGCGAGGCTGGAGCAACAGCACATGTGCCCACAGAGAGGGCTCCGATTGCCGCCTCTGGCACCTGTGCCATAGGTTCGCCACCACTGCCTTAGGGTAATTGCAGATTCTCTGCATTTGGTTTAATGCTAAAATAGCACGAATTCAATATGATTTCCATGGTTTCCATATTAGAATTACAGATTCTTCTTGTATACCATTGAGTTAGTCTAAATTTGGCTCTAGCCAGTCTCTCCATTAATTCTGAGGCAAGCTGCAGCTGCATATTCCTCTTGCTTTATTATACATATATTACTTTCCATTCTTAACAGCATATTACCCACAAGTGTGCACTTTTCCATTTGAAAAGGCATCCAGATGAAATTAACTGTACTGATTCTGTTATTCTGCAAACCTTTTTCCAGAATATTAAATGCACTTTTCATTTATGTGCAATGTGATGCAATTTGCCGTTAGAAAGTAGATAAAAGGTTAGATGTTTGTGGCATCAGAGAATTTCAAGTCAAAAATCTTTTCCCAGTGCACAATATACACAACAAATTCTATAAAGATAAAATAAGTATTGATTCACATTCCTGTTCATAGAGGTCCCCCCTCACCTGATTGGCAGTCGTGGTTTGATGTTGACAGGTGGTGGCGCAGGGACATCATTTGGAAACATGTCAATCCACATGTGGAGAGAACCCTGGAGAAACAAGAACAACAAAAAGTCACTTGATAATGTTCTTTCCTTTGTTGGTCAATAGCCTAAGTTGCTTGGTATTATTCCGTGCATCTGTGTTTTTACACTGCAACTTGGGATGTGTTGTCTAGGCAACTAAACAGCATTTTTCATTCATCCTTTCGTTTATGCCCAGGAGAGTCAGGTCAGGTGCAAGAACATTAATCCTTGTTTCCCCAACATTTTTCATGTTCTTTGCTCACAACCTGCCCTGAAAAATGGAAGATGAATTCAGCAGAAAGTTGTACCAGGAATATATTTGCTGGCTGGAAAAGAATTCTTCCTTCAACCACAGTTCATCCCATTGGAAAGTAGGGAAGAACTGGAGATTCTCAGTATGACTTTGGGGCATCTGCTAGCCCTGAATCAGCCTTGTCAAGTTGTGTAGAAAAAAAGAAATAACAGTTTGTAGATATCAAGCCAAGCTGGCTAAATAACATCCTGTTTGGGGAATGTCCAGAAAGATTGAATCAGAAGGAATTGTCCCCTCCCCATTTCCTCTAAATTCAGGACTAATACAGATCGAGTAACTGAAATCACAATAGACTAAAACGATTAGAAAAATATTTACAAAGATGCTCCTGGAGGAAAGAAATCAGCATAATACCTCTTTGTTTCTTGGTTTTATTTCTATTTTTCTGTTTCTATATTTGTACAAACCATTCCACTGACCCAAATGCAGATATTTTCCTAGATTCACATGTGAAAAGAAATAGCTAACTCACTCTATAATTTGGTTCAAAATAAATTAAAACAGGCCAATTTTTACAAGTTATGTGAAGTGTAATCAGGTTCTAAGTATAGGCCAGTGGTGGCGAACCTATGGCACACATGCCAGAAGTGGCACTCAGAGCCCTCTCTGTGGGCACACGTGCCGTCGCTCCAGCCCCGCATCCCCCATGGCCCTCTCCTCACCAGCAGCCCCCGGAGGAGAGTCATCCCCGGGTGCGGCCCGTGCGGAGCAGTGCAGCAGGGACAAGACTCTGCCCTCGTACCCCATCGCATGCAGCTGCTGCTGCAGGGTGCGGTGGAGGGCATGGGCGCCATGGTGCTTCTGGGCCGCCTGGGCGATCGGCAGGCTATGGAGCAGTGGGAGGGCGGGACAGAGCAGGGGGTGGGGAGGGGGCGGTTTTTGGGCACTTGGTCTCTAAAAGGTTCACGATCACTGGTATAGGCTGACAACAATTAGGATCCAGCCTTCTTTCAATGAAGGGTTGAAGAAATTTCAATATCTTAAAATATTTTCAGACAAAATATTTGTGAGTAGGAGTATAAGCAAATGCCAAAACCAAGCAAAACCAGCATTATGAAATAGATAGACCTAAACATCTTTGACTGGTCTCAAAAATTTAAGTCAGGCTTAGTTTGTGATTGGATTGGAAAGCGTGAAGAAATCTAAGAGCTGTCAGAAAGGTAGCAAAATTGAAAAAAAAAAACATCCAGGAAGAAGATAATGGCAAACCATTTTCATAATTATGCCAAGAAAACTATATTGTTATATCTATAAAGTTATCAGGAACTGAGTTTGACTTGGCCAGAGTAACATGTAGCTATGATTGTACTAGAGCAGCCTTCTGTCCACAGAGGGTTATTATGGGAGTTGAAATATCTTATGTATATGTTATTATGTATATGTTATGTTATCTTAGAGAGGACCTCGCTAAACAGCAGACCACGCATGTGTTCCTACAAATATTTTACAGGTAATGGCTGTTATGCTACAGATAATAATAATAATAATAATAATAATAATAATAATAATAATAAGAAGAAGAAGAAGAAGAAGAAGAAGAAGAAGAAGAAGAAGAAGAAGAAGAAGAAGAAGAAGAAGAAGAAGAAGAAGAAGAAGAAGAAGAAGAAGAAGATGATAGAAGGGACCTTGGAGGTCATCTAGTCCAACCCCCTGCCCAGGCAGGAAACCCTCTACCATTTCAGACAAATGGCTGTCCAATCTCTTCTTAAAGATACATGTGTAAATGTTAGATGCAAAATATAACAACGCTATAATATGTATAAATCAACTTTCTGCTTTTACCTGGAGTATACCAGGGTTTTCTAGATTGTAAATGGATCGAACTTCCACATGTTCTGGTACTAATTTGCATCCATACTCGGGCATTTCATCCCAGTGTTGAAGAACATACAAAGCTTTGTGCTCATCATAGGCAGACCAGGTTTCATCATTACTTTCTATGTTGTCTTTTGCCAAGGCTTCTGAAATATAACAAAATACAGATCCCATCAAGACTAGATTCAATTCAGTAATTAATGTGATATGTGAGATTTCTAATCATCCACTCATTTTCAGTTTCTAATTTTGTATCCATAGTAGTGTCACTGAATTTGGAAAATTGTCCCAGTTGGTGGGAGTTGAAACTTAGCTTCACTTGATTAAAATAAAATTAACGGAGATCACTTACTTAAATCCCCCAAAGAAAGTGACAAAATATGACAAAATTAAAGATAGATATAGATAAATAGATATGCCTTCTGCAGCAGAATAAGTTGGGAGCATGGTCCCAATTAGAAAAGACTGTGGTACTAGTTGAAGTCAAATATATTTCTTGAGGACACCAGGCGATGGAAATTAAGGTCCTGAATAAATAATCAGGATTACATGGAGATGCATGTTCAGCTTTGGAAATAAATCTCCAGCAAGCTTGAAATAAAAATTATATCAGAGATATGTACCATTACCTTCAGGAAAAGCTTCAGGAGGAATTTTAAAAATCTTGTTATTGACTTTGACTTCCTCTGCCCTGTATTCAGCTGAGGGGAGTGCATTCTTCTTGCATAAACTTTCCAAGATATGCGTGGGTTTGAAAGCATCTCGCCATATATTGTAGCCTTCTCTGTAACAAATGATTAAATATGGGTATGTTGCATTTTAACAAGTTCAGACTAGATATGAAACTGGTTTATTAGTGCTGGCGTTCCAGCACTAATGTAGAAAGCATTGTGTCTTAAGCTCTGTTGACAAAGCGGCAGAATACTAATAAAATGAGAGAGGGATTCAGTCACCTTGACTGTTCCTATAATACATACGTGTCATATTGTGAGGCCACTCCACAATTGGCTCTGTGATTGCTATAGAATCGGTTCTCCAAGTCAATTTTGGTCTCTCCAATTAAATCATCAGATCCAACCAAATCATGGTCAAATATTGATACGGTGAGTTCTGATTCTATAGGAAAGGATATTGAAAGCTCCAGTACTCTAAAGATGAGATAGAAAGAAAAAAATATCATTGAGAGATAGCAAATAAAGACAGAACGTAACAAAATAGCTTCTGTACAACAATCATTTTATTGCTTGCTCTAGCAGCATTTCCTTTAATTTGTATTTGTGAACATAAATGCTAAAATAAAGGAGTACTGGCTGGATGCATCCATTAAAGACTATTCTTTCATTTTAAAGTCCCCAATTCACCTTCCTTCTTTATCTCGTATGGCCAGGTAAGTATCAGACTCTTGCAATTTTTCTTTTTACTAGCAGATTACTTTCTTTTACTCCTATTTTCATGAGCATATTAGTTGGATATAACCTCAGATTCTCTCTTTCTCTTTACAACAAACAGGTACATTCTTCTGAAATAGAGGACATCTTGTGGTAAAACAAGAATCAATTTAGAGAAGATATAACTGATACAAGACAAAAACATCCTTACTCTCCAAAAACTGGATTGAGCTGTTTTGGGATATATCGGTCCTTGGTGTCTTTTTGTTGTTTGCCAATCTTTACCACAAGATAAGGATCTGCTTTGCCATTGGGATCTGCTGGTGTCAAATTAGTTGCCTAAAGAAACAGCATCATGGGATATAATGACAGAATACAAAAGCACAGGACAAAAAGAATTCTACAAATTGGTGTGGAATTAATATAATGGAATTTCATGCAATTAGTGGTAAACCTATATCTTCCCATCTGAAAAAAGGCTTAGATTGCTTACAAATGAATTTTTCCTAACACAATCACCTTGGAGAATTCATGGTTTATAAACAGTAACTTCCATGTTTAATTCTACTATATTTTCCCAATACTGGGTCTATTTTCCTAACAGCAAAACAATCTGCAAGGCAGGGGCAACAACTTCACTAGGATTTTTTTATTTGAAAATACCCAACCCGAAAGAAGAAGAAGAAAGTTCTGTAATAATATTTTACTTTTCAATTTATAAAAGAATAGCACTTAAGAGCTATTCTCAATAAATAAGTAATGGCCAGGTTTGAAATAATGACAGAATCAGTAGCAGAAACAGATTGTGCTTTGGAAATCAACCTGTCTGCAATGTACCTCAAGAAAGATTAGAATCCTAAATCAGAAATCTGTATTTCTGTATATGAACTCAAAATACTTACTTTGACAATATAAATTCTGACAAGAACCTTGATGGGTCTATTTCTGGGGATGCCTTGGGAGATCTTATGTTCTGGACCTGCCTCTTCAGCGCGATAAACGTAGAATGAGCCCTGTAATGAAGAGAGTTGAGAAGAATGTGCTGTTTATGTAATATTGTTCTAGTAATTTATATTCTGAAAAGCCTTACTGATGAAAAGAAGATATTCACATCCCCTAGCAGAATATATCTGACTTTTAATTAATTAACATTCATTTATTCAATATAGCTGCCACCTGACTCCAACCCAGTCTCAACAGGTCCCAGTGGAACAATATATAAGCAACAAAAAACAAAATATTAACCTGAGCAAGTATAAAAGTGCAAAATACTTACAATACAATAAAGCAATCCAAACAACAATGTAAATACAAACACCCATCCTACCCCAAGATCAGAATAAATAGCCAGTTTTTCAAGACCTTCTAGAACATCATCTATGTAGGAACCATACAGACCTCAGGAGGAACCTCATTTCAGAGGCCAAAGAACACACACTTCCTAGGTCCTGAAACATGACACTATTTAATCAAGGGTGACCTGGAAAATGCCCACTTTGCCAGTTCATACCAGATTGGTAGAAACTGTGGAAGACAGGCAGTATCTTTATAGATAATAACTCAACACCTTGAATCACACTCAAAAGCACACCGGCAACCACTGCAGCTCATGGAGCAATAATGCTATGGCAAGCCCATCATATTCTGAACCAGTTGAAGCTTTGGAGTGAATGTGCTACAATAATAGATTGTGTTAAAATAGACTTTCTTTCAGATCAGCAGTCATATTCCCAAATTAGGATTTGGATCCAATATTTATCTCCTGTCAAAGAAAGTTCACCATTTGTAAAAAAAGAAAAAGAAAAGAAAAGAAAAAAAAGAAAAGATATCTCCATGTTGTAGCAACAGAAATCTGGGTCAAGAACTATGGAAAGTACATAGCAAAGCTACTGGTTGATCATTCCATTAAAGTCAATAAGGCTTATATTTTATAAGGGAATGAGTAAGACTGAATTGTGACACATTGACGAGTCCCTATGCCAAACAAATTAGTACTAATAGAAATAAAATCATTATCATTATTACTGTGGAACAAAATCAAATAGTATTAATGAATATGATTCAGTGGGGTTCCTACCTTGTATTTCCCAACAAATTTTTCTTCCTCATTCCCATCTTCATCTTCATTAACTTTTCCACGATGAAGTGGAAAAATACATAACCAGTCCTCAAAATTGTCAAACTCATTCTCTAGTTCTGAACTATAAATCTGGAATGAAATGGTAATTGAACATAATCTGAATTAGAAAATTTAATGCAATCAAAGACAATTTTTGTAGTGACAGATTCAGTGTTTGATTTTTTTTTTTGCTATTTATCCTGTTCCTTTTTGTGTTCAAAATTCATGTTATCAGTCAGATATGGGTTGTAATTCTATTTCAACAGACTACATTTTCACAGACAAGTGATATAGATAATATTATAAAGGAAGGCTAGGCAACTTTCTGTCCCAAAGATACAAACAACTCCCCCTAATTCATTTTCTGCAGTTCTTGGAACTTTTTCTGATCACTGTTGATTGAAAACTGGTAGTAAGCTTTCTGCCATTTTGAGAGAGAAAACATTAAATTATAGCATAAACTGTAAAACAGATTCAACATCATTTAAACAAGTTTAAATGCAATGTAACTTTGTAAAAAAAACCACAAAATCTTGGTCATACGTGGAAAGCTCTGCTATTTCTATATCATTGCCCTGCCCACCTTTGTCCTCACATTTTCCCACAATCATTTTCTAATCATCAACAAGTTTCCCATAACAGTTTCTTTCTATCCATTACCATCCTAATGTGTTAGACTTTGGTTGCTCTTGATTGCATAGTGATGACCAATGATGCCCAGTGTTTATGGTCCAATATATCTGGAAGAGACTGACTCATGAGTGGCTGTTATATAAAGGATGATGATAACATGATGTATCTAGCCTGACCATAACAACTGAATTTGGTATCCTATGCTCAGTCAACCAGCACTTGAAGAGAGATTTGATAAAAACCCATGGTTGGAGACTAGATACCTGTAATGATTTGATTACTTGTTCTCACATCTTTTGCTGTCTTATTTAAGACCTAGCAATGGATGTAGTATATAAAAATTGTAAAATAAAGAAAGAAAATAAAGATATATTGTGTTGGGAGTCCATTTGATATTTTCATTCACAGCTTTATTTTACAAAGATGCATTTTTATTACAGCAATGTGCAACCTAAAGAATCACATTGATGATTGTATTTTGTCAGCCAGAATCCTTTATTATGTAGAAATATTTGTATACTTATTTTTCAATGTGAAGTATGTATCGGTAGTATTATCTTAAATTACTATAATTATTTAGTGTGCACACACTTCAAGAAGCCAGTCTCCATTCAAAAGAATAATATGGGCACAATCTAATATCAAAAAGTCAATATTTTGAAGCCAGTAATAGAACATTGCAACTTCCCAGAAGGACATATTGTTATGACTAAAGAACACCTGTATGAAATAGGTGAGCTACCATTTATCAAGATGTTCAAATCTATCATCTCCTGCCTGAATCAAGATTACAGTTTTTTAGCTCATTACAAGCATTAATTAATCAAATACAATGATGCTTGTTTTATGAATAGCCACTCTCACGACCTTACTTTATATTCTTTTTACATTTCATTTTCCTCTAACTTGACTGCTTACAATATCTCCACTTTTTGTAACCGAACTTTAGAATGCTATTGCATGAATTAGATTCAAGATCACATGAACTTATGTCACAATATGGTTTTTTTGTCTGTAAGGTGCCATAGTGCTCTTGGGGCTTCTGTTTAACAGAAGAGTCACCATACTATTTGCAGAAGCAAAGGTATGGACAGTAGGACACAGCAATCAGCTACATCTCTGCTCAGCCTGTTTTACTTGGCTTTTAGCTTTAAAGTAGAAAGACAAAGAGAATAGACAACATGAACACTGAACAAATGATCGTAACAAATTATGTCTCTCACATAACATGATTAAATAAATTTCTTCGTCTGTTCATCTCTCAAGACTCTGCCATGTGTAAGGAATCCATGTGAAGAAACTAGAACTGCTTCAGTAAATATACTAAATTTAGCTAAATTTGTAAGTTATGTCAGTTTCTTTTTTTTTGTACAAAGACTTACTTTTAATGTTGCTATAAGTTTCCTTTTGGGACGAACTGGCTCAGCTTCAACAACTATTTCATCTTCTACATCCTCATCAAGAGAAGCAGCATTCAGATTCCCTCCATCTAAAGAAGATACTAAGAAATTAGATTGGTGTTCTTCTCAGCTCACAGTGTTAGTTGCTGGCTGCAATAATTTGGAGTAGTTGGGTAAAGTTAATGACTTTTCTTTACTGCATCCATTTTACTTCTATTTAGAATAGTGATCTCTTTCAACAGTTAAGAGCAAAACCTACCCCCCCCCCCATTTTATTTATGGCACAATGAGTTGGCCACATTTCTCTTTTTCTTCTCACAGAGAGAATTTAATGTTGGTACAGCAAGAGCCTGTTTGGATAGTCAGAATCAGATGACACCACAAGTACTTGGCACTTTAGAGAAAGCAGAAACTTTGGGATAAGGATCTGAGGTAGCAGGGGATTAACCACTGACTTGGTGTTTAGTTACAACATCTGTTCATTTTGTTGATGTATACAAAGACAGTGTTGGTCTCTTTCTGGTAAAGAAAACTTAAACTTCAAATAGGTAACAATCTGAAGAAATGTTGTCACTAGCATTCCGCTGCCCTGGTGCTTGCTGGGCCAATATAATCCCTCCTGGATATGCTAGTTATGGAAGACGGAAGGAATAATTTAAGACATTGTGAAGATACGGAGTTAAGGAATGCTGTTCTATAGCATGATTAGCTTACCTGCATCATTTGCATCATCCTCTTCTTCATCACTAAGAGACTGTAAAAGAGAATGGTTTTTAACTGAGTTATAACAGATGCCAATCAGACTTACCATTTTATGGTCTTAATAAATTTCTTATAGTTTTCTAATACTGTAGATTTCTTACAGTTTTCTAATGTGAGTTTTATAGTAAATGCAAGAAATGAATAAATTCTGCACTCAAAACACTGATTATTTAAAACCTATTATGGATAAGGATATTCAGATTTTCTTTTCTCTTCCTCTAATTTTAAATTATTTTGTGTGAGAGCCCTTTCCTCTTACCTGTTCTATAGAGTTCTTATTATGAGTAACACTACAAAGTTTTCATAGAGTTTGAAAAAAAAAGCTGGCAGTGCAGTGGTATACAGTAATTAAGTCACATTGAGAATTAATCCTAGGTTTATTGATAAGAGCTTGCAGCCCATCTCTATTTAGAAAATCAGCTAATGTATTGAAGAGCAAAGATATGGTAATAGTAAAAAAAGAAATTCATAATCTAAATTAAATAAACAGGCAGCTATTTTACCTAACAAAATCAGACATATTTTAGCAAATTTTACTGTTTAAATAGCCCCTTTTCCTTCTAGCATCCGAACTTTACACTTTATAATCAATGTTAAAAGGGACAGGTTATCCAACTCAGTCGCATATCTCATTATAATACAATATAAATTATACTGTTAGGTCCATGATTACCTGTTTATTTAATTCCTTTAATGATTCATAGTACTTAGACCACCAATCCAGTTCTTCCTTCTCAGGCTTTTCTTCCTCAAATTCTTCCTCTTTTGGTACCAATTTATCAATAGGAATTTTTTTCAGTGGTGCCTTAATATAAATGACATAAATTCCATCTATTATGTGGAAATGTAGAACAATCTTGTCGGACCTCTCCAACAATTGCTGGAAGATTACTTCATAAAATCCATATATAAACACTGAATCATTTTCTCATCATTACTATCAAGGTAAGAAGGTCATTAAGAAGGTGGTCAACCTGCAGCTCCAAAGGGTCCTGAATGGAAGTAGATTATCTGGACCTCTTTCAAACTAGGATATAACACTGAGAGAGCTTTGATTGTGCTTGCTAGTGACTTCTGGTGGGCTCAGAATAGAGACAGTGCATCCATCCTAGTCCTCCTTGATCTCTTGTCAGCATTGAGGAGTTGGAAGGTGGGGGACTTTCTAGATGGGTTCTTTCTCCAGAGCTGGTTCTAGTGTTGGGGGAAAGTGGTTTAGTCCAAAACCCTTGCTTTGTGTATGCCTCAAAGCTCTACTCTCTACCTCTCCTGTTTAATATGTATATTAGATAGTAAAGCTGTTGGAGGAGTGAACTTTTGGCATGGGGTGCAGTATCTTAGCATGCTGATAACACTTAATTGTACATCATGGCCCCAATCTTCCAAGTGAAGCAGTTTGGAGGTCTTGGGGATCTGATAGGAAAGAACAGATTTCAGCTCCACCATTCCAAGAAAAAGTAGCTGTGAATTTGGGGCCCTAGGGAAATGAATTGATCTTTGAATCTGGATGGAGTTGCATTCCCTCACTTGGATTCATTCTGCAATCTGGAGGTCCTTTGCACAATTTTGCCTTGGGCGCTTCTTCCTGGATCTGGGGGTGGGAGGTTCCTGATCACTGTCACTCAGAAGTGTTTTGGAAGTGACTAGACATGTCATCCAGCTGAATTCATGCTTAAGGCAGAATTAGAACTCATAGTTTCCTGATTTCTAGACTGATGCCTTAAACTTTATCCCAAACTGGCTCTTAAAATATTTTAGGGTCCCTTTTTATTTGTTTGCTTTCATGAACTTCCCATTTATATTTCCTTCTTTGCCATTTAATTGGTGCCATCATATCAATATTTTTTTCTAAAGCATCCATGTATGTATTATACAACCAACATTACAGAATCTCTTGTTAGAGTAAAGCTGAAGCTTTGCTGCACTCACCTTGACAAGCTTGAGGGGGTTAGCTTTATTTCCTAAGTCTCCAGCAGCTTCACCAATATTTATTACAGTCTGTCCAGCAGCTGCACCAATATTTATTACAGTCTGCCCAGCAGCTGCACCAAGGTTCATTACCTTTTGGGAGATATTTGGTTTATCTGATGCTTTCCTTTCTGAAATAAAAGATATTAACCATGTGTATAATGCAAATACATGTTTTTATTTCTAGGGTGACCCGTCAGGACATTTCTTTATACAGCTAATCCTCAACTTACAATGGAGCCCAAAATATCTGCTGCTAAGTGAAACATTTGTCAAGTGAGTTTTGCCCCATTTAATGACCTTTCTTGCCACAGTTATTAAGTGAATCACTGTAGTTGTTAAGTTACTGACATGGTTGTTAAGTGAATCTGGTTTCCCCATGGATTTTGCTTGTCAGAAGATCGCAAAAGGGGATCATATGACCCCAGGACACTGCAATTGTCGTAAATATGAGTCAGTTGCCAAGTGTCTGAATTTTGATCACATGATCATGGGGATACTGCAACAGTTGTAACTGTGAAAATGGTCATACGTCACATTTTCAGTGCCATTGTAACTTTGAATGGTCACTAAATAAACTGTTGTAAGTTGAGGACTATCTGTATTAATTGACAAAAATAATTTACGAAGTAGATGCTATACTCTACATATCTTGAATCCCAATGCATTATACTCTATTTCATTTCATTGGATGATGTCCTAAAAACTCACTCTTGGGGGGGCTATCTGTTTCCTCTTCTAGTTCATCTACTTCTTTAGGAGCAAATTTCATAATATGAGAAACTATGTGAGTTCCCACGAGGACGGAGCGTCCAAAGGCTCTCTTCTCCACCACAAAGATACTGAGAGGCGGATGTAAGTATACCTGTTCTGGAAGTTCCTATTAAAAAAAAAGAAAGTCAACCAAATTAATTTCAGAACAATCCATAGTATTTCTAAGATAAGTGGATTATTATGATGTTTCACCGAATTTCCAGTGATACAATAACAGAAGTACACATTTCTTTTTTTTATTATTATTAAATAACAAAAAAAGAAAAAGTTTAAAAACATTGAACATGGTAAATCAGACTTGACCAACATCTCAGTTCATTCCTATTCATAATTAATTAAACTCTATCCAAAAACATCACTCTAAACTCAATCTTAACTTATCTCATCACAGTGACCTCCAAATTTTTCCCCCCACCATTTATAAAATTTATTCCATATTTGGTAAAAATCCATAACATCCTGATTTTTGAGTCTTTTAGTTAACCTATCTAATTCTGTGCAATGCATAATTTTATAAATTAAAATTTCCTCACTAGGTACAGCTGAATTTTTCCAATTCTGAGCGAATACTATTCTTGCCGCTGTAACCACATGAATAAATAAATACATATCCTCTTTACTAACATTTCCTTCAACAATTCCTAACAAAAATGTCTCAGGCTTATATTGAATATTTTGTATGCTCATTTCTGTTACCCATTTCCAAACCATACGCCAATACCCCTGTGTTTCCTTACATGACCACCACACATGAAAAAAAGTGCCCCTTTCTTTTTTACATTTCCAACATGAGGCTGAGTGTCCTTTATACATTTTGGCTAGTCTTGCTGGAGGGAGATGCCATCTATAAATCATCTTATACGAATTTTCTTTATAGGATGACGCCAATGTAATTTTATTGTTTCGCATCCATACCTGCTGCCATTGATCCAAATTAATATTATGTCCTAAATCCATCGCCCATGTCACCATTGTTTCTTAGAGGACTTAAGATTAAGAGAGAAACATATAAACTTCAGGTTTATGCAGATGATCTAGTATTTATTATGGAAGACCCAGAATATTCCAGGCAGAAATTATTTGAAATTTTGGAAGTTTATGAAGAATATGCAGGTTTAAAAATAAATAAAAATAAAACAAAGATTATTACTAAAAATATGACTAATATACAAAAAGGATCTCTCGAGAATAAATTAGGTATACAAATAATTTCTAAATTTAAATATTTAGGGATAGTTATTTCTGCACGTTGCTCTTCAATCAAAGAAGATAATTATGTTAAATTAATACAAAAAATTAAAGTTGATTTAGACCGTTGGAGAAATTTACATCTTTCATTACTGGGGAGAATTGCTGCTATAAAAATGAATATTCTACCTAAATTGATATTTCTGTTCCAGAATATTCCAATTTATTTGGATAAGAAATTTTTTAAAGAGTTAAATAAAATAACTTTAGAATTTGTATGGTCTGGTCAGAAGGCTAGAATAAAATTGAAGGCACTACAAGACGCTAAGGAAAGGGGAGGTCTAGGCTTCCCTGACTGGGAATTATATTACCTAGCTGCGGCCTTATCTTGGACTAGCGATTGGATAACTTTAGAGAATCATAGATGTATACAGCTAGAGGGTTTTGATCTTCAACAGGGATGGCATGCTCATATGTGGAAGGAGCAAAGCAGAAACTATCAATATTTTTTAAAGCACAAAGTGCGGCAAGGGTTAATTAAAAGTTGGAATACAGTTAAATTACAATATTATACAAAGATCCCAATTTGGTTTTCTCTATCGGAGGCAGTTATACACCCCAACTTGCTTAGGAAAGATAAGGTTATTAGATACAAAGATATTTTGACGGAAGAAGGTGTTTTAAAATCTAGACATGAGTTAAGACAACAAGGAATAGAGATAGAGTGGTGGTCTTATCTCCAGATCCAAGCAAGATATTCGAAAGATAAACATGATTGAGGTATTTATAGACAAGATACGGGACTAGATAAAATTTTGCTTGGTCCAAAGAAAAAACAAATAAAGAATATTTATAAACATTTATTGGAACATAGGTTATTTGAAGAACAAGTTAAAGAAACAAGTTACACATTTCTTTTCTTGATCAGATATCCAGTAATTCAATATGCAGATTGCCATTGGCCATTTCCACTGAAAATCAGCTATATGCTGTAGGATTCTCAATGGTTATAAAGGGAAGAAAACAGTATTTAACAAAAAGATATGCACATGGATGCTATAAAAGATAATGGTCCTTCCTGTAATGGCAACGTGGAAGACCATTGTTATTTTGAGGAGTTTAGTGACATATTTTGTCACTTTAGAGCTCATTCTGCCCTAACCTGCTCACTTTGTTACTCTTGTTTACTGGATAAAGGAGAAGGGGGGGAGGTTCAAAGCTTTTCTCACTGTGAAAGTCTTTTGATTCCCATTCCAGAGACATATGTCATCCAGTTAAGGTCAGGTCTTGGAGGTCATAGCAGCTTGTAGTAGATCTGAGTATCATTTTGCTTGGTATGTATGCTTTTTAAATCTGTTTGCTTGAGCTAATAATGAAATTTAAAATCCTTTTATTTGTTTGCATGTTCATTGTTTCTGGAACCAAAAGAACCAATTGCCCAGGCACCTGATCACTGCCCTGACATTCAGAAAAACATCTCCTAGATCGTATAGTATAGTGGGTACCTTGCTCAATAGTAATAACTGTGAGAGGGACCTCGGAGTCCTAGTGGACAATTACTTAAATATGAGCCAGCAGTGTGCTGCAGCTGCCAAAAAGGCCAACACAGTGTTGGGCTGCATTAACAGAAGGATAGAATCAAGATCACGTGAAGTGTTATACCACTTTACAATGCCTTGGTAAGGCCACACTTGGAATACTGCATCCAGTTTTGGTCACCATGATGTAAAAAAGAAGTTGAGACTCTAGAAAGAGTACAGAGAAGAGCAACAAAGATGATTAGGGGACTGGAGGCTAAACCATATAAGGAACGGTTGCTAGAATTGGGTATGTCTAGTTTAACGAAGAGAAGGACAAGGGGGGACATGATAGCAGTATTCCAATATCTCAGGGGCTGCCATAAAGAAGAGGGAATCAAGCTATTTTCCAAAGCGCCTGAAGGCAGGACAAGAAGCAACAGATGGAAACTAATCAAGGAGGGAAGCAACCTAGAACTAAGGAGAAACTTCCTGACAGTTAGAACAATTAACCAGTGGAACAACCTGCCTCCAGAACTGTAAGTTTTAAAGAAGAGACTGGACAGCCATTTGTCTGAAATGGTATAGGGTTTCCTGCCTAAGCAGGGGGTTGGACTGGATGACCTCCAAGGTCCCTTCCAACTATTATTATTATTATTATTATTATTATTATTATTATTATTATTATTATTATTTCTAGCTTGATTAGTTCTATTACAATTATCTTAACTTTTGGGATTTGCCTCCTAATTATCACTTACCACATTAACAAATTTAACAAGTTCATTGAAATTGGGATTCTCTTTGTAAGTTGTGATCACTTCTGATTCCACTTTCTTTCCAGCACATTCAATTATCACCTGTGGCTGGTCAACCTCAAATAGATTCACACGTTTCAGATCTCTTAGGCCCCAAAACAAGATCTAAGAGAGAAGCAAATAAATGTCTTAGGTCAGAATAAGGCCAAGCATTCTCCTTCTCTAAAGGGTTCCCAGTCTTAAGTCACACTGAATTGTGTGACAGTTATATCCCAAATTAACAATCTCTTCTCTGCTTATAGTATTGCGAGAAACAAGGCTCACACTCAAATTATTGGAAATAATAAAGTTTTAATAATAAAGCATTTGCAAAGGCTGGTGGATTTCAAAGCTGCAAGCAAGAGACCACACCTGTTTACAGAGACCACACCTACTTAAGAGACCACACCTCTTAAGCAGTTTAAATACATCCTTTCCCAGCCACACAGTCACTCCTTTCCAGGCCCAGTTGATAGGCTCAGGCCAGTGACACATTCTGCCCATAAGATGCCACCACACCTAAATGTTTAAAGTTAGTTAAGCCCTTTTTGTCACCCAAACTTGCTGAACACTCAGCCCCTTCATTTCTCACCTCTTCGGTATTCCCTTATCAGTTCTCCTGTTTATCTGTACAATTCAGTGCCTGGTATATGTCTCAGGCCAGAAGCTGTGTATGTCATCGCCTAGCAGAGTTCATGCATCGGTTAAACATGGCTGTGCTTTGATTATGTAGTAATGTAGCTATACTTTAAAATACTAACTCTAGATATTTATCATTTATAAACTAATGTCCTAGTCTATATTATGGGAAATTACAACTTATTATGTTATATCTCACAGTATACTCAGTTTAAATTACTGTGGGTTAATCTCCATATTGAAGATTCTGATTTAGAACAATAATGTAAACTTCATAAATCTATACATCACTAAATTCTTATCTGTTTGATACTTTGTAACTTTCAATTGGGCAAAATTGTGCATCACAGAGCAACAATTTTTAAATCAACATACTTCTAATAAACCAACTTACAGAATGCATCCAAAATCTGGGATCCATGACTTCTGTGGGATTGAAATTTGGCAAAGCTGTGGCCATGTCATGCCACTAAAGTGGTACCTGGAAAAATATTAATGGTCTGACAAAGAATATGGGTAAAAAGCAGATGGCCCACCAAAGATTGTGTGTGTAAGGGAGGTTTGTTTTGCTTACAAGACAACTCTTAAATTTAGGATGGCCAGACATCCTGTTCCCAGCTCTGCACATGATATATTACTAACTGCTTGTCACATGGTGTATCTAAATTGCTTAACACTTGATATATTGCTGATTGCTAAAAACATTCCAATGTAAACGAGGAGCTATCGATTATAGATCTGTCCAGTAGTTTTCCCATGTTAGAATAAGGACCTATAGAATGTAACCATGTGAGGCATGTGACCTGCTCAGGAAATAACTCTGCTTGAAGGGTTATAAAAATGGTCATCAATGTACAATCTGGGTTCAGATTCCTTCAGCCAGGATGGCTCTCTGAACCTGCGCAATAAACTTCCCTTTCCTGAAAGAGCTGATTCAAGTTTTTTTTTAATTCTATAACACCACCACCTTCCATGTGCACTTCCCAGAAACCTATATGTTGTGTGGTGCAAGGAAAGATGAGAAGGGCTTCGCCACACACTCCTTCCTGCCTCCATCTGGGCCCTGCACCCAATTGGCTGGAGCAAAGGTGTCAAATTCACTGTGTCACGTGACGTGTTGTGATGTATCGCAGGTTTTTTTGCATTGCCAGAGCTGGGGTGGGCATGGCTTCTGTATGATGTAACTGGCCCACGGGCCAGCAGTTTGACACCCCTGGGCTAGAGGCAAAGCCCACTGGGCAAGCAGCCATCGGCTGCTTGGAACTGAGGCTGAAATTTGAAATCTCTTAATGGTGGTAGTTAATGAGGAAAAATGAGGGAGTGACTCCAGTGTCTGCTGGTAAGGTAGGACTGGCTGAGGGGCACATGCCAGAATGGAGAGAGGAGTTGCAGTTTTACTCATTCCCTTTCCTCCCTTTCTCCCCAGCAAAGTGGCAGGCAGTTCTGTGAGGAGGAGGGGGAGGAGGAGGAGGAGGAGGTGGAGGAGGAGGAGGATTGTGAGGGAAGGGGAAATGGCACAAACCTATATTATGTTTGGAAAGAAGAATGACCCAATGTGTCATCGGTTGTATATTAATTCTACAATTTCAGCAAAATACCTCAGTCTAAGCCACTTCTCTTGATGGATTCACTTCATAATTCTCAAAAGTTAAAAAAAAAATAAAAAAGCAAAAAATTGTTGAACAGATATATTAATTTATAGCTTCGTAGTTTCTTAATCTAATTTATGCATACACAAACATAATTAGCTGTAACATAAGGCTTGTTATTACCCATATAATTTATTTGTCATTATTTTAGCACATGGAAAAGGTATTTTAGCACATGGAAAAGATATGGCATAGAGCACATGGATTGGTGATAAAAGTATATAAAAGAATTTCATTTTCTGTCCTCTTATCTGGCTAGTCGGTTTAAACAGGTTGATTATATTCATTAATTATTTTCATGGAATATATTTTAGAAAATATTTTTACCTCTATGCGAAATTCTTTAAGGATTGGGCGGATTCCCTCAGGAATAATGAATCGTCCAGAACGGGGATCCCCCAAATAGTCTGGCTCTTTGGGGTCTACATCATTAGGCACTGATGGCTAGAAAATAAAGTTCAAAGCAATTTTTAAAAAAAATCTCTGTGAGCATGTATAAATACGGTTATTGTCAAAAGATTTAAGCAAGCCCAATCCTATAGCCTCCATACTTTGTATGAGTTACCAAATAAATGAGAGGGTTTTTTAATTATTAATGACAGTTTTTTAATTAATAAGCTATAGCATTTTCTGAAATAATAATCAAAAGTTTCATAGTTCTTATGTCACAGAAAACTATGATTAACTAAAGATTCTTTGATTTGTTTGCTAATTTACACAAAGAGAGGAATGATGATATAAAGCAATATCATTTATATGTTACTTTATTAGTAAGAAATGCCATCATTGAAGCATGATATTTATTTGATAATTGCTATCAAAATCAGTTGTTATCTTTCTAAAATGGAACTATCACATGATATTTTTCTGGAAGTGATACTTTCTTACCCAGAAATATTTCCTAATTGCACACTGGTTGTGCTAAAGAGATGAAAAGGCACTTACTACATAGTAACTTGTTTTCATTCACTATTTTATTGAGTAATTTTACAGATTACGGTCTAGCTTTTTAATCTTAATCATAACCTTCCACAGCACTACCGTATCCTTCTACAAAATGAAAATCTATTCTATTAAGAAAACATGGCAGAAATAGGTCTACTTGTTATGCCCAATGTACTGCTAGAAATATACATTACTGAACATGCATCTTGTGTCTAGCAGGGATATTTTCAACCTATTCCTGTTTCCAAGTTCAGCAAACTCTAGAATTTATGGACTAATGAGTGTCCACTAAATCAAAATGTAAATTAAATGACTAATTTTAAAAATGCACAAAATGAATAGATTTTGTTCATTATACCCAAAGTTTGCTAATTGAGGTTCAGGAAATCAGTATCTATAAATTAGGTGATGGCAATACAAACACATACCTCTAAGTAACCACTATAATCCAGTTCAATCAGTTCAAATACAGCAATTAATTCCCCAGCTGATTTATGGCCCTTATAAATATCAAAAAATTGGAGAGAAGGTTTGCTGTAAGGCTCATCCACCAGCTTCACCTGTGGGGTAACAAAGGCTCGACCAAGGAACTCTGGTGAGCCCTACAGAAAAAAGGCAAGCATCAGATCAGTATTATACATGCACATTATTTTGAGATCACTAAAGTTTACTACCAAAGGATTCAAGGACATTTTACTCAGATGACGTGTTCTATCCCTAACAGTATCAGATTCATTACTTCTAAATTATGCCTTTGCTTATACATTTCATTAAGAACTGTGTTTTTCATTCTCAACAGTTTTAAAATATGTGGATTTCAACTCCCAGAATTCCCTAGCCAGCTTGGGAATTGAAGTTTGCACATCTTATACTTGCTGGGGTTGAGAAACACAGATGTAGAATATTCTTGTAGCTGAGCACCACCCTAGCAAAAGTTGCTGTTGCTTTAAGGAGTCCATTCTTAAAGCAACTCTTACAGCACTTGCAGCACTTCTTTTCAGATTTTTATAGGAACCCAGCAAGACGTTCGGCTCATTTAAAGAATAGCAGAGAGGTGGAGCACTTATATGAAGTCTGGGGCACTAATTCCAAACCATTTTTGAAACATGAAAGCCTAATAATTTTGAGGACTGACTAGAGAGTAGTCCAGGGACAGCGCAGTGGCTCAGCAGTTAAGACGCTGGGCTTGTTGGCTAGAAAGTCAGCAGCCTAGGCTCGAGACTCAAGAGCCACGCAACAGGGTAAGCTCCTGTCCTTGCCCCAGCTCCTGCTAACCTAGTAGCTTGAAAGCATGCAAATGCAAGCAGATAAATAGGTACCGCTTGGATGGGAAGGTAACAACACTTTGTGAAATCAGGCTGGCCACATGATTGTGGAAATGTCTTCGGACAGCACTGGCTCAATGGTCTTGAAAAGGAGATGAGCACTTCCCCCTACAGTCGGCCAATGACTTAGTGGAGCAAAATCCACAGGGACTCTTTTACCTTTTACTTTACCTGGATAGCAGTCCATTCCTGTTTTTATTGCTACCCCTATTTACCTTTGCAGTGCGGATGGGAAAAAGGCAGTGCTTTCTAAAAAGCTTGGAACATTGATTTCAAAGGGATCAGAGAGAGTTTCTGAATTTTAAAACTCAGTGAAGAGAGGTGAAGCTTTAAGGCATCTTCGCTTCCGTAGAGAGGGGCAAAAGCCAAAGAGCCGAGAATGGGGACAATAGGAGAGTTCCTGCACTGAAAATTTGCACCCCTTCCAGATCCAGTTAATACAGGTAGTCCTCGACTTATGACCACAATTGAGCCCAAAATTTATGTTGCTAAGTGAGACATTTGTTAAGTGAGTTTGCCCCATTTTACCACTTTTCTTGCCACAGTTGTTAAGTGAATCATTGCAGTTGTTAAGTTAGTAACACAATTGCTAAGTAAATCTGGCTTTCTCATTGACTTTGCTTGTCAGAAGGTCGCAAAAGTTCATCACATGACCCCAGGACACTGCAACCGTCATAAATATGAACCAGTTGCCAAGCATTGAAATTTCAGTCACATGACCATGGAGATGCTGCAGTAGTCATAAGTGTGAAAAACAGTCATAAGTCACTTTTTTCAGTGTCATTATAACTTTGAACAGTCACTAAATGAACTGTTGTAAGTCGAGGACTACCTGTATTGCAAAACATCACAGCTGCGCCAGAAATTAACTGACTTATCTACCAAAAAGATCTAAAGTACACCAACATCATGAGATTGATGCAAATGTCATGTGTAGAGCTTCCCTTAGCTATGCAATTTTCTTGAATCAAGGTAAGTCATCTGGAAATGTCAGTCTGCAGAATCAAAGGTTCTTAAGGATATTGCATCTACCAGTGAGTTACTACGCGGTGGCTCAAGAAAAAGTACCAACACAATCTCTCAGGTTATGAAGTTTTCAGGCCAATGATTGCCTATGAATCTTCTAAGCTCTTGGTATGAATTTAAGACAAGTCTATTTATCCAGGTACTTCATTAAACTGGTGGTGCTAGGCCTTCTGATTTAGTTCAATATTGTTCTCTAATGCTTTTAATCATGTTTTTAATTCAAATATTGCTTTAATTTATTGTAAACTTTTGAAGATTGCTCTCTGCTTTGTAATCTCTTTTTAGCAATAAGAAGCAGATTTAAAGGTTTATAAAGAAAAAGTACTCTTACAAATTTATTGTAGTCAAAAATATTGACAATAGCTATTGGAGTCTCTGTCTTCAAGTCCTCTTTCTTTCCATCAATTATAAGCTGATCATACAGAAGTAACTCATTCCACATTGGGCTGAGTGTTTCTTCCAATACCTGCATTAATAAATATTGAGGTTATTGACAGTGACAGAATAAGCTGATGAGTGCTATTTTTCATCCTATCGCACAATTGCCTAGACATACACTCTATTCTGGTACTATGATAAGTTCAGGCTGGGACAATAACAATAAATAGGTTTTCATACAGTTTCTGTTTGTATGAAAAGCATCATGTGGATTCAGAGCTGATTTTGAAGTGACGCAAATATCACATATGGAATATCCTAGGTTTAAGGAGTGACAAAAAAGAACATAGCCTTTTCTTCGCTGCCTATTTTTTTTCACCAATGTTCATTCCCAATTGATTTACTTCTGCCTGAAGGAAAAAATAACGTCTGCCTTTCTCCCTTTCTCTTACTAAAAAAAAGTCTGAAGTGGGACAGGAGTAATGGAGACTGAAATTTGAAATAGTTTGTGGAGAAAATATTAAGTAAGGTTAGGTGCTGCAATAGCTGTCAAACTAAACAAGCAAGAATCACATGGATTTCAAAAACACGTATGATACTAGTAAAGAGTAATGAGCAAAAGTTATGCTTGAAAACTGAAACTAAATTCCCAGCTAGATTTACAGTGAATTATTTAAGGTAAGTCTCTCTGAAGCACTTCCTTCCCACACCTCTCACATCTAGGGTGTGTTGCTTTTTCTAATGTAAAGTGCTCTTCTCTCCCATTCCTCCACAGTCTTGCCCCAAGTTCTTCCAATTTAAACTCTGCTCAAGTTAGTAGCACATTTTTAAAAAGGTAAAATTAAAAATATATACAACTGGAAAAAATCTTATAGATAATTTTCTCCAGTGTGGACCCATTCAATCATTTGAGACTCTTCTAACAGAGCTATAGTATGGCATGAAGCATGGAAATATAATACAAATATATTAATGAATTATATGAGATGTAGTGGTGAAAGTGTGGGACTAGGACTAGAAACCCCTAGGTTTCTACTCTTAGTCTTACTCAGCCCAACTTATCTCACTCACAGTGCTCTTCTTGGGAGAAAAAAAGGGGGAGCACTACATATACCCTCTTGAGCACCTGAAGGAAGGGCAAGGAATAAACCTAACAAAGAAATAAATATGATGTAATGGTTCAGGTGTTCAACCAAGACCAGGGAGATCCTGTTCAAAATCATTTGTGGTCATAGGAGTCACTGGGTGATTTGGGACCAGTCATTATTTCTCAGCCCACCTCCAGGAGGAAAAAAAAATGGGAGGAGGAACATCAGCAGTTTGATAAACTGAAGACTAAGAATGATGTATTAATAAGTAGGCAGAGCAGAAATTCATTTAGCTTTGGAATAGGGATACCTATAGAGGAACTTAAAAAGTCAAGAGAGCACACAAAAAAGGAGTGGGGCTTCAATCACATGGTCATAGCTTCCATCTTGACATTTTGGACAATCCTGCCCCACCCCCATGGATGCCCCTGGAATTAACGTCATAAATAAGTAAAAATGTCAGAAATCAGGGAGCCACTGTGGATGTTGTTGTAAAACAGGATTTAAATATTTGGTGAGCAGATAGGGGCAGGATTAGTACAGACATTCATGGAGGGAGAGGGACGGAAAATGTTGCCATTTCAGTATTTACTGTATCTACAGTTTATTCACAATGTCTGCAAATATTCTTACCATTGTAGTTTGGCACTGGGTTGAAAACACCACTTTTGCAAACGGATCTGAAAGGCCATTTTCATCAGCAGGAAGAATTCCCCTTGCCTGATACAAATGACCTCGAAGCTGAAAGTAACTGAAGTCTGAGAGAGAGGGGGGAGAGGGAGGGAGGGAGGGAGAGATTTTTCCATAGTAATAGGCTATATGTGATATCCACAGATTTCAATTATGGCTGTCTTGAGAATTACAGATACTTCTCTAACTAGTTTATACCAAGGTGGGAATAAAATAAATCTAGCCATGTTAAATAGGAATAACTATAATAACTATTATACAGTTGTTTAGTCACTGCCTTGTTTAGTAACTGTTTGCTGTTGCAACAGTGATGAAAAATAATTTTATGACCAATTGTCATATTTATGACCTTTGCAGATCTGTAAAGCAAAAGAAAGCCAAAATAAGATCATAAGCACAGCTGTCTCACTTAGTGACAACTTCACTTAACGATCAAGTTGCCTGTCTCAGTTGTAGTCACTAAATGAGAACTGTCTGTATTTGCTTATTTATTCACTAAATAAAAATAGTCTTTGCCTTCTCCCAAAATGTATTTTAGATTTTCTGCTCTGTGGGGAAAAAAGCACACGCAGCAAACTGCCATGCTTTCCCCCCCCCCCCACAAACCTCATAACCTTTTGATACCCTTTGTCCTAATGAAGCAGCCAGAAGTTCATACCCTTTTGACTTAATGCCTTACCTGTCTAAACAGATAATATGCTTAGTTCCTTCTCTTATCTCTTCCTGTCTTTCATCTACCTGTATTTGTCTTTACCTGGTCTCTGAACAGGTAATATGTTACTAGAAAATAGTTGCTTATATGAAGCAATTTTTCAATTACTTTATGTCAACAGCTAAAGGTTAAACTTATGAATGTAAAATGTCAGCATTAATGGTAAAGCCTATGTATATAAAAAGTATATAAGAAGCAATAAATTCAGAGTTTGTTAAGCTGTGTCCTACAGCTTCAAACCTCTGCTCAAGAAATGCCTGAGTCTTTTTCTTAGCATCGTTACACTGCTCCAGCTTACAGCTATTCAAACACTAACCACATCCAATCATGCTTAGGGTTTTGGGGTTTTTTTTAGATTAATCAAGGTCAGCTAGGCAGTGCCATCTGCTAATTAGGATATGATTCTGAATTGGGTGTAATTGAATTATTTAATAGTTTCCAGTGCAATAGAATGAACTTTCTGTTGAGAAAGTGTTCAAAAAAATAATTCTTACAAAAGTGACTATGCAGAAACACAGCAGACAGCACATTTAGGGAACACTGCTCTAAGAGCTAAAATTATATATTTAGTGGAGACATCCATAAGCAGCTCTGAAACTTAAGATTAACCCTGGATTCCCTAGACCATGTTTTGCTGAGCAAGTTCTAGTAGCCTAATTTACCTGTAAATGATACTAGCACATGATAGACCAAGCCAAAACCAAATATTGCCATTCTAGCTAAAATGATGAACAAATAAATAATATCTCTGATTATTTGTATTAGAAAAAATCATCTGAAACAACTCTATTTCCAGGACTTTCCAAGTATTAAACTCACCATCTCTGCTGAGTTGGATGGGTGGGAAGTATTTTGGAATGCTTGCAAGTTTCTGTGTCTTGTCATAGATGTGTTTGAATTCTTCTGGAAGTTCTGCAGTACTGTTCTTCACATACTTAGTTATCCCAAGCCACATATAGATTTCCAGTTTTGCAAAGATCTCTTCGGTGCGTGACCCTGGAACCTTTAAGCCCAAACAATATTACTACTTTGATGTTGCTCGATTAATATTCACTATTTATCCTGCTAATTCTTTAACTTATACTCACCAACCTAAGATTTTTAGATGGGCCAAGCTGTGCTCTGATTTCCCCAATTATCTCTAATTTTGAAAGTCATAATGATAAATGTTATGTTTATTATTTTTTAAGGGATGCTAATTCTACACTAACAAATCAGGTGGTCAAATATCTTCATCAAGTCATCTAATCACACAAAAGTTAATTATATATGTTATTTTATTTTCTTATTGTTTCCCCCTGATAATGAATTCTTGAATTGAACTATTTTTCTATTTCTATTATAAAGGCCGGTTAAAGACCATAATACAAATATTTGATTTGATTTGATTATTTATCCTGCTCTTTTTTAACTAAATAGGTTTAATGATGAATAATAAGTACTATCAGCTAATGATGAAATGAATAATGTCTACCTTTAGAAAGACAGTTTGGATCTTTGCACAGTCTTTGCCTTTTTCCTCTTCTACCACTGCATAAAGGATATTCTGTGCAGGGATCCTTGAATAGGCAACACGCTTGTTGTTGCTAAACATCCAGATTAGGACATCAGGAATAGAACACTGAGGCTGAAGAAGATGACAAAATCGGTACAAAACAAAAGTCTTTCAGTTGTTGAAATTAACAAGAAAGTTTATTGTGCAAGCTATTCTTTGTATATTCACCGAGACAGTAAAGACGTCTAAACACTGTAAATATGTTTTTCTAGAAAAACAGATAATGTAAAGGAAAAGTTGTAGGAGTCATTGAATTGTAGTAGGTAATAATGTGGGAACACAAGATTTCTAGAAAGTACTGGAAGCTATGTTTGCGGTATTTTAATTTCAAAACCTGAACAGGCCACCCAGATGTGTAAAACTTACCAGGATTCTTTTCATTTTCAAGACTCCCAAAAGGAAAATTTGAACTCCCCCTTTCTAAACATATATTTGAAAATTTTAGCACATTTATCTAGGAAATTACCCCTCTCCTTTACAGCAACAGAACTTCACCTTTATTTCCTGTTTCTTGAACCCTAAAGCTATAAATACAAAACTGACTGCTCAGCTGTGTTTATATCCTTCATTGTGCAATTGTGTACCTCTTTAGCCAGGAAGCGCAACTTTGACAGGATTATCTTTGTCTCATTTACTTTCTCCTTGATGTTGAGCTTAGTCAGTCGCTTCCTTATGCGGAGTCCCTGTTTTGCATAGAGTATCTAAATGCAACGCAAAGAGGACATTTTAAAAATGTATCATGCTAAGTTAATCCGCAAAGGAAAAATCTAAAGACAGGCAACAGCATTAAAGGACCCAGATAACTTCAACAATGAACAGCATAGCAGTACAAATTTTTTAAAAGGCTTGGAAATTATTTTATTAACATTATTATTTTTATTATTTCAAAGACTTCGAACATATTGCTGAAAAATGTTCCTTGCCCCTTTGTTGAAAAAAAACTCCACAATTCCAATATTAACCCACAAAACATGTCAAGCAATCCATTACTGCAAATTGGATGTAGATTTCTTCTTCCACAGATGTAGCATATTTTTTTAGGCAGCCCCCTTGCCAGAAAAAAACATAATTTTTCATAACTGGGTAAATTTCAACATGGACTATTGCCACAAAAAAATATATTTCCGCATACAGGAACTGATCTAGAGCCAAATTAACAATTGAGACAATAAATAATTTGTTTTATGTATACCAACTGTTCAAGAAGTTCATTGTAATCAAATAAGTCAAAAATTTAAATATTAACTCTTAACTAATCTGTTAACATCGGGAAAGTAACATCTTCATCTAATTAGTTATTTATCAACATAGGGAATCAAGCTGAGCTCTCATCCTCTTTTTGAAATAAATATCAGGCATGTAAAAAAAGGTAGGGCTTCAGTAGCATAGTTGTGGCCACTATTTTGACTTTTCTGACCCCCTTCCAGGTACTCTAGATAAAGATAATTCTCTTTTCCCATTCTCATTCCATGCCAGACTTCTATTACAGCGAAGTTGTAGTTCCTAGTAGCTTTCATCAATATAAATTTTGATTGGAGTTAGAAAAGTTACGTGTATGATTATTTAGAACTTCTTTGTCAATATAAGTTTTTTTCCTTGCAATATTTTTTTCAACCAAAAATTAAGATATTTTCACATGGAAAGCCTAAACAAACTGAATTTAATTGATCTAGTACATCCACCTTATAGACCTTTGCATTGTCCTTGAGAAATTCTGAAAACCAATATTCTAACAGACCCCTGGAGTTCTATGTTCAATGTCACACTCAGCATTCAGAGTTTGTTCCTAAAATGTAATGTCATCTCTTTAGAGCAGCCTTTCTTAATCTGGTACCTTCCAAATATATGATGTCTCCATACAACTGCAGGACACTAAATCAGGTTGATTTACAACAATAGTCTGGCTACCTAACTTACAATGTTTTGTGGGAGAGATTTCATCCGACATCGGTCAAGGTTATTTGGACGTGTCATTGGTTTTTTGTCCACATTGAGAGAATACTGTCTGAAATTAGAGGCACTGTTAAGTTTTAATTTATGAGAACATACATACATTGCATGAATTTAAAATAATTAGAAATCACCACAATTTATGACTCTCTACAGTTAGAAGAAATCAATGTACATTGAAATTACATTTTAATGAGTGAATTGAGAGCAGGGAATGTCCTTTTTATCCCAAAGTATATTATATGAAATTCAAACAGAAATGACATTTTTATATAACTGAGAAATTAAGAGTCACGTTGGTGTAGCAGTTAAGGTCCTGGACTAGAAATAAGGAGATCATGAGTTCTAGTTCTCTCTTAGATATGGGAATTGTCTGGGTTACTTTAGGCTAGTCACTCTCCCTCAGTCCAAATTACCTTCCAGAGCAGTGGTAAAATGAGAGGAAGGAGAAAATTAAACAAGTCTAGAAAGATGAATCAAATTAGTTTAAACAAATAAAGGCAGTGAATCTATTATAAATTTATCTGCTAGGTTTTGTGTAATGTGTTATAAGCCAAAGAGCCAATGCGCACATTATATTATTTGTGTCTTATGCAAATTAACATTATTATGCAAATGATGTAAATTGCAGCAGAATTAGAGCTCATGTGTATGAAGTCCATGTATCAAGTAAACTGGAGTTCCACTGTACATTCAGTATTATAAAATAGTACCCAGAACTACACACAAGCTTTTTAAAATGCACGTTAATGTTTTGTAAGCTCAAAATCTACCTCTGAACAATTTTACCTAGAAATATCCCTTGGAAGTTCTGAAACTATCAGGTTTTTTTCTTCATTAAGAATTAATATCTGAACTTAAAAAAGTATTGGGACCCTATAAAGATATACTTCAGAATATAAATATGACTATGCTTCAAAATATGGCTAATGGGGTAGAGAACAGCCCACCTCCTCCCTGTGCACACTTTACTCCCTCCCTCTCCATTCTGCTTAGTTTTATTTTTATTTTAATTGAATTTTTAAATTTAAGATCTTTCTTGTTGTAATGTTTTATACTGCATTTTTTATTCAATGTCTGTAAGCCTTCCAGAATCACCATTGGCAAGATGAGAGGCATATGTTTGATAAATAAAATTAAAATATGTGGAAGCTGCCATTTTTATAATAAAGTGTCTTGTGGCAAATCTGAATTTCTAGAGTGGATCTAGACATAATGTACAAACTTGCATGTTGTAAAAAGGCAATAGAAGTTTACTGACCTACATCCAGCAACAAATTCCTCCAAAACCTGACGAAGCCTCTCATCTGCTTTTGATCTTGGTCTCCTCAAGAGTTTCTCTACATCTTCTAGTCCGTGCCCCTATGTCAGCAAAGAAGCTAGACTCACTTAATACACTTAATCATAACAAGTTAACAAAACTCAACAGCTATTTTGAATAAAAAGAAACAGCCAAATTGCATCTCAGCTTAATATGATGGGTCCTTTTAAATAGATCATGCTAACACAATGGGTGGATTCCTCCAATGTACTCAAGCATGAGCTTTATCCATAGGTTGTACAGTCCTATTTCTCTGGCATGTGAGGATTTTAAAAAAAACCACATGGAACTGATCTATAAAATTATTTAAAACAATTATTACTAATCAAGTTTTGATGAAATGTATAGTTATAAACATCTATTTTCCTAAACCACTTATTTCAATATGCAAAACCAGGAAGATACTTATATTATGCTCTACATATTGTGCAATATTAGATCAGTTCATACAGAATTTACAAAAATCACATTTCTAAAATATATTTATAATTAAAGTATTGCTAAACTAACCCAGAACTATATAATTTACAACAGCAGTTAAAACATTGAACCAGCGTAAATCAATGCATTCAATGAAACAGCGAGTGACCATATCAATTCAATACATAAATGCTAAATAAGGTAGAAAAAAAGATACTTAAAGATGGAACAGGGTTTATATCTAATTTTCGCAGGAGGGAGCTGCAAGAATGAGGGCATAATATACACCCTGTACCAGAAGGATTATGGCATGCAGAAACAACAAGAATTGTCATTCTGCAAAGAAATCAAGAAGGTTTTCTTATTATGATTCATGATTTAGCTCTACCCAAACAATTATGTATGCTCCCAGGAAATCAGTTATGTGGGGAGAAAGCAGCAGGTTTGGACAGTGTTTCCAGGCAAAGTGATACGTTACCAAACGCTCTGCTATTTTGACAATCCAGTTGGAATTATAGAGTCTCCAGGTGTAGTCTTCCCAGTAGCTCCATACATAAACACAGGGCTTCTCATGCAGCATTGGGAGGCAGCTGTAAGAGCTAACAGCAGTATGCAGAAAATGCTTAAGGTTGTACAACAAGTAATATTTGTCGGCCTGCTAGAGTTTTCTTGATTTGGGATTACCAGGTATGAGCTGCCAAATCTTTATCTTACTCAGCAAAGCTGCCGCCCAGACCTGGTAACCCGATTATTGGTAAAAAGCCCAGTAGGGACGCCACATAGAACAAAGAACTGCTATTTCTTAAACATAAACATAAACCCTGTAGGACAGAAGAAGAGTGTGTTCCTATTACATGAACCTGACACAGGTTCATGGGTGGGCAATTTTTTCAGCCCTAATAGCTATATAGAATGCTGCATAAAGACACCTTAATCACATATACGTAACTTCTCTTATACACATTGACATACATGTATCTTTCTCAATCCATAGTGCTCTTTCTCCCAGTGATCCACTGCAGATTGTTCATTTCCTGCTGTGAGTAACTGTAAGAAATGAACAACTTGATCCCTGACATTTAATTGCCAGGTGGGAACCTGGTTGCTTAATTTTTCCACCATTCATGGCAACAGGAAAACTTGCATGCCTGCTAATCATTGCTAAGGCTGTGGCTTTTGCTGCTGAAGGCCTTATACAGCTTCTGAGCTATAAACTGCTTGCTCATGGTAAATGAAAATGAAATGACAAATAAAAATGAGTTCCTCTATCACAGTGGTTCTCAACCTTCCTAATGCCGCGACCCTTTAATACAGTTCCTCATGTTGTGGTGACCCCCAACCATAAAATTATTTTCGTTGCTACTTCATAACTGTAATTTTGCTACTGTTATGAATAGTAATGTAAATATCTGATATGCAGGGTGTATTTTCATTGTTACGAATTGAACATAATTAAAGCCTAGTGATTAATCACAAAAACAATATGGCAATGCTCGCTGGAGAAGCTTACTCTTCCTTGCTCAAAAATGTTGGGAGGGAGGGAAGGGGAAGGAAGGAAGGAAGATTGAAGGGGAAAGGAAGGAGATGGAGAAGGAAGGAGATTGAAGGGGAAGGGAAGGAAAGGAAGGAAGGAAGGGAGGGAGGGAGGGAGGGAGGGAGGGAGGAAAGAAGGAAGGAAGGAAGGAGGGAAGGAAGGAAGGAAGAAAGGAAGGAAGGAAGGAAGGAAGGAAGGAGAAAGATTGCAGTGGAAGGGATGGAGATGGAGATGGAAGGAAGGAAGGAAGATTGAAGGGAAAAGGAAGGAGATGGAGAAGGAAGGAGATTGAAGGGGAAAATTGCTAGGGGTCGACGCTACCCCTCGGGAGTATTTCACCAGGCTTTTTTTTTTATCTTGGCCCTGCGCTTCTCCCAGACGGAAGCCAGGCAAGAGGACCTGAAAGACGCCAAGCAGGAGGTTCATAGCCATGGTGATGTGGCAGTAGCTGCTCTGCGATGGATAGCGCAGCCCCGCCATGTTGCTGAGGCAACTGCTTTCTTGTCTGCCCGAGCTGGCTGGCGGAGCTAGCCTTGAGCAGAAATTCTCACTAGTGTCTCAGTTCCTAAGAGCATCAGAAATATGTGTTTTCCGATGGTCTTAGGCGACCCCTGTGAAAGCGTCGTTCGACCCCCAAAAGGGTCGCAACTCACAGGTTGAGAACCGCTGCTCTATCATGAAATAAAATTGGAGAGTGGTCCTAAGATTCAAACGTAACTTACTGGTGAATTGTTCCTGATGGAATAGGATTAGAAATGTAATAAGCTTTCTATAAGCATTGAAGAACTTACTGCTATCAAGAACTGAGATTTAAACTGGCTCCTAAAAACCAGGTAAATGTTGTGTATCTTGTAGATGCAATATAAGTTACTCTATAGAGAAAGAGCAAATTTCAATTTTAAAAATAGATTTTCTGGCCATAAATGAGCACTAAAGTTTATACCTTGGTTTCTTTGCAAATAGAATTAATAGTACAAGTTAATTAAAATATGGAAATTCAAATGACTTAAAACTATTGAGAAATTACCTGTCATATTCAGTGGGTTCTGGTCTTTGGTTCACAGTTACAGACTTATCAAGCAAAATTGTAGTTGGAGGCATGACTTCAACATCCAGCTCTTCATCTGAAAGGGGATCTAGCAAAGGCTGTTTTTCTTCACTCTTTTCTCCCTTCTCACCTTTCACAGATATCTTAGTAGTAACTTCTTCAGTTTTCCCATAGTTCCCTTGAAGTTAAACATGTTTATTCTTTGTTATTGTAGCACATTTAATATGTTTAGTTATATCAGAACTTTTGTTTGATTTGGACATAAAGATAACATTAATCTACAGTTCATAATATCTGTTATCTATCTCATCTGTCTGTCTGTCTGTCTGTCTGTCTATCTATCTCTATGAATTTAAGTAATGTATAAGCTTCCAATTCCATAAACTGGTTTAGGTTATTTCATGAAAATATAAAATTAAAACCATTTAGTTTTTAATAACCTAAAAATCCTAGGTAAAAAAATTAACAATTCCTAAACAATTGAACAATATAAACCCTATTTCAGAAAAGTGAATAACTATTATTTATTTATCTATTTATTTATTTATTTTCAAATATTTATATGCCGCCCAATCCCAAAGGACTCAGGGCGGCGTACAAAGTTAAAACAATGATAAAACAATAAAATAAAACAGTCATACCGCGAGTCCGATCATATCCCGGCCCCCCGGGGACATCAGCCCCAGGCCTGCCGGAACAGGAGAGTTTTAACGGCGTTCTTAAAGGCCGGCAGGGTGGGAGTAGTTCGAACCTCGGGGGGAAGTTGATTCCACCAGGTCGGAGCCACCACAGAAAAGGCCCTTCCCCGAGGGCCCGCCAGCCGACATTGTCTGGCCGATGGGACCTGAAGGAGGCCCAATCTATGGGACCTCACCGGTCTCTGGGAGCTGTGCGGCCGAATGCGGTCCTGTAAGTAACCTGGCCCTATGCCATGAAGGGCTTTAAAGGTGATAACCAACACCTTGAATTGCGTCCGGAGACCCACAGGAAGCCAGTGCAGCTCGCGGAGGATAGATGACATGTGGGCGTACCTTGGCGCGCCCACAATCACTCTCGCGGCTGTGTTCTGAACCAACTGCAGCCTCCGAACGCTCTTCAAGGGTAGCCCCATGTTATTAATATTATATTATCTAGTTATTTTGTAAAAAACCTGAGAGCACAGATAGACTATTAGGAAACTGAAGTCCTGGAGACAGTTTAAGCCTAAGTCCTACAAGCTGTTGTGTCAGATTTCCTCACTCAGACTTGGCAGAAGATACCTGGACACTTGATATGACATGGCTAGAAAAGCATCTTTATTCAATTAGCATGAAGCTACCAACTTCCTCTTTGTTTAAGCACTCCAAAAGAATACCATGATCCATGGTATCAAAAGCTATACAAGTTCTAAGGATATCAACTGATACATTCCATCTCTCTCCTAGCATACATCAGGTTGATGAAGGCCATCTTTAAGCTAAATTTGGTCTAACTTTAGACCAATAATGCATTTCTTCTTTTTTCTAACTCAGACAAGGAAAACTAGCATATTTCCATTTTTTCAGCTGTTTGAAGAGCAATTGTGAGAGACTATTATCTATTGTAAGTCCCCCAATGATAAGGTGACCAACTGTCCTCCTTTAGGGAGGACAATCCTCCTTTTGTGAGTTCTGTCCTCCCTTGAAAAGTGTCCTCCTTTTCGATATTTGAAGACTAATCTGCAGGGCTTTTTTTTCTCATAGAACACTCAGAACGGCGTTCCGGCACCTTTTTTTTGATGATTTTTTTTCAACTTTTGCATGAGCTGTGCTACTCCCCCTATTGGCTTTCAAAAGCCAATAGGAATTGCTTCTGAGCGCTCCAAAACACCTGACCGGCAAACTTGACAGATGTAAATTGTCTGCAGCAAAGGCGAATTGTCAGGAACTTTGCATCCCTCCCTGCTACCCAACTACACTATCTCCTACCTGGAGGAGACTGGAGCGGCAATGCCACAGTAACTTTCTCTTGATCTTCAGCCCTGCAAGGGCAATAATGGCTACGGGTGCAAGAGGCAGGGGCGGCGGGGCTGCTGCAGGTGGGGGTGTGAGGGGCAGCAGTAGGCAGCTGCCCCCGTGCTGTGGGAGCCGTGAGGTCTGCTCTACACAGGGCTGTGCAGGTTGGGCAGTGGTGCTGGCGGGGCGGCTGCAGGTGGGGTGTGTCGATGGCAGGCTGCCCCCCCGGGGCCAGAGCCGGTGCAGCTGGTGCTTTGGGAGCTGTGGGACCCACTCTACACAGCGGGGCAGCTATGGGCAGGGGCGCAGCATGTAAGCATAATTACAATATAAAATGTTATTGTTACAAATGTTTTTTATTATGCATTTATCATATTATAGTGTATTCTGTATTATTGTTGCAATGAATAAAATGTTTCTTTTATTTATGATATTTTTTTCTTCAATTTATTTGTGTCCTCCTTTTCATTGTAAAAAAGTTGGTCACCTTATCAATGAGGAACTCCTTAGCTATTTTATGGTTGTTAATTCTTAGACTTAGACAAACCCACAGCTCAGCTGCAAACTAAACAAGAATAAAAATCTTACTTTCTTAAAGTCAAATAAAGCTATGGACTAATAAAAAGAACTGGAAGCTTTCTTACAGAGCTCAATCTAAATAGAAAAATAATATCATATGACGCTCTTCCCAGCAGATGCAACCTAAGAAAGGTGAAATCTGAATTTCCTGAAGGCAAGGACTTTGACCATGTTCACTGAACGTAATAGTACAGCAGTTCTGGGCCTGTGCATCTGAAGGGCACCAATTTAGAGCAGGCTGTAACAAAGTTGTAGAGTTCTAGTAAAGCAAGGGTCTTCAAACTTGGCTCTTTTATGATTTGTGGACTTCAGCTCACAGAATTCCTCAGCCAGGCATGCTATAGTAAAGGATGGAAGAGAAGAATGCATGGCAGAGGGATGAAAAAGAGAAAATGTTTTACATTAAAAAGAACGGAAGCTTCTGTCACTTACCTATAGAGATTTCAAACTTTACAGGTTTGGTTCCTACTGAAGGATCCATCATAGTCACTTCAAAAAATGATGCAAAGAGAAGAAATTCTTCTTTCACTCCTAGGGCATTCTGAAGAAAAAGTTTTCAGTTTGGTTCTTTATGATAATAGAAAATATTGATTCACAGATTAATTCAAACTGTATTTTTAAATTTAATGTGTTTACAGACACATACACACACACACACATGATGGCATTTAGTCTTGCAGTACTCTAGCATAACATAAACTTGCATCAATATTTGTCTAAAAAGGGTGAGAGCTGAAAGCTGAATTTTGCTTAAAGGAGTAAATACACAATGTGTTGCGTCTAAATATATTGGGATTAGTAGAACACAGATAATAATTCAGATTTTAAAATAAAATAACTTTGAGAATGTTTAAAAGGTAAATGGTGTTTTCTTCCTATTTCATTTTTTCATTCATGCCTTGCCTTCCCTTTTATGCGAGTGGATGCTTTGATCAGGAAAAGCAATGATAATTATTTTAATCCCTTTCATCCCGAAGTTTCTCTATGCTGAATTTCAACTACCTCAAATCACTTTTAATTTCTTCCTTTTATTAAAAAAAAAAATCAGGATGTTGACCATAGTAACACATAGAGACCTTAGCTAAAGGTTAGAAACATTATGTTATAAAAAAAAATCACCTCTATACATAGAAAGGAAATAGCATTAGATAGACAGAAGTCTCTTTATGGGCCTAGCTGTGCAAACTAACTGCCTAGCTTTTATTTTTAAAAGGCTTCACTGGAGCTTTAAACAGAGATTTACAACTAGTTGACTTCTGATCTATTTTATAACCGCTTGCTGGAGTTTTACAAAAAAAATTTTACAACAACATCTTATTGTTGCAAAATATTTGATAGTGTTCAAGTAGAGGGGATAAAAAGGGGAGTTGTTCTTTGTTTTTAATTCACATTTTGTTAATGTCCTTGTCTAGTTTTGTCTATGTTAACTTTTTTTTGTTTTTGATTTTGTACTTTAATATTCTGAGTAAAATAAAAAATTGAAGTAAAAAAAGATCAGTGGCACAAGTCATTAAACAATTACTCCATCTTTAAAAATACGCATAAGTCTTAGGAGGGGAGAATAAGAAATAGATAACACTCTAAAGATTCAGTGACAGATTACAAATTGCCTAATGTTTTTCTCTAAAGAAGGATTTTATCTTGTTAATTTAGATCACAATGTTTATTTATTACAGTTATTTGTATTCATTTCTTTACTATTTAAAGTTTAATATTGTAGGTGTTAAATGGGGGAAATAATGTTTTAGCCATAATTTATTAAACACCAAATATAGAGGAGGCTTCGTATAAGATAATTTCACTTTCCTATGATTCCTGTGATTAAAGAGACTCACCTCTGGGAGAGGATAGAGGTCCTCTACCTCCACAATCACTTCACTTGGTTGTTCAGCCTCCTCAGTGGTACCAAAATCAGCCTGGCTTTGATGATGTTCCTTGACAGAAGTTTTGGACTTCTCTTTGGCCTTTTTGCTCTTCTTCTTCAGCTTGAGTTTGCTTAAGGCCCCTTTAAGAACTTCTGCTGGCTTCTTTTCTGCTGCCTGGATAGTACTGAAAATCTCTACTGTAATGGCCATAAGAAGGCGTCCACGATAGAAGATGCCTTCACCTAGACCTTCATTGAGATCTTTGTGTATATCTCGCAAGGTTGAATTCTGGGATGAACCATATAAATTTATCCAAGTTGGTCCAAAAGTCGGGTTAAAGCCTGGTGGGAAGAAAATATATTTTTGAATATACCAGCATTTGGTTCAGATTTGCACTTTTACAGGACCATTTTGACATGCTTCCTTGGTGATCTTTCATAAGCAGATAGTCCCTGACTTATAACCATTTATTTAATGATGATTCAACATTATGGCCACACTGAAAAAAGTGACTTATGACTGGTCCTTGCATTTATGACCATCACAACATTCCTGATCTCAAATAATCAAAACCCAGGTGCTTGACAATTGACATGTATTTATAATGAAGGTCCTGGAGTCACATGATTGTCATTTCCAACCTTCCCATGAAACTCCCGACAAGCAAAGTCAATGGAGGAAGTCAGATTCACTTAATGACCATGTGATTCATTTAATGACCATAGCAATTCACTTAACTGTAGCTAAAAAGGTCATAGAATTGGGCACAACTCACTTAACTGGCACTTAGCAATGGAAATTCTGGTTCCAATTATGGTCATAAGTTGAGGACTTAAAGAGATATTTGGCATGCTGTTATCACACAGAAATTCAGAGGACTAGTTGTGGCTATATCCCTCAGCCTGGTGTCAACCAGTAGAGGTAGATAATTCCTAGCTATGTCTTACCACACACAGGAGTAGACAGAGATACTGTATATAATAATTTCTCAGCTGAATTATAGTTGAAGAAAAGATGCCCCATCCTTCCAATAATTTTGAAGGCTATATTACTATACTGAATCAAGGATACAATAAGAAAATATAATATAAAACTTTTATAAAACCTCCGTTGCGCATTTATGGCTATATTAGGCATCTATCTCAAACATTCACCGGAAAGATATGTTATGCTGATGTGCAAAAGTGATAAAGCCTGTTTGGTAATGACCCTGTGGAATTCCTATTGACAAACATTGAGTCCCTTTTGTGAACCATTTAAGTAAAACCTTTTGTTTAAAGTTTTCTTCTATTTCATATATAATTAGCCTACACAATATGGGCAAAACAGTCCTACCGAGTATTTTGTACATCTTGTGCCAAGGCTATAACACTTGGTATTGACCCAAATCATTGCTTTTTTGTAAATGTATAAATTAATGTACAAATTAATTTGATAATTAATTTTTAATTAAATTAAATAGATAAACAGGGTAATAGACAAAAGGTAAAGCCATCATCTATCAGCTAGGATGTTCTAAGGAGCTGTAACTCAATAGAAAAATCTCTGCTTTCCAAGCTAAATGTTTGCTGCTTCTATCCTTGACTTCTCCTGGGTTAAGGCTGGAAACAATCTTGCTGATAGCTCCGAGAGACTTCCAATTAGCTAAAGCAGCAGTTCTGATAACAAAGTGCTAGATAGAGCTATGGTCTGATATAAGGCAATGTCTCTGACAAACTCACCATTTCTCCCAGGGTCAGATATTTGTTGCAGATCAATGAAATGTGTAGCAAGGGCAACATCTCCAATGTTTGCATCATCCAGTAGCTGGACTTTTATTTTTCGAACAAGAGGTGGAAACATCTCAATGAATGTTATTTGTTCATTCCAAATTGGTTCTGTAGTGCTACTTTCAACTGATGTTTCTCCCTAAATGAAAGAACATTATAAGAATAGAACCAAAAATCACAGTTGATGATAAAGCAATATTAGAAGAGTGAGGGAGCATGGAATTGTTCAGATTAGCCTTTCCATTCCTTGACCTCATTCAGATGTCTTGAGATTGCAACTGCCTGAATTCCCATCTAGGATAAATGCCCCATTTATCCATCTTTTAAATAAACAATTAGCTCCAAACGTTGTCACCTTTCCTTAAAGGTTCTATGGCCAGGTCTAGATTCTTGTAAATTTAAGTTTAGGGCTTATGCACTAAATCAGAACTATATAAACAAAGTAATTCACATCTGAAAAACATTTTTTCTTAAAGAGTCCTGCACTGTGTTTATGTCCCTATATGCATCTAATTACTATATAGCACAATCAACCATAATTATGTTTATTATTCCTCTTGTTTTCATGAAGTTGCCTTGCTTTGTAATCCATTATAAGTCATTGACTGGCAGTGGTTGGAATGGAAGCATTAAAGGCAGTATAGGAATTGACAATGGAAACAACATTTTTACCTAGCTCAGATGAGGTAAAGTAAAGTAAAGGTAAAGGAGTCCCTATGGATTTTACTCTGCTACTTGTTGCTGACTGTAGGGGGTAGTGCTCATCTCTGTTTCAAGGCCATTGAGCCAGTGCTGACTGAAGACATTTCTGCAATCATGTGAACAGCATGACATCACGGAGCACTGTTACCTTCCCACTGAAGTGATACCTATTTATCTACTCGCAGTTGCACGCTTTCAAACTGCTAGGTTGGCAGGAGCTGGTGCAAGGACGGGAGCTCATCCAATCATGTTGATGCTCAGGTCTTGAAATTGGACTGCTAGCTTTCCCACTTAGAAGTCCAATGTCTTAACCACTGAGCCACCGCACTGCTCTCAGATAAGGACAGATAACTTTTTAACTCAGTAGTAGGAAAAGCCTTACGTCCCCTGTTACACTGTCAGCAAATCCTACATTGGGATTGTATTAATTGCATATTGTAAGACTAAGAGGTTGCGACAAAATGAGGCATTAGGAGAAATTGCCTAAGCATACATTAGGGAAGCTTTGATATTTATTCCACAACCAGCAATTAGAGGAATCCTGACTGGGTCATATTGTTTCCTAAGTTCTTAATGATCTGTTCTTAAGTTCTATGTGATCTATTCAAAAAGCTCAGCACTAAAGTTGAATAGATTGGTCTATTTCATGAATCTTTCAATAATAAAATATGCAGAAAAAAAAGAATTACCTGCTGTCCAGAAAAAGAAATCTGCACATAAGGATCAATGAAGACTTTCTTCTCACTCACGATTTTTGAAAAGCCACCCATGATTCCTGCACTCATACTGGGCAAACCATCTGCCTTGTATATTTTGATGCAGAATTTGGCCCAGGGTCTCTCAGCTGGAACTTTTTTAGGAAGCAATAAGTTCCTGAAAATAAGATATTTGATCAATTAGGAGGGATAAACCTTTGATTAACTAAGGATACAAATAATGGAGAATAAAATCAGAACAACAGTTCATTCCGTCAGTTATCTGCTTTTCAATTAACCAACAAATCTATCTTACTACACAGCAAGCTACACAGCCACCTTTGCCTAATTGCTAAACAAGGTTAGACTCAGTTAGTACTTGGATGAGAGACTACCAAAAAATAACAGAGTTTGAAACTGGACCAGCAAGTTAAAAAAAAAAAAAATGCCCAAAGAAACACATTCTAGAAGAAAAAAAATTCTACATCATTCCATGAAAATAACACGAATATATCCATGAACAAACTTGGGGCCTCTCAAAATATATTTTTTTTGCAAGCAACATATGCCTGATTATTTTTAATATAATACAATCATACAGCGGCTAGGTTGTTAGTAGGGCAATGTTGGAAGAAGGAATCTTTGCCTACTTTGCAAGAATGGTTTCTTAAAGTTTCTTATTTAGCGGAAAAGGCAAAGATTTCGGCTTTCTTGAAAGATCAATCGCAAGAGAAGTACCTTTTAGTATGGAAAAGATGGATAAATTTTATACAATACAAGTATGATATAAAAAAATATTATTTAGCTTTTGAATAATTTATATTTAAAGTTTAAGATATTTCTTAGATATTTTTTCTTTTTTTTCTAATTTTTTTTCTTTCTTCTTCTTTTTCTTGTTTCTTTTCTTTTTCTCTTTCTGTTTTTTAAATATTAGTGTTAAAGTATTTTATGATTTGTTTAATCATTGTAACCAAATTTGTATATGGTTTATTTGTGTTTAAAATTTTTTCCTTTTAAATTTTAATTAAGCCTGTATTCAGCCCTGGAAAGGTTGGGGGAGGGTTGTGGTGGGTTGGGAGGTTTTTCAGAAAAGGAGGCAACTGTATCATCATTCCTTGGATTAGAATGAGGAAAGAAACTAAGAAGTCCACACTGCAGCCAGACTGAGCTGTCTTTCTTACTGTTTCCAACCATTGCTGAAGCTGTGCTTAAAGATTCAAGTCTAATCTGCAGTGAATTGGTGCCCAGTCCAAAATATGGCTACTGCAGAACCCAATTGGTTATTCTTCCTACTTCTTGCCTTCCCCATCCATGCAGAGAAGACAAACTTTGTTTACTAGCCTTGTGTAGGCAAGTGTCTCAATGTCCCCCCCCCCTTTTTTTTTTTTAAGGATTGTTCTATTCTTAATCAAAGCAAAGTAGCTTTACAGAGTTTATAGTATTTTGGATCCTTTGCCTGGTTCAGAAAGGCTTAAAATAGTTTAAGACATAAAACCAGTTTTGACATGGAGCTTCAAAATATGGACTTGGAGTAGGTGGAAGATGACATTATCTATTCTTGCACTCGGGAAATGGTGGGTGGCCTGTACTGATAGTGGGACAAGGAGAAGATCCCAAATGTAAAAGAGGACAGACAACAATTTTAGAGGGAGAAAAAAAGACGAGACCTGAAATTCATTCTGTTTGAATGCTCAAGTCCTTTCCTGTCCTAAACAATAGAATTTATAAATAAAGCAAACTTTCCAAGTTTGTGATTAAGCACTGCACTTCTGGATCTTTTCTTTATCCATAAGAGTAAGAAAACTGTCCTCTTACTACTACTTCATAAGACAATATTCTATACACCTTTCATCACCACAGACTTACTTTTCAATGTCTTCATTCTGACTGCTGGATGAGGTGGGAAAGGAACCCATTACATCCCCCCGAGCCATGACAGAAATGTTGCACTTTACAAAGCCTTTTATTCCTGCTCTGGTGTCCTTTGGGTCATTAATCACAGCCCACTTCTGGTAGAACCTATGGTCTAAATGAATAAAGAGAAAACAATTGAATCACAATTTCTCTGGATCTAGTTTAGATTATTAGGAGTTTGAGTCAGAAGGTTAGATGAGCTATGCTTTTGTTGATGTACTTTTTTTATGACTGGGGTTATTGTTTATCCTTGACTGCCTGATTGGTTATATGTTGTGTGATTTTGTCTTTTTAATCCCTATACACTACCCAGAGCTACTAGTATGGGATGGGTAGCCACATAATTCATATAAATATATAAACAAACTGTAATGCCTACAAATTCTAAATCTAGACTATCAGTGTCTTGAGCAAAGGACCCAGAAGAAAACTAAAACTGATGGATTGACATAATACTTAGCAAGCATAGGTCAGTTATTCCTTCCCAGAAATTAGCAGAGCTCTTCAGATTGCTTATAAAGAAAGCTATAACACGGAACACATAAACTTTTACTGAAATATTGCCATGAGCATCATATGGCTCCAATCCCAACCTGGCATTGATCTAATATATTGAAAAATTTTGGGAGTACTAATCTCAAATGACACCATATTTTAGAAGATAGACAATTAGGCAATGTGCAGTACCAAGTGATCAGGATATGGGCAGGATGTGTAAGGGAAACAAATTAATTGCTAATATATTTTAGTGCCAGCTGGGTAAATTTCACAAACATGATTTGATCAACCTCATACAGCAAAAAGTCTTCAACCAGCCCTGAAAATATTGGCCAGATTTAAGGACCCAATTCAATTTTTCTCAGCTAAGAATCTTGATCATGGACCTTCTTGAAGGGACCAAGTACTGGGAGAACTCCTTTTTTAATTTTCATTTTTAGACATTGGTTGGAAGTGATTGATACTTTTCAGAAACAAATCCTTTTCAAACAGATTGATTAACTTTTGATCAACCCACAATGAAAGGCTAGAACACGTTATGACAAGAGTGTCAAACTGCCGGCCCGTGGGCCAGATGCATCATAGCAAAACTGCGCTCACCCCATTGCTGGCAATGGCAAAAAAGTTGCGATACAGCATGACACGTCATGTGACATTGCAAGTTTGACAACTCCGCGTTATGGACTCAAAGCAGGTAATTCAAAGCAATGGCAAAAGAGAACTAAGAAGCAACTTTTAGCATGATAGCAGCCTCATGGTACAGTACCTGGCTGATTGTATACAGTCTCAAGATCTATCTTGAAAGTGCCTATGAGAGTGCCCAGGAAAGGAATCTTCTTTGAATGGAAGACCTGTACATGAATATAAAGGTATTTCTCAGTTCTAAGTCATATGGCAGATAAGCCATATGTGCCACAGAAGCCAACTATTGCCAAGAAAAGCCTAGCATTTTGCTTGAGAATGGGGAGGATACTGAACAGTTGATAACTGGGTTTAAAACAAGTAGCAATTATAGCCCAGTTAAATGGTATTAATAAATTGAAACAAGTTTCACAAATTAGTTTCTACAAGACAATAAGTCAAAGTTCTTTTTCTCAGAAACATCACTTGCCAAGTATTTCTTTTCATAATTGCATGTTTAATTGAATTAGTTTATAAACTAGATAATGTCAAACATCTGAATAATAATACATTTCTTGTAAGAGAAACACACAAAGTAAAGGTTATACATCTCTAATGGCTGCCTATGTGATAAAATATGATATGATTAGCTCTCATAGATCTGTGACAAAGAATAGCTGCAACATTAGAAGAATAAATGAGAAACTGTATTTTTACTTTATTGCTCACTTCATAATATGATGTAAGGCCATTGGTCATTTACCCTCATCTCACTTCTACCCTATAACTAGTAGCTAGTATACTTACAGAAATCTCTATCAGTCTGTGGAATAGAATATCTCTTGGTTCATGAAAATCAAAAATAAAATACTGGAAGAAAAAGGAAAAAATATAAATATTACATTTCGTGTAAAAATTAAGTTCTACCTTATGCCAAGCATCATATATAATAATATGCAGAATGTTTTCAACAAGAAGCTATGTAAGAAAAGAGCTTCCTTACAGGTCCCAATATTTCTAAATGGAAGATCCTTTTCTATAGGACTTTAAAATTAATTTATATATTTAACAAGGCCAAAAGATACTGCAGATCATCCCAGGGTATAGAATGTGCTTTTAGATGAAAACAGACTCTGACTAATTGTTAGGAAACCTGCCTAAAAGTAAGAGTCCTTGGAGATTGGAATCTATTTCTGAAATAGATTAGGTACTCTTGTCTATCAGATGTGTTCAAACAGATCTTCCTTTGCCATCTTTTAGGGATATTTTAAATAGGGTTCCTGAATCAAGCAAGGAGTTGAGTTGAGATTTAATGGTTTAAATCAGCAGTTTTCAGTGGAGTGATATGCCTCTTCGAGGGGGGGCTGCCTTATTTCTAGGAAGCTTTACGCTACTGCATTTCATGTCTCTAAGAATTTTCTGTGCTACTACACAAATATGTTTGCAGGGAATTGTTTTGTTAGCTACTATAACTTTTATATATAGTCTATCTATCTATCTATCTATCTATCTATTATCTTAGTTATAGTTATATTATCTGATAGATTAATAAACAGTGCATATGGTAAAACACATTTTTTCAACAGGGAGATCAAAGAGGTAAATGAGGGTCAGAAGAGGATTATGAGCAAGAAAAGATTGACGAGCCCTGGCCTAACAGTCCTTCAAACTTTATAATTCTATATATCGCTCATGTACACAAGATATTTGCCTCATATACTATGATAAACTATAATTTTATTTATTAATCTACTGTGTCTTCAAATTGCTTAATAACACAAGTACTTAAGTTACGTATGTACACAAGTACATCTGACTACAATACATAGAACAGTTTGTACATGGTTTTCATGTCAATCTGGTAAGTTTCATAATATGTTAAAGAACTGTATCAAAAATGAACTCTAAAGCTAAAACAAGCTTGTGGTAAGCAGTTGGCTATATAACTGTGCTCACATGCATTAGATTGACAAGTCTGAGAATAGAATTATGTACGCTTTCTTCTAGTTGCATACCTCATTGTAAAAAGGACAGTTGGTGGATTTCTGTGTTGCTGTGTGTCTTTTCTCACCTCCAATTTTCACTACCACAAAAGGGTCAATATTAACTCCAACCAACTTCTGAGCTTCAATGATGTTGATGCCAATCTAGGGAGACAATATATTTCCTAGAATCAGTCTAGATATATCAGTATAAAGTGAGAGGAATTAAATCAATTACTTGTTGATTTGTAAAAATCAATCAATGTTTCCTTTACTTTCCTTTTACATTTGCTGGAATGATTGCTCAATCATTAATGGAAGTTATAAACAAATACATGGTTTCCAAAATCAGGTAAGAAATATGAGTTATATAGAGCATTCTTTTGAATGATTTATTGGCAGAGATTCCAAGAGGTCAACTATTCATATGTGTCTGTCAGGCTTTCTGTCCACCTGATTTTAATTCTTCAATAAAAAATGCTATATTCAATAAATAAAACAAAAATACTACTAAGCTTTAGTGTCCTCTTTATTGACAAGCATGGCTCTAGATTGCACAATCTTCTTTCGTAAAAAACAGCCCTGTGCATTCTTTGCATGTCTGCTATACTTGGCAGAAAAAAAGACAAGATAAACTGGGCTAACAAGGGACATCATTGAGGACTACAGGAAGAGCAAGAAGCAAATTTGCCTTCTGGTAACTGGGTTATTTACTGTATAACCTGCTATGCCCATCAGAGCAACTATTGTGAAGTAGGGACACTTCCATCCAAGATAGCCATTTTATGTGAATGCCAGAGCTTCCTCTCATAATTTCAAATGCACCCCACTGGTTCAAAATGGCTAGAAATTCAAAATTCACAGTAAAAGTGTCAAATACATTACCTGGAAGTTCTGTGGTCTAGGAGATGCACAGGGATCCCACTTGGAGAAAACCCTAGAACGGCTAAAATGAAACATCCAACATTAATTACTATCTTATCTGTCATTTTATTTGAACTGTTATTTTTGTTTTGGAATGCAGAGTGCATTGGAATAAAAAGATAAAAATAATGAATAAATAGCTACATACTCAAATCTATAAATGCAGACATTTCCCCAATATTACAACTTGTGAAAGTCTATTGAAGAACTAAATTAATTTCATTAATTATGCTCAAAACACATTTATTTATTTGTTTCAGCAGGATAATGACAGTAAATCAACATTTAATTTTAAATGTAATCAGATGCTTTTACTTTAAAAAAAAGATGGTATTTAAATTTAATTTTACATTTCCATTAATATATGTAACAGTGCTATTACATTCAAACTACATGATGTGTCAAAACACTGCATTCTAGTAGCTAAAACCATGAGTGTAGTTTTGTTCAAACACAAGCTCATTGAGTAATCTGCCCAGAGCAGATTAATTTTATAGGATAAAATTAATGTGATAATGGTGATAATGTATGTTGGTGTAATCAACTAAATAGAAATTGCTTTAGGTGTTACTGATGTTTTAGTTTCATGTGTACAATGGTACTTTGGTACTCAATTGCTTTGAAACTCATCAAAGTTGGTACTCAAAGCATTTTGGCACAAAAAAATTGTTCCAGTAATCATCATTTGGTACTCAACACACAAGCTAGAATTTGTCAGTGTCAGCTGCCTGGTGACTCACTACATTATTCCCTATGGGAAAAATTTGTTTGGTATTCATCATTTTTGGTACTCATCAAGCCTCTTGAAACCAATTAATGGGAGTACCAAGGTACCACTGTACTGCGCTTAGATATATGCACATACTAAATAAAAAAATCCTTATGCTGGAAAGAACATTGAAAACTGCTTTGAAACTTCAAGGATTTTAGCAACATACAAGTCTAAGTAAGTAAATAAATATATCTACTACCATTTCTGCTTGTGATAATGCCATGATTACTTGTGACTATTTTTCTGAAAACTGAAAAGGCATCTTTATACCTGATCTGCAGCAACAGATTGTCACTACATGTTGTTGGTTAACAATTTTCCAAACCTCTCTCCTTAATTTTTTGTTATTATTAATGTTGAAATTACTAATATTGTGACATGTATATATAATTGTTCAGATCATTAATATCTTAAAATAAAACATTTTTACAATAAGTTCTGTCAGGTACTGCTAGTTAATGCTAATGCTAATTTACAAATAGCAAGCAGAATATTTGTAGCAAATGTTTGAACAATCATAACTTTGGCCAAAGAAAAAATTAAGGAAGCAGTAGACAAACTGTGACCCATTGGGTCATCCTTTCAGGGATATTTCCATTCCTAAACAGAAAAAAAGAATGATTACAGGCAGGCAAAGAAGGGAAGATCAGAAATCATTCTCTTTGGCTGATCCACAAAACTGTCTGCCACTTTGCTAAGGAGAGAGGGAACAAGGAGAACCATGGATGGCAAAGAAAATTGCACCTCTACACCCCATCCCTGTATGTCCCCAAGGGCCCACCGGCTCTACGGAGGAAGAAGCCTCACCTGTTGACCTCCAGTACCCCACAGCCAGGCCTATTTTACAAGGACAAATCCAAGTGGCTCCCTCATCCTTTCCTTGCTGCCCATTGCCATTAAGGGATTTCACCTTGGTTCCAAAGCAATCTATTGTCACTTGCCTGCCAGACCTTGCTATTGGTTGGTTGGGTGCAGGAGGCCAGAGGGAGGCAGGAAAGAGGGTAGGTTTCTGGGAAGAGCAGGCAAAAGGTGTAGTGGCAGTGAAGCAGACACAACCTCCCAAAATTTCATTCCCATGGAAATCATGGGTCCCAGCATTTTGTAAGTTACTCCATTTAAGTTACTTTGGTTCAATAATTGTTGTCATACACCTTCCAATCTTGCCCAATTGAAGGTTAAGAACAGACACAAGAGTTTTAGTATTGCACAGATATAAATGCTAATAATAAACCCAAATGATGCACACATGCTATTTTGGAAAGGAATGTTTGGCTAAGTATTAGCCTTCTCCTTTCTGGTACCCTCTAGCCACTTTTGAACTAAACATGCTAGCTGTCTTCCAGAGCTTTTCTCCAGCCCTAAAGGAGGCAGAATTGTCTAACCACATACTGTTGTATTGGTATCTTTGCTGATGAGTCTTCTACCCCAGTAATGAGGCCGAGGAGCAGGGCTCTCCTGACAGATATAATGTGGAGAAGCTATGAAAACCAAGTGTTGGTTTCTCTTGTTTTTGTTTACCTATCCGCCCCCATGACATCCTCTGGTAGGCAATCACCTACCAAGCACTTCCTTTAATGTACAATGTCTGGAGAGAAGACAACTTTTAACAGATGGCAGTAAAGCACTATAGAGCGGTATATAAGTCTAAATGTTATTGCTACTGCCAGGGCTTTTTTTCTCATAGAACGCCCAGAACGGAGTTCCGGCACCTTTTTTGGATGGAACCTTGTAGGGTAGGCAAGGCGGGTTATATGACGTGTGTGAGTTCCGGCACCTTTTTTTTTTTTTTTTTTAGAAAAAAAAGCACTGGCTACTGCTATATGTACCATCTCTTGAACTCCTGGATGGAAGATGGAATAAGAAATAAAGAAATCTTTGCACCACAGTTAGAGCAGCTTTAGGATTCTTGATATTGCAGTTTATCTGGAATGTATCAGGTTGAAGTCTGTTTTCTTCTAAGAAGAAATTGAAGCACTACCTACTCATGGTTGAAAAGTACCTCTTTACAGAACTGAAGACAATCCCAGAGAACTCCATATCAGATACATCGTAGTAATCGTCTTCTTCATCATCCGTTTCCAGACCTTTGACAAGCTTCCTGCCCAGCACTGCAGCCTTCCTATCCAGGTCAGCGGCTCGTTTTGCATCAGCCACCCTATAGCCACACCAGAAGTTAAGAATTACAAGGCTGGCATGCTCATAATAATTCTTTTATCTCCAGAGGCAATGTATACAATTTGAGATGAAAAACATTACATACCATTTTCCTTTACTCCCTTGTTACTGTATTTTTATTAGTGCTATTTCTACTACTACTACTGGTTTAATCTTTATAAGATGAATCACTTACTTAGGAAAACAGCACATTTAATTCTTTACTAAGTAATAATAATGCACATAATTGTCTCTGAAACTTTGATTTCAGTGAACTAGATTAAATTATAAAGACATTGTAGGAGTACTGAAAGGAGGCGAACAAGGCATGAGTGCCATCCCAGTCCAGGAAAGCGTGCAGTTGATGCATAACACAAAGTTGTGTTAAGGCTGTCCTAGCCACGGCTGCCACAAGAACTACAAGTCCAGGAGGACTTCCAAATTGGCCATTAGTTCTGTTTGAGTTTGTACCAGCTCATGAAGAACTAAAGATAGACAGTCCCCAGTACCAGAGGACCTTAATATCCAAAGCCACTCAATCTTGCTAAGGTTGAGTTGAAGCCTATTCTCATTCGGGGTGGAGATATAAAGCTGGGTATCACACTTACCATTAGATGACCTCACTCAGTTGCTTTATACGGAAAGCCTCCACCATTACCGCCCCACACTATCCTGTATTTTGTAAATCATAAGCACTACTGAGTTGATCACTGAGATTTACTTGAAATATGAGTACAAAGCAGACTAATATTACATGTATGCAGTACTACAATTTGAGAGGCAGTTTGGTGTACCATTTAAAGCACCAGGTAAGGAACTGAAGACCATGCATTCTAGTCTCACCTTAACCATAAAGCTAGCGGCATGACCTTGGGCCAATTAATTTGCGCTCAACAAATCATTTCCAAAAAGCTTGCTAAGGAGGCAAAAGTTACTCAAAAGCACAAAAGGGGGGGGGGAACACAACTTGAAATATTGCACTATCACATGGATTGTATACACTTCCATACATTTATTGCAGCAGCAATATACAGTATCAGACTAGTAGCATCTATATAGAATATGCTACTTACTCTAACTCTTCAAATCCTGGGTTGCGAATTATAATCTCAGAGCTGTAATAAAGGAAAATAAAACATGAGTAGTACAAAGCAAACAAATGTTGGCTGTTCAAATTAATTACTAATATAACTTTTAAAAAAAACCTTTCCCCTACAAATCATCCAGTTTGGGAATTAAAGTTCTATATAGTAGTCAGCTGTAATTTTACATCTCCCAGTTCACTCAGTCTAATTTAAAACACAACCAAAATTGACCTGAGTTTTTGGCTATTTGCAAATACACCTGGATCCATCTTGAAAGCTATGTGGCAATTGTTATATTTGGTTGGATTTGCCAGTAACAAATCTATCTTATTTTTTATTTGTCACACTTTCTTTATCAGACTGTGGGACTATATCTTAATTTCAGCAGTTCTATGACTTTCTGATTAGAAAGCTATTTAGGTGTGGGATAGATTTTTTTAGTTTAAAAAAACAATACTATTATCATTTGGAATATTAAAAATGAATATATTGTGTTTTAGTACAGATTCCAGTACCTGTCTTTCATGTGGTAGACAAAATCTTCCTCAACCCATGTCCCTGCAGCACCATCCGGAGGTTGATATCTCAAATCCAATTCAATATATATCTACAGAAAAAAAGTAAAATTTAAGAAAAACTATTATAACTCCCAAATATTTGGAGGATTTTTTGTTTTTTTCATCTTAAAAAAAACCAAACCAAAACAAGGACATTTCTCTACAAAAAAGACCCACCCATAGCTACTGCCCAGCTACAGGACTGAATGCATTTGTCTAATAATTTGCAAAAGCAGTCTCCTGCTTGCTAGCTAGCTAGCTAAGGGAATCATTGAGTGGTAAAACTGAGTTCCAAAACAATTACCAAATATTTCATTATTTAGCCACTTCTCTTTGTAAATGAATACAATTTCACCAAGATTATCTGTGAAGTTCTTTAAATTCTTCTAAGCCCATGCTTGTGTCATCCAGCTATCTTTGCATTTTGTTGCCCTCTTTTTCAATTGTGTTTGATTTTTTCCAAGTTCCAATAATTCTTCTCTTAATATTATATATTCAAAACTTTAAACTTTAAGCTTTATTATTAATGTTTCTGATGAATAATTTAGGTTTATTTAATCTTGTATGAATTATGTGTTCTTCTTTGCAGTCCAAAATATTACCATTAATTGTCTCCAATACCCACAATTTAAAGACATTTATTTTTCTTCACTCAACTTCACTTCAAATTCTTTTTTGCTTGTTGCCATAATCTTTATTTGTTTGTTTGTTTGTTTTAATATTGTACAGCAGACCGGATTTCAACACCCTTCTTTCAACCAAGTAATTACTCAAAACTTTCACACCCTCAGCTATCAAAGTAATATAATTAGCACATCTGAGATGCAATTTTTATTTCTTTTAACCCAGCGTTCCACATGATATATTTTGCATATAAGATAAATAGGATGGTAGTATACAACTTTGGCACATGCCTTTCTCAATTTTGAACCATTTAATTATACCATATCTCATTTTAATTCCAACTCCCTTTAATTGTTAACCTTACTTTGTTTGCATTATTTATTTAGACTCTGCCTCAAAAGTTTCATGATTATATAATATCAGCATGCATGTAAAATATGTTAACTATTATCCCATGCTGGAAGTTTTAGGAACTGGCTTTGTCAATTAGCATGGGGGAGTCTAAAAGTATGGTGCAGGCCTGGGAATGGCTGGTGATCTAAGGATATTTCTGCTGTCTTGTTAACCAATTAGCTCTGAATTTTGATTTAGTTTTACTTGTAAGTTTTAACTTTTTAGCTCTGTTTTTCCAGCTCTGTTTTATTTATTTATTGTTTGTTTGTTTATTCAATTGCTATAATCACCCTACTCAGCCAAGTGACTCTGGATGGCTTACAATTCTAAAACATTCTTCAACAATTCAACAAAACAACTCCTAGGAACTGCAGTGACTGTCTGAAGGCTTCCAGGTTTAATCTAAGTTGCTGGCCACCACATGTCAGGCTCTTTGTGGCCTTAAGGTCCTTTTTATCTTCTAGTCCAGGTAGATTCTGCCTGGCCAGACTTCAACATGGAGAGAGGAGTGCCCACAAGACAGAAAAAATATGTTGAAAAATGTATTTCATGCAACCTGAAGCCTGGGGAGGGAGGAGGGGGGGGTTTCTAAGGGTGGCCAGGAACTGGAGTTGGCGATGAATTATTGTGTGATGATTGCAGATATGTTCAGCAACAGAAAATTACTGAAATGTTTCTGTGATAGTGTGCTGTGTGTCAAAAGGCCGATTTGAGATGCTTGTGTCATATCACTGTGCATTTTAAATGCTATAATATTAATCAAATTACTTACCCCAGTAATGCTATGGTTTTTATCAACAAGAGCCTCTCTGATGTTCAGTCGTCCAGACATTACCAACTGCTGAAGGCTGATAACTAAGGTGCCAAGTAATCTACAAAAAAGAAAACCAAGATAAAAGGCAAAAAAGTTTAACAGTTTAATTTAAAAAGTTTAAATTGTAAGCATATAAAGATGTTCTGGTAGATTCAGGAATGATGTTACATAAAAATAAATCATAAATCAGCAAGAAAGCTGCCCTTGGGTTTCGGAGAGCAATTATGTGCTGTGACTATATCAGACAAGAGACCATGAAGGTATTTCTATCAGAACCAAAGCAATTAAGCCTTCTGCTTCTGCCCCACCCTTCCTCCAAACTCTTTGCTCTTTCCCATCTTTCTCTTTTGATCTGGTTTGAACCAAGCAAATCTTATTATGGGGTAGCAACATATGTAAATACAGATTATGTTGAAATAGTAGTAGTCCTTTGTTTCTCTTTTATACATAACAAATCCTTAAAAACATAATTTTTTATGTCGTCCACTGGAAAATGTCATCTGGAAGAAGAAAAGTTAAGCATAAAAACATTAAATGGGAGAAACTCGAGCAGTTGGTTATTTTACAATTACTTGACTGATCTCTCAGAGATACAACAGGGAAAAGTGTATCTACTAAAAAATGGGATGTATTTTTGGTATAGCATGAATGAATTATTCAGGTTCAAGCGACTGTAAAATGAAATGTAGCAGAAAGATTTTCCAAGGGAGTTAGGAACCTACCTGTTACTGAATACTTTACTGCAGTTGTAAACTTTAACTATCAACATTTCTTCCATAATGAACTTTCCATAATGTGGCCAGCGAAAGAGCTAAAACATGAAATAATGCCAAAATTAATACCCAAGGTTTCTGAAAAGTCCCCTTTCCATCTGTTCATGTCCAATCTCAACAGATGACAGAAAATGTGGGAGTTTATGTCATAATACAATTCATTTATCTTTCTAATTACAGAATTTTGAGGCAACCTCACATTGGATTGTGGATATTTAGGTTTTCCAGATGCTGATGGAACACCCATCAACCCCCACCATCATCATGCTGCCAAGAGTTTTTGAGATTTGTAATTCAACAGCAAGTTGCAAGATCATAAGCTGTATTCGCCCACAATGAGACGTGGTTTGTAGTATTTATCTGTATTCAGTGATCACTACTTTTCCCAATCTGGTGTACTTCAGATTCACTGAAGCTATAGCATGGTCTTTGAACTATACTGACTTACAATAATTGAGAAATTATGCAAGAACATAGTTTAACAAACTCTTTTTCAACAGTTTTTGATTTTTCAGTTAATAATACAACCCTGCTTTCACCAGATTGTAGTACTTCCTACTCTGGAGAAACCTGGGCAGTGTAATGCAAAGATACTCTTCCCACGCACACCAATGAACTTACTATGATTCAAAATTAAGTCTTCCTGTTGAGTGTGATACTTCCTTACCTCTCCAAAGATTGCTTCCTGGCCACAGCGTATCTTCTTTGTTTTCTGGGTAAATCCTTGGAGGGGAGGAATACAAACTTTGTCAAACATATGAAACCCTGGGTATGAATTTTCTTTGAAGGAGCGTACCAGAAAAGAAAGCCATATTCAAAAATCTGGATTTTTTTTATAGCCAGATGTTATCCAACGGGACTCAAATGCACTTTGGAGATTGCACAGTGCAGTGTGTTGGCTTTAGGAGCTATCCAGGTCTTCATGTTCAATCATTGCAGGAAGGGATATATAGAATCTATCAGAATAATATATATGTTCTACCTTTCTTTAAGCTCTCAGAACAGAGAAATACAGATGCCCTCATGTATGGATTTTACGTAATTTCTACCACCACTCGATGACAACTACTTATCTGAAGATTGTAGTATTTTTTCTTTCTTTCATTCCATTGCCTTTATTTATAGACTCCAAAATAATATGTATGCTTTTTCTCTTTTATCCACCAAACAGCAGCATGAGAGAGATTCATTTGAGCAGTGAAAAATCATCTACAGATATATTGCAAACATTGTGGACAATGAGCATTTGAAAGTGAATTTTCCTGACATAAACTTAGCTCTCATTTACCCAGTTTGGTGCCTCCAATTTGTTATAGTGTAGCTCTCAAACAAAATGTTCATGAAGGAATTCAGGTTTGGGGAAATTAAACTATTATACCACATTGCAGAAAATAGAACGTGCCTCTGTGCAATATCTGTTGTGTTCAAAATACACATACAGAAATCAACAAAAGTCTCATCTTTTCCAATTCATTATCTTAGGAACGTAAGAGGAAAAAACAAAATGGAGAGAGAAATGATGCATTGAGAGATGAGATAAGTGACTGTATGCTTGATATAAACTAGGGCTGCATAACTTTTCAGGATGAAGTATGCTTAAGGTCACATTCTAAAACAAGTAATGGCTGGTCAAGACAACATATACATTAAGTTCATTTTACACTATTTATATTACATTAAGTATAGCTAATATTATTTTTCAGTTGGATATTTAATAGTTTACTCCTAATTTATATTAAACCAGTTTTGGTAGTAACTTTTGCATGTTTCTCAAGTTTTCATGCAATCTGACACCTCAAAATGCATAGTTCTACAGTGGGAACAACATGCATGTATATTTGGCTTCTGAGAGGTTTTATAGGTTACGGAAGCAGAACAAAAAATTATGGAGACAATTGCCATTCCACACCAGTCACTTACAGCATTTTCTAGATCAGTGTTTCTAAACCTTGACAATTCTGACCTCAGCTGTCAGAATTCTTTAGTCAGCATGGATGATTGGGGGAATCTGGGAGTTGAAGTCCAGATATACTAAAGCTGCTAAAATTGAGAATATTTACTCAATATTTATTCTAGTAAATATGCCAGTGCAGTCGAACACCAGACCATTATCAGTTACTGACTCACCATCAATGGAGGATTAACTGAAAAAGGAGGAAATAACTACTGACAAAATGGCTATTAGACATTTCCATTGAAAAGCAAATTGTTTGTGTAGTATATAATCTAGAGTTGCAAAATATTGATCAGAACCTGGGGTTAAAAATATGAAATATCTAAATAGGTTAAAGAAACCTTTAAGATTATTGTACCTTATATATTTATATTTATTTTTTCTTGTAGAAAATACCTATTTACATTAAATTCAGAATTCCAATACTGTTTTGAAAATTGTTTATTCTTTTCTCTCATGTCAAATGCTGTCAGTTTAAGTCCTTAGAAATAGAATTCTATACAAATCTATTCAGAAATAAACAAATTTGAATTTAACTGAACCTACTCCCACACAAATGATTGTGCCCAGTCTTAATATATATTCCATGTTCTGGAGTTTGCTTCCAGAACTTCAGATAGTTGTGAAATTTAAGATAAAGTTCCAAATTTCAGGTAGATAGATAATAGATAGATATTGAAAGAGATAGATGATATATATATTGACTAACCAAAGGAACTTAAGGAGAGAAGATTCTGTTCCTTAAAGATCAAAATCTATAGTGGAGGTGATGCCTTTAATAGAATCAACCAAAATGACAGAAATGTGTTTGAAGGTTTTCAAATTCTCCCATAAAGTTTATCCAGGAATTGATTTTAGATTTCCCCCCCTTAATTATCTGTTATTCTTTTTCATTTAAATTTAATTTTTCTTTGGCATTTCCTTTTACTAATGCTTCCTCCCTCCAATCATGTTGAATATATAGCATGCCTTTTATAGAATGGTATTCTGACAAAGTGTATTCTTACAGTTTTCAAAACTTTAAATTTTAATAAACGTTCCTCTTTAAACAACTGTAAGATTTCGTTGTTATTGTTGATTTAAGCAGCTACTCCTAAATATGTTCTGCTTGTGGCAGTACAAACATAATTGTGTGCATTTTCCTAAAAGGAAGGACAGATGTTCACATAAAGAATAACTGGCAGGTTTATGTATTTTTCCATGTTGTATACAAGTCCCACAAACTCTCTATCATTAGGAAACAATTATATTACGGAGCTATATTCTAGCTTTCTCTAGGACATAATCTTAAGCCATTGTATTATGTCTTCCCTCTTCCCAAAACCCCCGTGTGCAACTCCTTCCACCCACCCCAGACTTCCCCCATTCCCTGTCCTCCGCACCTCGAAAGCTGATGTGCACCTGCCTCTCCCCAGTCCCTGGCAGCTGGAAGACCCTCTTGATGCTGACACTCAGAGCCATGGTGCTGCGAGGGCTTGGCTCTGTGCAGGACTGATGGCCTCTGTGTGACCACCGCTGCCAGAGCAGGGCTCCACCTGTCTCTTTAGTGAGTCAGGCCTGGGGACTTGCCAAGCAGGTTTGACTGATCAGACCCCACCCGCAAGCCACACATTGTCCAATAATAGTAGCTCTGGGCCACACTGACAGGTAACTAAATGTCTGCACACACCACCACCACCCAAATCAGGAAGATTGCTTTAAGATAAGCCCAGTTCTTAATAAATGCAGTTGATTACCAGCCAAAAAAACGGGTACAGATTCTGGCATTAAAATAAAAAAGTAATAATATGCTTGGTCCTTTGGGGAAAAAAAGGCACCTTGTAATATATGTGTTAGTTGTAGTGACTTTTTACCTAGTTATCAACAAACATTTTTTATAATTGGTTGCATTCATAAGCAGGAGTGGAACATAGAACTGGATCATCCTTTCTCGTCCTAGCATCCTCCAGCTGTGTTAGGACGGGTCCCAGAACAATCATCCAGCACATAGCCTGGGAATTCTGAGAAGCGTCATCCCAAAACATTTGGAAGGTATCACAAGGGGAAATAATGTTTTATCAATCTTATGTTGAGAATAATCATGAGCAGTCTGGCTGCCTGGCTGGACAAATTACATCTCTACTCTCTCAGACATACCTTGTCATTTTTCTGAGCAGGAGGAGACACTTTCCAAAATAGCAGCTCACATTTCTCATAGTTTTTTTTTTCATTTTTTGAGAATTCTGTTTGCTTATGATTCCTTGGTGCTCTTTGAGCTTGATAGTTGTCTTGCAGATGTTTCATTACCCAAAATCCTTTTGTTTATACTTGGGAATCAGGAAGCATTCTTACAAAAAATATTAATTTTAAAAAAGCCAGTTTCCATCAAGTCTTACAATGAAATTCACAGAATTCCAAGTTAAGCTAAACAAATCTACAGGACCAAATTCTTGTGAGAATGAGGAAACTTTGCATGACTATTCCAATCTCATGAGATTTGGGCTACTCAGAGGAAGGTACTGGACAGTTGCTTATTCCTAGTGTTCAGGTTAAAAAAAAAAAGGTATAGAATTGGCTAGAAAAATAATGGAACCAGTGGAATATCAAGTAGGATATAATGCTTCTTTCACATTTCAAGAATTCAGGAATTTTTTAAGTGCTGGAGTGTATAATAATTTAAAAAGAAGCTGTACATGACAGTATACATTAAATTATAGAGAATTAATGGATGCTATAATCAGTTTTATTTTTAAAAAATATTGTTTTTTTTAATGAAAACTATACAGTCAGTTAAAGATGTGCAGCCTTTACACTGAAATTAATATCATGCACAGTACAGAGAAGAAGGTACTCTACAACAGTTGTGCAAAATATTCATAAGAGATACTGTAAGGTTTGTTAATAGGAGCGAAGAATTCCACCTCAAAGGGTTAAGGCAGCTATGCCCATAGGAGGGTCTATTTAGCTGTTTCAAAAGTAAATAATAATAATAATAATAATAATAATAATAATAATAATAGTAACAACAAAAATGGTAGAAAAAAGAGCAAAGAAAATCAAAAATTGGTCAGCACCAGGTGAAGATGAACTGCATGGGTTTTGGTTGAAACATCTAACTGTTATACACCCACTCATTGCCAAGCAGTTCAACAATATACTACAAGGAGGAGAAATTGAAAAGTGGCTAACAACTGGGAAAACCTACCTAATAATGAAAAATCCAGCAAAAGGGGCAACACCAGGTAACTACAGGCCAATTACCTGCTTACCAACAACATTCAAATTACTAACTGGTGTGGTAGCTGATGCAGTACAACAGCATCTAGTTGAAAACAATCTCTTTCCACCTGAGCAGAAAGGAAACCGCCCCAATAGCAGAGGAACAAAAGATCAACTCCTAATAGACAAAATGATCTTGGAAAACTGCAAGAGAAGGAAGACCAACCTGAATGTGGCATGGATTGACTACAAAAAGGCATTTGACTCTCTGCCACATGATTGGATAATCAAGTGCCTAGAAATAACAGGAGTCAGTAGAAACATCAGAAAATTTGTGCAAAGATCGATGGCACAATGGAAGACACAGTTGCAGATCAATGGTGAGAGGCTGGGAGAGGTTAATATCAAGAGAGGAATATTTCAAGGAGATTCATTATCACCATTACTATTTGTTATTGCACTGTTTCCTCTGTCAACAATACTGAATAACTCAGGACATGGCTATCAAACATCAAAAACATCTGCCAGACTATCCCACCTCCTTTACATGGATGATCTGAAGCTGTATGGAAAAACATCATCTGAAATAGAATCGCTGCTCAACACTGTCCGTATATATAGCCAAGATATTGTAATGGAGTTTGGCTTGGACAAATGTGCCACACTTACTATCAAACAAGGAAAAATAGTGAAAACTGAAGGAATCAAGATGCCCCACGAAAATAACATTAAGAGTCTGGATGAGGAAGATACTACAAATACTTGGGTATCCTTCAAGCTGACAACATCAAGCACACTGAAGTCAAGAAAAAGATTAGAGGTGAATACATCAAGAGAGTGAAGAAGATCTTAAAATCCAAACTCAATGGAGGAAATACCATAAAGGCAATCAACACCTGGGCAATCCCAGTCATTAGGTACACAGCTGGAATAGTGGACTGGACTCAAGCAGAACTAAAAGCAATGGATAGGCAGACCAGAAAAATAATGACAATGAATCACGCCCTTCATCCACGCAGTGACATTGATAGACTTTATCTACCAAGGCAAATAGGTGGGCGTGGAATGCTACAAGTACATCAGATGGTTGAAGAAGAAAAAATGGCTTTGGAAGAATATCTGAAGAACAATGATGAAGATGCACTGAAATTAGTATATCAGGAAGGCTTACTAACTACTGGAGAGACCAAACTGGCCTACAAGAAAGACCAAATGAAGAACAGAATAGAGGCATGGGAAGACAAAGCACTACATGGCCAATACATGAAAAAAATAGCTGGGAAAGCAGATAATAATAAAACCTGGCAATGGCTAAGAGCAGGAAAATTGAAGAAAGAGACCGAGGGACTAATTCTGGCTGCACAAGACCAAGCCTTAAGGACAAATGCATACAAAGTCAAAATTGAGAAGACAGCAACAGACAGTAAGTGCCGCCTATGCAAAGAAGCTGAAGAAACAGTGGACCACTTGGTAAGCTGTTGCAAGAAGATTGCACAGACTGATTACAAGCAGCGGCATGACAAAGTAGCAACAATGGTGCATTGGAAGATCTGCAAAAAATATCATTTGCCTGTAAGCAAAAACTGGTGGGATCATAAAATAGAGAAAGTCATAGAAAATGATAAAATTAAACTGCTCTGGGACTTCAGAATTCAAACAGACAAGCACCTGCAACATAACACCCCAGACTTAACAATTGTCGATAAGAAAGACAAAAAAGTCTGGATAGTGGACGTGGCAGTGCCTGGAGATAGCAGAATAGAAGAGAAAGAACTGGAGAAGATAACAAAATACAAAGACCTACAGATAGAAATAGAAAGACTGTGGCAAAAGCAAGCAAGGGTAGTACCAATAGTCATAGGCTCCTTGGGCGCAATCCCAAAACAACTGGAGCACCACTTGAACACCATTGGCATTGACAAATTTGCTATTAGTCAATTGCAAAAGGCGGCCTTATTAGGAACTGCTTCCATCCTGCGACGATACCTGTAATACCATCAAACATCCACATCTGCCTATCCCAGGTCCTGGGTAAGGACTCGATAGGTAGACAAAGTGCCAAATCCAGGCTGAACATCTGGCTGACTGTGCGATGAATGATAATAATAATAATAAAGTTGGAAGTGACCTTGGAGGTCATCTAGTTCAACTCTTTATTGGAACTTAAAACATTTGAAGGAGTGAAAAAAAAGTCTTCTGGACACTTGTGAACATATTTTGAAAATTATTTGAAGGAATCACTTGCTATTTATGAAAGTATTTGAGCAATTCTTTTCTAAAAAAACAAGGTAGTGATTAGAGCTGCACAATTGAAGCCACATTTCTTGTACACACATATAACATTTATATATATATATATATATATATATATATATATATATATATATATATATATATATATATATATATATATATATACACACACACACACACACACAAAAGGCATGGGACCACGACTGCCCTATTGACATTTTGTCTCCTCCCACCCCCAATTCCTGCAAATGTCATTGCAACCAATAACCAAATATTATGCCAAAGTCATCACACTTGATTGGAAAATCCAGTGAGTTTAATAGCTCCTAGGCTTACTGGAGACAGGTAAAACAACTAACGGAGACTTTATAGCAGAAATATGCTATGTAACTACATTCCAACCACTCCCCAAATCACCATAGAGCATTATGCCAAAAGAACAGCTACATGCGTCATATCAAAAGCACACAACAATAATCAACATCTGAATGACTAATTTGAATGTAATGCTATAGGTCTATCACCTTTTGGAACACCCCTTAGTAAATTGTATTTCATACCGTATAAACCTTTCAATTGAGAATCACCAGAGGGCAGTAAAATGCTTATACAGTACTTAATTGATACAGAGTAAACCAATTTTGGTTTGTAGGACTACTAAGATACAAGTCAGATCCTTCTTGATAGATACAATGTGTTATAGGTGTATCCACTTGCAATTCTTATTAGTCACTATTTCTATTTCCCCCAGCAAGTGCTGCTTTGCTGCCTTATTGTTGTAGGGGTAAGAATGTTCTGGGAGGAATAAGCGAAGAATGTCTGCAGTGTGTGCCAAGAATACATTATCCCAGCAAGTTCATCCAAGGCATTAAGGCTACCCAACTGCCCAGCTAAAGCAAGCAGACACTTATAATGGGCAGCAGTAATACAGGGAATTGCTGGAAGTGGAAGGCATCATATTGTACAGAAAAAGGCAATAGTAAACCACTACAGTATTTACAAGAAAACCACATGAACATAAGGCTGTATGCCCTTCCTTTATTTGTTTAACTTATATGCTAAATAAATATTGAGGGATGGATTGGAGAAAAGTGTACATCAGTAGCCTGCATTATGCTTATGATATTGTTGATAGCCAAAATGTAAATGATCTGCAAGCTCTAGCGATTAAAGTTAAGAAGTACAGTCAAGAAATGGGACCAAATATAAAGGAGGCCAAACTCATAAAAACAGGTACAGCAACTAGACTTTAGAATGAAGATATAGTTCCTCCAAAAATGGCATGCTGAGCGGTGGGGCATTTTTTTCTTCCTGCGACAAACAACTGATTTTGCTGCCAAAGCATGGTTCCCAGATTTGAATAGGAACAACTAGGAATGACCTAAGAAGATCCTCAGATTACCATGCATCTACCTGGGAAGAAGAATCTCCATGATTGCAATTCTTGATAGAAATATCCCAAGGGCTTGGGTCTCCATCTTTTCCTTTCAGCTTTGCTTTTTTTAAAAGCACACCTCAGTTTTAACTGCACATTTTTGAAGTTTACTGTTTCTTTTTAACTTTCATTTTCAATTGTTAATCAACTGGTTGAATGCTGATTTATTCTAACCTCTTGCTGAATTTTAATGTGTATTTTATGCATCTTTTTACTGCTTTATTTTGGATTTGTGAATCACCTTTTGCTTTCATTGTATGGAAATTGATAGCAAGAGGACTCTCCTCTAGGTAGTGAATGTGATTTGATCTGATTTACATTTATATCAGATTTTTACTGCAAGGATTTTGTATTCTACATTTTTAAAAGCTCTGGTCTTATTTCTTTTAAACTGTAATGGGAACTTTCCCTTTTTTTCTATTCACTTTTTACCAAGGGAAATATCTCAATTTTTTCTGAAGTCATTCTGTTATAGTACATCTATTGAGAGAAACTGTTTACATTTTGCTGTAAAAACTCTTAAGAACTTTCTTAAGAAGACTGATGGAGATTTGGGAATGGATTTATATCCAATTAGAAAACAATTGTCAAGACACACTGAGTTTCAAATTATAACAAGATTCTTTGAACAAACAAATGCTGCAGAGATATTTACAAGAGATTTATGACTTTGGGGAATAAGATGCAATTGTTGGGAAAGATCCCAGTAAAAATTTTAAGAAAATTTTTTATCATTAAGAATCAGTCGGGGATATTTGATCCTGAACAGATCAGAGGTAATGATTGCGATAGTTTATGGTAGATCAGAAGCCATAGTGAACTTTCTACAAGACACATACAATAACAGATTGTTAACAGTAAACTTCTAAGTTTAACTTTGCTGTTGGCTTTACCTGTTAACTATTTTTTCTTATACAGTTGATGGCAGGTCAAATTGGTTGGGTAAACAGTTGTAGAAGTTCATAAATCATGGGCCTGTAGCAAAAGGGGGCACTATTCTTGAAATGTATTTAGCACTATTCATCTGGGGGGGGGAATCTATGTGTGGTTTTTAAAAATGCACTTTTTAATGACTTGTTAGCTTTACTTTGCTTTTGATTTTTTCCCCTTTTTGGGAGTTTATATTTTAACCATGAATAAAATAACACAATTTTTTTTAAAAAAGGAAGATACTGAAGGGTTAAGACAGCTTCTGCCTTTTAGGATTAATGTTAAAGAATCAGCAGCTAAAAAATAAGCTGTAGGTAGATTATCAATTAATACTTTAGAAAAAACAGATGCCAAAATGTGTTTATCTACAAATTATGCAGGCAATATTTTTTTTCTCTGTGCACTCTCTGGAAGTGAAAGTTGAATAACTGAGGCAGAAATATCGAGACTTTTGAACTTTGGGATTAGAGAAGGCGCCTGAGAATATCATTGGCAGCCAAGGAAACAACTAAATGGGTCATCTAGTTCTCACTTCAGGCATAAATGACCAGCTTGATCTTAGACATATTAAGCAAAAAAGTGTGAGCACCACAGCCTCCCTGGCCCACTCCACTGACGAAGGATTCTACTGTTACCTTTGTGGAAGTAAGATGATCTGTTAGTTTGTGTGTGTGTAAACTGAAGAATCTTGGGCTTTACAGTAGGTGACAAAATGTCCTGGAAAAACACTGAAAGTTGTCTTGAAGGCTTGAAAATGGCTCACAACATCAAATTTCTCAGTCAGATCAGATTCTTTAGCCTGGCACATGTTGGGATTCCAACGTCCAGAATTTGACATCAGTATGGCCTTTGGCTATGTTAGTTAAAGATTCAAAGAGCATTCAAGATTCATTTATACTAATGCTCAAATATACATGCTTTCCTATCGATTATGTCTATATTAGGCATCTCCCCAAGTTCCCCATGTAATTCACTGAAAACTGTTTTCAGGCACATCCGAGAAGTTTGATTCAAATAAGAGGCTTAAAATTTATACGGAGATTTAATACAGAATGGCATTCTTACATTAGAAACATTATTTCCATTAAACATTTAATCAAACAGTGCAATAGAAGATTGTCCAAACAGGCAATTTTCAAAAAGGCTGGAGATACCTTTTAAAAATGTGGTTTAAAAATTTTAAACAGTTTGGAATAGTGGTTAAAGTGCTGGCCTAGAAACCAGGTGACTGTGAATTCTAGTTCGGCCTTAGGCACGAAATCCAGCTGCATGATTTTGTGCCAGGCACTCTCTCTTAGCCCAACTCACCTTACAGGATTGCTGTTATGAGGAAAATAGAAAGGAGTATTGTATATGTTCTCTGTTTTGAGATATTTATAAAAGTAATAAAGGCAAAATCAAAAAATATAAAAGGTACAAATTCCTTCTAATATTCCTCCAAATATAAAAGAACTATATTCTATTTCTGAGAAATATGTTAACACAAATAAGTATTAAAGTTGCTGAGTGCTTTTCAACTACAGTCTAAGTTTGTATTATTTATTTTACCATCTTAGAAATCAACTGTTATCATCCTGGTATGAGTATAGGGTAGGCCCTGGAAATTGAATCCAAATTCCTATTGAATGAGAAATCGTAAAACTTTCAAAAGCAGAAAGGATGTAATTTCTTCAGAGTGGTTCCCTAAAATTTAAATCTGTTATGTGTATCCTACATTCTATCATGATAGAGAACAAGTCTAAATCTGTCTAAAAAATACAGCAAAAGCAATTTTTCTCAAGGATTGAAAACGGACACAATATTATTACTATAGAGTTAATTTCAACTGAGATGTAATATGATAAGTATAATGTGATTATACCAGTAGTCTTCATGACCACAATTGGGGCTAGAATTTCCCCTGCTAAGCAAGGTGGTTATTAACTGAGTTGCACCTAATATTATCACCTTTACTGACACAGTTGTTGAGTGAATCACTGCTGCTGTTAAGTGAATCATGCAATTGTTAAACGAATCCAGCTTCCTCCATTTACTCTGCTTGTTCGAAGCCAGATGAGAAAGTGATCACATGATTCCAGGACACTAACTATTGTAAATGCATCACAAATGCCAAACACCCAAATTTTGATCATGTGACAATGGAGATGCTGCAATGGCCCTAAGTGCAAGGATCATTCATAAGTCACTTTTTCATTGCTGTTATAACTTTGAATAGTGGCTAAACAAATGGTTGTAAATCAAGAACTACCTCTAGTTAAAATATCTTTGTTTGATGCATTCATTAACAAAGCAGCTCTACTTGGATCAAACTGCAAATTCAGCATTAGACAAATTATTTCATTATCTAAGCACAGACTTAATTTCCTTATATTTGGATTTATAAATAATATTTGATATTATTGTTAAATTTATTCAAACACATTTTCCTTTAGATCAATAAGATTTGCACTTTCTTTTAAAAAGCTTTCATACTCCAAAGTTATAGAAAATTTGAAATGAACTTTCCAAAACTATAACTGAAAGTATTTAATGTAAACTAGTATTGCTGTAGCTGAAAGCATCTAAGGTTCCTGCAACTTAGGGTTGGAGTTAGGGTTCAAATTCTTACTTGTCACTTCTCTACTAGTATCAGTGAAATACATGAATGAAATATACTTTAAAACATAATTTGAAATATAAGAAAATGCCCTTAAGAAACATGTCTGAATGTAAACAGCATTATTTAAAACATTAAACAATGATTTGTATTCAGCTTTGGTAATGTATAGTACAATTCCTTTATAAAGAAAATAGTTTTAATATTTGTCATTTCATAAAGACCCACAAAAATTAAGGCAATGCTATAACAGTGCAAGAAGATTTGTCTTTCTACAGATGAGAAATTGTCTAGGAATATATAATAAATGATGTATATATGTATATATACAATATAGCATTTATCATTATATATTATATTATATAGTGTGTATTATACACACACACATATTTCTGTATCAGTGAAAAAGTTCACAGCAGCTAGATGTTCATAGTATTCTAAATTAGAGAAAGAAATCATGCATGTCAACTATTTTTAAAGTGAATTTCTGATATATGCAACATATGTGAAGTTCTTGTAATCAGATTATCTTGCATAAAATATAGGCTTGTGCTAAAAAATAATATAGTTTTGAGGTTACAACTTCTGCATGATCACAGGGACCATCAACCATTTAGTAACCTAGTTAAGTATCATCACCTTTCCAAAACCACTGCTAAGATCTATCCAAGTTATATAATTTTAACAGAAAAAATATACCGTAAAGCTTTAATCTTGTTCTAAACCCAAGTTTCTTCAATTTGATTCCATGCTGTACAAAGTGTATGCAGATATACAGAATACAAACTGATAGCCAAATCCTACAATTTGAGATAGCCACTAGATTCTTAATAGGCATGAGAGTTCCTATATATTTCCTATACATGTACAGATCCTATACATTTTCTGCATAGAACATGAGCATTATATGCAGAACCACAGAAATGTTTTTGAGTGCAGTGTTACTGGATGCCAGAAGATAAATGCTTTTATTAAAAAAAAACCTTCTGTCTGCAGCATTATTTTCCTGACTGTATATTTAAGCAATAAAAATATTCTCTGCTTTATGGTTGCTTTTGTGAAGGCAATTTTACAGGAGTCAGGCCAGTTTTCTTGAAGTAGGAGACTAGTTGTCTAGGGATTTCAGCCAATACTGCCTGGGAAAGGGCTTCCCGAGGAGCCTATGAAAAAGAAAATGTATTATGTAAAGACAAGAATGTTACACAGATATAAAAACATATTATTTTCCATATTATGTTCCACAATATAAAAAGACACTTAACAGAAAAAATACAGTAGATAAAAACAGGAAATACCATACAAGAATAAGCAATGGAGAAATGCCCAGTTTTGATACTGCTACCCAGAATTAATAAAACTGAGTCATTTCAGTTAAAAAATAGATTAATTATGCATTTCCAAAACTACAGTTTGCCTCAAATATCTTTTACATTTTACCATACCAGCATATGAAGATTTTTATATTTCTTAAAATAATTGGTTAAGAAAGCACAAAAAGAATATATCTTGCCTCCCATACATTTTGTCACACCCTTTTGAATGTGGAGCATGTTAAGTTGTTTTTTAATCCAAAGACTTAAAAGACAGAGTTTAAGCAGAATTCAAAATTAAATCTGAACAACACTGGAATACATGCAACGTTTTATCTAACTAGACACTAACCTATAGTGAAATAGAATAATCAATACAGATGAGAAGTCCAAATTTCTGATCCAAATTTATGCTGTTAAATATGGGTAAGAAATGGGCAGAATTAAATCTGTTACAAGCTTCTGCCTCTAAAAAAAAGTATCGGGTGTTAAAAAAAAATTCAATAACTTCTAGATCTCTGAGCAATTACATCAGATCAGAGCTCCAGATGTTGATACTATCCAGACTACGTTCAAATTAACCTATTAAAACATACCAAGTTAAGCCTATATTTCTTGATATAAAATGTCTCACACAATTATTTATGTTGATTCACAATCAACATAGTTGTTTGTAACTGGAGTGGAGAAACTTGTGACCTTCCAGATAAATGGGGGGCTTCCAATTTTAATTTACTGCAGACTTTAATAATTTACTAATGGATCAATTTAACCTCTAAGGGTCATATTCTTTAGTTACTGCTATATCAACACCCTGAAAGCAAAATGGTTGAAGCAGCATAAAAGAACATGTAATAAATAAATAAATTTGGAACTTACATTTTGGAACTGTCTAAAAGGCACAAACTGGACAATATCTCGTGCAACTGGCTCCCCTGCCAATGATTTCAGGACACCATCATCCCCATCTAAAAATTCCATGGCTTTGAACTCAGCACTGCCAACACCAATAATAATGATGGACATAGGCAGCTTGGAGGCATTTACAATGGCTTGCCTAGTTTGGTCCAGATCAGTTATCTCCCCATCTGTGATTATCAGTAAAACATAGTATTGCTGCAAAAAAATAGATGAAACAATAAAAATTAAATAAATATAACAAGTATGCCGTGTTGAAAAGTGACTGAAATGCAATACAATATGGATATGATAACCTCATAAAGCATATATACAGTACTAAAATGGATTGAAAAGAACAATGCAATTATTTTTAAATATCGGCTCTGATCTCAAAGAGTTATTTTCAGGTTTTGCTTTGTATAATTTATTTTAGAAAACACTCAAAGAACTGCCTATGCCTGCGAGTTGTACATTAATTTGTACATTAAGATATTCAGTAGTAGTTCCTATTTTAGGGATTTTTTTTTCTAAAACAGAGGAAAGGGAGTCTCGGAGGTCTCAAACTCATGACCCAAAAAACAGATACAATCACGTTTTCTGCAGCCAACCTATGGTTCACCCATTCATCCTACTTTGCCTTGAACAATCTGCCTTCATGCATTCACTCACTTGCTTCCAGTGCCTTGTTCACAAGCCATAATAATAATAATAATAATAATAATAATAATAATAATAATAATAATAATAATAATACTAAAAAGTTGGAAGGGACCTTGGAGGTCATTGGAGACAAATGGACATGGATCCTGAATGCAGACAGATATCACCCTGTTTTCTTCTCTCTGGATCTGTCTTCCTCAGGCCTGAAGAGCAAGAATGGTGAAAAGGCAAATGGAGACTGAGCTGAGCTGCTTGGCATTGGCACTCAATTAGTGCATAAGGGTTCATATATAACCTTGCAGAAGAAGTGCAGAAATGGATAGGAAAAAATAAGAGTTAGGAAGATTTTTGTGGAAGAGGCAGGTAGGTGAGCAGTTGTTCCTACTAGAGGAGAGTTGAGAAAATCCTTTTCAGGAAGTGAGCTGTAATAACTGGCTGAGATTTCTGCCAAGGATAGGAGCAAAAGGCATATATGTTTAATCAGAGGCTGTGGAGGAAGAACAGATGTGACTTCTTTGGAAACTGAAGCTTCTCTTCAAATGATCTGTCTTCTCTGGACAGTCTGAAGGCTTTTAATGTTGTGAAAGTTGCAATTCATCATCATCTGGATGGCCATACAGAAGATTAAGGATTAAAACATAATTATTACATGCAAGTAACTTCTGTATCAAAGAATGAAATATTTTTGGTGTGGTGGCCCTCAAACAATGTGATCCTTTTGAAGCACTTGTGATTAACTTGAATTTGAGTCGCCTAGATTAAATGAAAAAACAAAAACAAAACAGCATCAAGCCAACTCACAGAAGCAGTCTTTTCTTGAGCTGAATGAGCAGCAAATCTAGCAACGTGATTTATAATTGGAGAAAAGTTTGTTGGACCATAGAGACGAATCTGAGGCAAGGCCTGTCGGTAGGCATCTATAATTCCTTGGATTCCTAAAACAAAGAAACAGCAGAATTAATTAAAAACTTTGGATAAAGTATTATATGCATCTTTCAAATGTTTCAATATGAAGAGCACCTAGGAATAACGTACAGATAAAGAAATGGGGATAGCAGTCTACTTGAATCAGTTTGGTTATTTACTTGTAAGTAGTCCTTGAGTTATAAAGCAATTGGGACTGGGAATTCCTATCACTAAAGCAGGGGTTCCCAACTGGGGGTGTTTGCACCCCTTGGGTGTGTGAGACGGTATTCCAGGGGGTGCGAAAACTTGGGTTTTTCAAATTATAGTGTATATGCATAATTTGTTGCCCTTATTTTGAATTTTTATAAGGGGTGCGAGAATATATCAGGAACGTTCTATGGGTGCAGGATATAGAAAAGGTTGGGAGACGCTGCATTAAGCAATGCATGACATCATGTGACCGTGTTGCTTAAGAAAGACAATTTTGGCAGTCCTGGTTGCAGTCATTAAATGAAGCCTGTGTAGTTAAACCAGGACTTTACATGATCGCAATTTCTGATTTCCTGTCAGCTTCCCAATGATGTTGCTTGTGGGAAGGCGGCAGGGAACATCAAAAATTGTAATCACACGGCCATAGCTCCCTGTGATGTAATCAAGAGACAGGTACCCGATCGCAATCATATGACCGCGGGGAAACTGGAACAGTCAGAACTCCAAGAACATGTCATAAGTCAGCCTCATTCAGTGCCATCTTAAGTTTGAATGGTTACAACCTGAGGACTATCTGTATTCTCATTTCACTCACCCGGATTAGCATGATGGTAAAAATACCAAATTTTAATCTTTTAAGAGGAAAGTGAAGGTAAGAAAAATATTAACAATAGTATACTGTACTATGAGGTTGTGGTGGCTATCTTGCCTAGAGGAATGTTACTAAAAACACGCCATTCAAAATTAAAAATTAAGTTCTTATCTAAAGTTTTTAGGTAATTTTAAAAAAATTCTCCAATCGAAAGTATATAGTTTAACAGACTTCAGATAGTTTTCATTTTATTTCTAGATATTTTATCCTTCTTTATGATGAAACTGTTAACAGAATGGCCTTTATACTTTTGTTTATGACAACATCATTAAAAAAAAGTTGACTTCCAAAAATCCCAAAAAGTGAGATATCAAGGAACTTAAGATGCTCTGAGAGGAAATGTCAGCCTCTTGCCATATAATAAAAAGGATTCTTTCACAGATACCAGTCATACTTCAGATGGCAAAGTGATTTAGAAAAGGCCTCCAACGATTAGATTGGATAAGATTAAAGTAAACAAGATATTTGTGTTGCAAAAGAGCAACACAAAAAAGCAGTTGTATTGACCATCATAAAAATTAGCTTCAATAATACTTCAAAAATTTCAATAAAAGCTTCAGGGAAGCTGAGTGACTTTGGACCAATCACTCTCTCTTAGTCCAACCCACCTCACAGAGTTGTTGTGGGAGGAGAAAGGTGTGTTGGATGTGTTTGCCACCTTGAGTTATTTGCAAAAATAATAAAGGAGGGATATAAACAAACATCAAGTTTATTTTGCCTCATAAAGAATTCCAGAAAATTTGAAAGATTTTGTTTTTGGGTAAAAGTTATTGCATTAAGAATGGTTAGACTGAAATCAATACATATACCACATACATCCAGTATTAAGTTATTTAATAAAATTCAAATGTAATTTTTTATTTCATTTTTTCATAAAGAATGAAAAAAAGTTAGGTATGAGTTAAAAACAAACTATTTCTTGGCTAAGGAGTATAATAAACTGGAGCTGTTTGTGACTTCCACCCTAAGCAGTGCAAGCTCCTGTCTTATTTCTTATAAACTAATTTTTGATCCACCATTTACACTAATGTTTAAGCCCAAACTGAATGTTATAGTAAAGTTCATTATAAACTGAAATCATAATACTATTTACACTCTTTTAAATGGTGAATAAAGATTTCTAAAATTCAGATCTTTAGATATGCTACAGTAATGATGATGGCCAAATACCAATTGTCCTCAAAACTGTCGATGTTCCTCTTATAATTTTAATGAAAGATCCTTTGCATCTTTTTGTTCTTTCTCTTATAAAATTTGTTATTTTTATAAGAAAAATAAATGATTACCTTGGCAATAAGGGTTTGCAGGATTAAAGTTCAATGCAAATTCATGGGAAACCTGGAAAGACAGACATATTAAGACATGGGATCAAAGGCAACTAAAAATGTGTAACGGTGATTAAAGTGAGAAGCCCACCTGCCAATCTGGAGGAACTTGAGCTCCAAATCCAAAGGCAGGAAACAACTTATCACTGAAAAACAAATCAAATAAACACAAAAGTATTCAGATATTTTTATTTTAACTGCAGGTTGAACAAAATAAGTAACATTTAACTCTAACTTGACCAAAGCTAGCTGTAATTAGCATGATCTTTTGTAAAGTGGTAATGTTCAGAAAGCTACGTTATGAGTTCAAGTCTCTTTTAAACTGAATGGCGTTCTAATATTCTTTATCTAACAAGTAATAGCAGTTCTTTAAATATGCTTCACTCATAACTTTTATAATAGAATGTTAAACAAACATTGTTATTTTATGGGACAGTGGATTAACAGTTTCCACTTAAAAAGAACTAATAAAAATGTCAAAGGCACACTAGACAATGAATTAATTTTAGTATCAAAACATGTTGGCAGCAACTTCCAGTTCCATGAAATAAACTACCAGTTCAAAGGAAATAGAGTTTATAACATTGGACCTTTTGGAATCTTTCTTGGCCTTATTAAGTAAATAAGCTAAAGATGGAAAATTTAACATACGTGTCATAATCCTGGACCACACCACCCACACACCAGATAGCACTGAGATATTCATTTATCCCATTTGGACTAATATAGTGAAGAGAATCTGGTGACTTTGGATTTCCATTGGAGCCAGTAAAATCTATCCCCACCTGATAGAAGAATAAGAAATATAAATTAAATGTTAGATAATATAAGAAACAAGATTTTTACTCATTAACTTTGGTTTCAGGAAAACCCAGCTACAACTAAAGAATATTGCCAAAATGGCTTCTCAAATGTCAAAGGCAAATTAAGATGAGTTACTAATTTCAATAAAAGGTCAAACCTATTCTTCATTGTATTTAATAATTGTGGTTAATTATTGAATAATTAAAAAGTACAAAAAAGTAAATTTAATTTTATTAAATATATAAAACAAATTTAGTAAATCATAGTAATTTCTATCTTTATTTTTTTAAAAAGCATCTTAACAAATGTTAGCATGCAAATTACTATTTAGAAAAATATAAATGCTGGAGCTTACATTTAATCTAGAAATCAAATACATGAGTTGATACTCACAGTGAAATTAATTTGGCAACCACCCATGATATAATCCAGGAACGAATATTCTGTTTCAATCTGTGAAAAATAAAACCATTGCAACATTATTATTTTTACCTTATAATGACAGAAAAGTCAACTGCATTAAATGAAATTATTCATACCTTGCAGGATTTCAATCTAATAATGCCAGAGTTTTTGTAACTCTTCTTTTTTCTTTTTTTTTCAGGGTGAATACATTCAAATTCAACCTATATGAAAAGTATACATACAAAATCAAGCTTATTAATCAATGTAATCAAGACTAACACTTTAAGATGAATTAGGAATAATTCCTTTGGTAAATCCAAATTAATTTGAAAAAAAAGATAACCAGGAAGAATTACTATATTATTCTTTCTTGACTTGTATCAAACATTATGACAGTGGAAAAGTACAGATGCTAAAATCATTATATGAGCATAAGAATGGGGGAACCTAAGTCCTTCAGAAAGTGCCAAGTTACAACTGCCAGCTTACAAGTGGCCATGCTTCCATGGGTTGCTGGAAATTGTAATTCAGCATCAGCTTGAATCCCCCAGATTTTCCACACTGCATAACTAATACTTATTAATGAAGACATTAAATAACTAGCTGAAATAACTAGCAAAAGTGAAGTCAGAATATTGAATTTGACACTTCTGAAAGAATTAAATTTTGTACTAGTGAGGCACAATGAGATCCAGTTATACAGAATATGCTAAAGGTGCATCTTGTAACAATTTAAATAAAAAGGAATTAATTTAAATATGTATTGTGATATAAAGGCTTCAAAAATTCCTCCAACTTTATCATTCATCATTTAGGATCTATAATTAAACTATCTGCCTGACCAGTGAATTCCTGTTCCAAAATACAGGTACATTATGAAGCACAGTGTTTTGTTTTACAATATTCTTATTTAAATGGAAAAGAAAAATAAAGAATTTTTATCTGACACAGAATTTTCCTGAGATACAGAATACTGAATTGTTGGAAAGCAAACATATGTCAAAAATAACAAATTATGTGCATGTAAACTAAATTTCAATGGAGAATTTCTACAGCTGTCATCTCAGTTTGTGAATCCTTTGGGAGAGAAGTTTAATAGAGACAAAGAATTAAATAGTGGACTCCCAAATGGTGTAGCAGAAAACTAAGAATTATTGAGAAGTTAGTCATTGGAAAATTAAATCTATATTATAAATTACTCGATTATTATGCTATTTTTCAATTCAACAGAAGATTAACCAGCATGGAGCAGAACAATTGCATTCAATAGAGAACATTTACTTATATTACCGCTAAGACCAACTCAGCCATATAGCTGCCTTCCTAAGCCTATCAGTTTTGATTCATAAGCATCAGAATGTTATCTTCATGGTAGGCTCAAAAGAAAGAAAAATATAGCTGTAAAACATATATAACTTGTTTTTTCCTCCATAAACACACAAAGATATTGGGAGAATGAAAATAATATTTTATTATCCTTCTTGGGGAAAAAATACAAAAATTAAACGAATCAAATAATGTAAAATTCAAAGCTCACCGGAGAACTGTCACCTGCCTTCTGTAGCTGGGACAGGGTACTTTCGAAACTGCCTATTAAATCATGTGACCCATCACTATCATAATCATAACAGTGCACCTAAAAGGAAAGAAACAGAGGGCAATAGACAAGGAGAATGACTGCTGCTCACCACTTGATCTCTCACTTCCAACAGCTTTGAGACGTTGCATATGAATTCCCCTATCAAGTCTGAACTGGTGTTGCCATCCATATCACTAACTGTAACCTAATAGTAAGAAAGAAACCTCAAAATGAGTCCTCAAGGACAACTATGTAATGTAAGAGTTAGGTGTTCAATATGCAATGGAAAGACAGCTCAGATGCAAAGCAGATTTTAAAAAATATGTATCAATGATCCAGATAAAATAACTCAATAACTTACAGAAGACAAGCATTCTGAGAAACAGAAACAGAAACCTTAAGTGCTTTATATGCCAGCATAAACAGTAATTTCTAATCTGATGCCCTTCAGATATGTTGATATACACTTCTCAGAATACTGCTAGCACCATATCAGATTGGGGAAGGCTGGCATAGGCAACATAAGGTCAAGATGAGTTTAAAAAAGAACTTAAATATAAGATACCCAACAGCAAGTAGGTGCATGAATTATACAAAATATGACAAGACTAAACCACACAGTTCTTCTCTATTTTATGACGTTTCATGAGAACATCCATTCATGCGGAAACTGCAAGGCTCATTCTAAAAAAAATCAAGCAAAATATGACCTGAATGCTCATGTTAAGTTAAATGTTCAGCATAAAATATAAAAATCTGGAAATCACACAGATATTGTTTTGTATCAGGGCTTAAAAAGATATTTGAATAATGCTGATATTTTTAAGGAAAACATGACTTTTATCTTCTTGTTGTTCTTGCTCATCTGTGATACACTAACAATATAGGGCTATGTGTGGTGTTTATGAATATGCTGTAAATATTGTGTAATATGTTAATCTTAAATATATTTGCTTGCAATAAACTTTTAATGACACATATTTGGACTAAAACTTATAGATGAAAATATCACAGACCAGAAATAAAGAGGCCTAGGAACCAAAACTTAAAAGCAAAGTCCTTTAAGACAGTCACACTGATAGAAAAGACCAGAGACTTTTCACTAGAAACAAAAGGGAAAAGTATTCTTTGCTACTACTTTAATAACAAAGCAAAATGCAAAAGTATAGATATTTTTCTGGCAAGAAAAAAGTGATGCATCTCAATAATTACAGCAACATCTTTATCAGAATTGCATTTTGTATCATATAATTCATCAACAATCATTCATTATGATTTAATCTCTTTGCTAGCCTTTATCTGTATGCCCAAAACATACAGCCCTCCTTACACTAATGATCTTCTTACTAATGATGCTAGATTCCAAGCCTTACACTAATGATCTTCTTACTAATGATGCTAGATTCCAAGCCTATGAACAATTATATTTTCCTCTGAATAAAGTGGAAGACAAAATCTCTGGAGGACCTATAAAATAATAATAGTGATTCTCAAATATGGCCTATGTATTATCAGTGATCTGTAAACATCCACCAAGTGGTTCTCTCCAGCTTCTCCATATTCTTGAGCCACACTTGTAGTCATAAGCCACATTTGCCAAAATTTGCTTATCACTTCTATGTGCCCCACATAGAGTGTCTGAAAATTTATTCACTGAAGAGAAAAATAATAATACAAGTAGCACTATGACAACTGTACTAAAATTCAGAAAGTTGACAGGTAAACCACTTTCAAATACAACTCCTAACTGTGGGTCTGCAGATGTTATGCTTAGTGGAACTACAACTCCCATGAATAATCCCCAAAATAAGTACATAGGAAATGCAATAATGAGTATCCAAAAGTGGGATTTATTAAGGCTGGAGATCCAGGTCAGTGTTGACTGACTCAGAATACTCAGAGATTCCTAGTAAATAGAAAATCATTCTTCACCAGCAACTTTCTCCTGTTTATAAAACATGGGAATAAATATTTTGGAATATAACATTTAGTTTTAAATGGGCCCTTACAGTGATAAGGTTGGGAAAGCATAAAAATGCAACTATATCTTATTCACCAAAAAATGTTAACTCCAATATCCCTACAGATGGTAATGTAGAAACTACATTGCTGGTTTAATTGGGTAGTCACTGCATTTTCCAGATGCTGAGTTATTAATATTTCAAAATTTGCTTAATAATAGAGTTGTGCTATTAACATCTGCAAACTGACTGTACACAGCCATAAGAGCTAAATTCTTCCATTAACCTTTAAAGAAAGCTAATCTATTAATAATTAGAGACAGATCATACAGGAGAATCTACTAGGTAGTCACTAAGAGTTGACACCAATTTGATGGCATTTATTCAATCAATCTACTAATACTACTAAGAATAGCAAGATAGGGTTGCTTTGGATTGTGGTAGCATATAATTGTTTTGTGTTTCATGATTATTATAAAATTAAAAAAGGCCCTTTTCCATTTATGAAGCAATCAACTAAGAATAAATGATATGGAACATTTGAAATAAATAACAACTGAGAATATTCTTAATGACAACTACTTTTCCTTGTCTGTTATCTTCTATCAAGCAGCCTTAACTAAACAGGAGAAACTATATACCTCTAAGTTTTTTCTACAGGAGGACAAACAAAGAACATGCTGTTGCAAGAAGGAAATATTATAGAAAAAAAGATTTTGGTTCAGGGTTATTACCCATTCAAAAGGAAGAAGGAATTCACTGTATTTTTTTTAGTGTGAGCTTATTTTAGCATGGGATTGCTATGTATTTCTAATCCATCAGTTTCTTATTTCATTCAACCTTCTCATGCCTACTCTTCTGAATTTTGTCGTATTTCTGAAACTTTTCTCCCAACAAAGGAAGAAATCATTATAGTTTAATTATTTCAACTTATGCTTATGTGTTAATTATAAATCCATTATGATTCATAATACTGTATTAATATCTATTAGTATATAAAATGTCAGATCCTATCCTGCAGCTTTTTTACATTCAACCCCGGGTTGTGAAAGTTGAGTGGTGGTATTTAAAATCTAACAAAATCAAACAAGTTGAAATGTCATATTTATTTCACAGAGACAGGCCAAGCCAGGAGGAGTCAAAGAATTAGTCTAGAATCTCTATGTAAGCATAAGAGAATGAAATCTAACCTACCCATCCCCACCCCATGCTGTTGAATCTTATCTATCCTAACCCAGGTACAAACCATCATTCTAAAACATTCCTGCATATAGGCTTGAGCAATAAAACAGTTAGTTGAATTCTTCATGTGTGGATCTGATGGATCTGATTGTTTGCACCTAACAATTAATGACTAGGCCATTAGATAACTTTTCTTATGAACATCAGCAAAATAAATATATTAGGCAGTTTCATGCACCAATCTGAAATATAATTTTAAAAAGAGATTAATTATGATAAGTTTTGTAATCACTGTATTCTAGAATGTTTTGACATGAGCATGCTGGTTTTATAAAACTTATGCCAAAACCCCCAAATAGGTATTTCTGGTACATTCAGGTCATGTTTTCATGTCTTACCACAATCAACAATATGTTACACTTACTTTGCAAAATGCAAGCTCATACTTTATATCTTCATAATCTTGGTCTTCAAGAAAAATACATTTCTTAAGTGTAAATACTAAATAACAATAGCATAATTTTTAAATATACAGATTATCCTCATTTAGCAACTGCCTTAGACAACAATTGTTTGTAGTACAACTGTGATGAAAAAATAACTTTGTATCCAATGCCCATATTTGCAACTTCACAGAAGCTCTCTGTCAAATGTTTACCATTATAGTCACTAAGTATTAGTGTTGTTCTGTGACTGACTTGTTTTTCTTTCCACTCACTCTTGTAGAAATTATCTAACAAGCTATCTTTCCATGGCACAACTGTTCTAATCTCATGCTCAGTTCTCTGACCTTAATTAGTTGATTAGATCCCTCCCACTGCTGCCTGATACTGACAAGACCCTAATCAGTTTCACACTAAAAAGTTTTTGTTTGCTTCCTAAGTAGCTCTTGCTTACAGCCATAAAAGGACTGCTGTATGCCTGCTTGTTCTCTTGTAATCCCTTCCTCTGCAATGAATCTAAGCACAAACATTAATTCACTTTTTGTTAATTATCCCAGTAGTGTGTGAACATTCATACAGCGGGGGAGAAAAAAAAGAGGGGGGAGTGAAGGGTTATAAAATTTGCCCTTTCATTAATTTTCCTCATGAATTGATACTCAGAAACCTTCCCTATGTTTGGGCTCACGTAGCTTTTTAGAGTCGTTTCCTTCTGATACTGTATTATCAAAGGAAAGCTGAAATAAAATTGTAAGTGCAGGCCATAGTCATGTGATTTTCATTTAGCAAAACTTTACTTAATGACTGAGTTACAGGAACCAATTGCAGTCACTAAATGAGGACTACCTATATTTTTGCTGTTCAGCATAGATCTATTACAGATACTACAAATTATACTGATAGGTCTTTTAAAGCGATCAAAAAGGGGAATTGTATCAAGTAATTTCTGAAATTATTTCTGAAAAATAAACAGATGAAGGTGGAGAGAAAAGCAGTTTGCTTTATAAATAATAAGCCAACTAAATCATACATAAATAAGTTTTAATTCTAACTCATCTAAAAATCAGGCATCATATCACAACAAAAAATGAGTTGAATAAAATGAGTTCTTAATTTGTCTGAAATTAATCACTGTCCTCACCTTGATTTGCCTGTTGAAGTCACCGCTACAAAATGTTTGCAAAGGTACGCTGAATTTTTTCCAGGAAGGATTTAAATTGTTCTTAATTACCTAAAATATTATTTTAAATAGTTATAATCAATGTATATTATGAAAGCACACGTTTTCTCATATTTTTATATCTCTCCCCCAAAAATTTTTTGGGTCATGGTCACATTTGTCCAAGACAACCACAATGTTACCTTATAGTCTTACACTTTTTTCTGAAGTAACATTTGTATTTGTTGTAAGCCTCCACGTGAGATGAGTGGCATATAAGTTGGTTGAATGAATAAATGAATGTTAGCATTCCTTAAATTAATGAATTTGTTTCATTTCCTAAGTCCTATTTAAATACATTTTCAATATGTGCTTCAATTAATATTTCAGTTCCATCATGGATGAAAGTTTAAGTTGGCTAGGCCTACAAGATTCCTAGAGCCAGTTTGTGAAGCCTTCTTCTATCAACATCCTAATTGACTTGTTTGTTGATATCCAATGATTAACAGAGTCCAAAAAATTACAGGCAGAAATCTACTTTGCCTCTGAATAGCTGTTCCTGATGGCCAGTATAGAATTAAGTGAAATGAAATATCTTTTTATGAGGTAGGAACTCTGCTTACACGAAGTGCTTATTTCTGACCTCTGCAAATAAGAGTTCAGTTTTGTAGCTGAATAACTTTTAAGGGCTGACCTAATACTTTGGAAATAGCCTGCCCAAAACATTCCATACTTTACCTGGAATCTATACGGCATCATTTCTAAAGCTTCTTTGCACTTACAATTTGACCGAAACTTATCCCTGTCCTTCCCATAGCCAAGCACTCCTGCTGGCCTTTGCATTGTCCAACAATGGCCAAGAATCCCTGTCCCCAAAGAGTGCAAGTGAGATAACCAATGATGGTAGAGATCACTTTAATCTGAGAACAGGCCATAGTATCACTGAATGTGATACTCGTTTTCCCCTCCCTGAGAGGCATTTTATATAAATGCATGCCCCAAGGACTTTTACTCTTCCTTCTCCTTTTTGTTGACATAACTCCATCATTTGCAAGAGACTGAAGCTTCAGAATAATAAAACAAGTCTGAAGCTCTGCAGAAATTGTTGAAGAAAGACATGGCAATTAGAGAAACCCATCCTACATCACGGGAAATCAAAAATCTGTCCAGATCAATCTTATTTGTCCAAATTGAAACACCATCCAACTTCAAACATAGGCCTGCAACTCCCCATTAATATATAACAACTCTTAATGAACAAAGGTGGAATCGCTGGAAATCTTACCTCTGATCGGTATACAAGTTGCCATTTTCCACTATCACTCTGTTTATAGAATTCCAAAAATGGGTCTGATTTGCCCAAGAAGTCCTGTATTGGGAAAATATTTTTTATATAGACATAGGAAAACTAAAATGTTTCATCTAAAGCAATGTATAGATAGTCCTTGACTTACAACAGTTTATTTAGGAACCATCTGAAGTTACAAACACCCCCCCCCCCAAAAGGGACTTATGATTGTTTTTCACACAACCATTGTAGCGTTCCCTATGGTCATGTGATCAAAATTCAGATGCTTGGCATCTGACTCATATTTATGACAGTTGCAGTGTCCTAGGATATGTGATCTCCTTTTGCAAACTTCTGACAAGCAAAGTCAATGGGAAGCCAGATTCAGTTAACAACCATGTTACTAACTTAATAGTTGTAGTGATTCACTTAACAACTGTGGCAAGAAAGTTTGTAAAATGGGGCAAAATTCACTTAACAACTGTCTTGCTTAGCAACAGAAAATTTGGGCTCAATTGTGGTCATTAGTCGAGGACTATCTCTACTCTTCTAATTATTTCTATTATATACAAAACCTATGGTAAACTATTAAAAAAAACCTTTCACAGATTCAATGAAATACTCCTACGTTCTGACTTGTAATGGTCATTTTCTTTTACAGATTTCAGTACATTTCTCATTTAAGAGCCTGAAAATATTATATGATCATGCCTTGGGAATATGCTTAATGTAATTTGCACTAAATGCAAGTTAACTAGAGTTACAACTATTATTCTTTTTTAGGAAACCTATAGGCTGAGGTAGCCATCTATATTTACCTACAATATTCATCAATGAATCATGAAATTTCCTATTAACAATTTCAGTCAATTGTCAATTCTATCTTTGTCTGATTTTGAATTGCAGAAGCTCATATTTGTAACATCTAGCCTAATTATTTGCTCATTATTTTTTTACTTTTCCTTGCCTCTGGACTTTTGCTTGATTTTTTGTTTGAAAGAGGAAACCTTAAATATTTTCATATTCTTTTGCTCTATTTTGATTAATCACACTTAAAATATTACTTGACTATGGATATTAAAATTTGGAATGGATTTTGGAATTGGAGCATAGTTATGATGGCTTTTTATACTCTTTAGGAGTTAATTCTTTTCAACAAAACATTAAGAAAAGCTTATGTTATATTTTAGTAGACTCAATGTACATTTTTTCTTTCTTCATCTCTGTCTTCTTCCACATCTTAATTATTTCAATCTTTATCTATCTAGGGAACATTCAAGTTTTTATAACCATGTATAAAAACTGGTTAGTTATCTACCACTGAGATTCAAGTGGCCAGCTGTGAATTTATACATGTGTAATCTGCACTTGGCACAGAACAAGGTTCAAATTCTTAAGATTTCTGGGAGTGGAAAGAGAGAGAGACATCTCCCCCAATGACTGCTACTGTGACTTCAAGAAGAATTTCCAAAGGATGACTTATGTGACAAGAACAGATGTTATTAAGGGCAGCACTAATGACCCAAAGGTTAGGTCTATAATGCCTCAAAAACATAAAAGCTGATCCTATGTAACTGCATAATTAAAAAGACTGACATATTCTCAAGGAATGCAGAAGGCACTGAGATTACACTTTAATAAAATGTCCTTTGATTAGAATAAGGCATTGTTGTTTAGCTAGTTTATAAGACAAAAAGTCGGCACTATTCTTTTTAAGAAATTCTAAAATTATGGACTCATAAAATTGAATGCAAAAAGGTGGCCATAGCCAGTGAACATACAGTGATGCTTTAAAGTTGCAATGTTCAATATTTTAATACAAATATGACCTAAAATATGAACTGGTCTTCACACAAGTCCTAAAACTAGATAAAGAGAACTATAAAGATAATCCAATTAAGCACAATTGTATGTGTTTTGCCTCCTAAATGTATTGTGAAGCATAAAAAACAAAGAGAAAGAAAGTGAAGGAAGCCCCCTAAATGAGACAGAGTTGAGCCTTTCTTTAGCTACAATCCAGGATAATGATGGGGGAGGGGAAGAATACCAGATAGACAGTTTTCCTAGTAAAAAAGACACATAATTCTAAATTATGACAGACCTATTCTATTCTTGCTGCAATATTTAGCAGAATTCATCCTGGACTTTCCATAGGTATTGAAGCACCCAGTGCTAATTGTTCTTGGTGCAGGTGCAGTGAATGGAACCCTGGCAGAGTTACATGCCACTGTTCCTCAAAAGACAGAATCTCTCTTTTTTTTGCAGCGTGATTAATGTTAGCTGTGGATTTAAAAGTACTGTCACATATTAAGTTGCTGTTTCATCATGCAAGCAATCTCTGCAAAAAGTATTTGGGTTAGTTGTTGCTTGTTAACTGGAAGTCTACAGAAGGAAGCTACCTCATGCCAGAGGCACTATGGTACTAGATATGTAACGCTTATGCCCATTGAATTCAGTTTCCACTTTGCTTTAGTTACTTAGGGAAGGAAAAACTTAGCTGGAAGTGCCCAAGGACTCCTAGGAATGCCTTTTGCCCATACTGCTGACAATGTCCTGTACCAAATAAAGGGAAGGATACTGATATGTGGTAAGCCAACAGCATGGTAGGAGGCCTCTTTTATTAAAACACTAATAGCATTGGAATAATATATGGTAGAAATACTGCATACATACAGCTTCAAAACACTAGGTCTAGGTCTGTTGCCCCACTTCCACATTCAAAGAATGAGATTTATCGATTGCCTCCTCTGAAAAAAAAAGCAGAAAAGCTCTGGTGGAAAAATAGGGGGTTGTTTCCAACTTTGTTTCCAACTTTCACCACTGGTGAATCAATGTAGACGAACTCAGTCTAAGATAAGTGATTCTGACTCAGTAAGTTCTGGAGGTTCATTCCTGGACAGAAGGGGCGTTGTCTTACCTGAATGCCTTTTCTCAGCAGGATGATGTAGAGTCCAATGGTTGGGTTCTATGACAGCCTTCCTGCCCGGCGGACTGGGTAAAAACTTTGGCCACACCCTTCCCTTGGGCGTGACCCCCGTTTTGACTTAGGCGAGAATTGTTTGTTGGATTTGATACGGTAGCTCCTTGTCCAATACCTGCCTAGATCTAATACCTGGGTGGGCTTGGACTCTACATCATCCTGCTGAGAAAAGGCATTCAGGTAAGACAACGCCCCTTCTCCAGCAGGATGGCTGTAGAGTCCAATGGTTGGGACATACCAAAGCCCTCATGTCCCCCTGGGAGGGAGTGTCTAGGCCACTGAATCCTGAGCAGATACAACTTGCTGTAGCACTCTTCTACCAAAGGCAGCATCCGCTGCTGCAAAGGAGTCTAAACAGTAATGCCTAATGAATACGGAGGGAGAAGACCAAGTTGCGGCCTTGCAAATCTCTTCCACCGATGCTTGTGTGGACCACGCAGCCGATGTGGCTGCGCTGCGTGTTGAATGGGCAGTCACTTGCGGGGGCACTGGTAGAGCCTGCGAGACGTAGGCTTGGGCTATACAGGCTCTGATCCACCTACCTATGGTAGAAGATGACACCTTCTTCCCCATAGTTGATGGTTGGAAGGAAACAAATAATGCTTCCGTCTTATGGAAGGACGAAGTGCGCTTCACGTAAAAACACAACGCTCTACGTACATCCAGCTTGTGCCATCTCTGTTCTAGTCTATGTCTGGGTTTTGGGCAGAAATCAGGAAGAATCAGTTCCTGAGATCTGTGGAAGATGCTGTTTACCTTTGGAATGAATGCAGGGTCTGGTCTACGAACGACCTTGTCTTTGAAGAAGGTGCAGAGATCCTTCCTCACTGACAGTGCTGCTAGTTCCGAGATTCTTCTCGCTGAAGTAATAGCCACTAGAAAGGCTACCTTTAACGATAGGTGATACAGAGAACATGAGTCAAGAGGCTCAAAGGGTGCTGATGTCAAAGCTTGAAGAACTTTGGGCAAATTCCATGACGGGTACCTGTGTATAACAGGAGGTTTAGTATTGGCCGCACCCTTCAAAAAGGCGCTAATCGCTGGATGTTGTGCCAGAGAGGTTAAGTTGTCCCAGGAAAGTACAGTTGAGAGGGCCGATACCTGTCTACGAATAGTGTTGACTGACAGGCCCTTATTAAGTCCTTCCAATAGGTAATCTAGAATATTGGGAATAAATACTGAGGTTGGATCTAGGTGAAGTAGGACGCACCACCTGGAAAAACCTTTCCATGTAGCATCGTAGATACTGTTTGTCGAAGGTCGTCTTGATGCTTGTATGATCGATATCACCCCTGAGGAATAGGATTGCTTGGCTAAACTTTGCCGCTCAAATGCCAAGCGGCTAGTTGTAGCCACTGAGGATCTGGATGTAAAAGTTTGCCCTGACTGAGTATTACTCGGTCCGGGGGAATCCTCCACGGGGGTGATATTGAAAGATCCACGAGGTCGGCAAACCACGGGCGCCATGGCCAATGTGGAGCAATCAAGATTACTTCTGCGCCTTCCAGGATCAACTTGCGTATGGTTGCCGGTATTAATGGCAGTGGTGGAAAGGCGTACAGGAGTTGTGGCGGCCACCGACACCTGAGAGCGTCCGTTCCCTCCGATCCCGGAGTCGGGAATCTGGAGAAGAACCTGGGGAGTTGAGTGTTCTTGGGAGTGGCAAATAGGTCCAGATGCGATTGTCCGAACCTCCGTGAGATCTTCTCGAACAGAGCCGGATCCAGACGCCATTCCGACTGATCCACCTTGGCTCTGCTCAGGGAGTCTGCCTGGGTATTTGTCTCCCCTGAGATGTGTTCCGCTCTGATGGAACTCACATTTGTTTCTGCCCACCGAACCAGAGCTGATACCTCCTGCATTAGTTCCGAGGATCGTGTTCCTCCCTCCTTGTTGACATGGGCCTTGGCTGCTACGTTGTCTGTTAGAACGAGAACGTGTCTTCTCGTTACTATGTGGGAGAATTGACGTAGAGCAAGGTGAATGGCCCGAAGCTCCAGCCAATTGATGTTGTGAGTGAGGTCCTCCTGATTCCACTGGCCCTGCGCTATCTGAGTTCCCAGATGTGCTCCCCATCCGAATAGGCTCGCGTCTGTCGTGAGCGTGATCTGGTTCGGCTCCCTGAATATACTCCCCTTGAGCATCATGGGGGATATCCACCAATTCAATGATTTCAGTACATTTTTTGGTACCAAGACCCTCCTGCTGGAGGTACTGAGGCTCCTCCTCTGATAGGGGAGGAGGAACCACTGCAACTCCCTTGAGTGGAGTCTTGCCCATGGGACAATGCCCATGCAAGATATCATCTTTCCCAGGAGCTTCGAGAGTTATATCATAGGTACTCTCTTGTCTTTCTGAATTTGATGAGCCAGCTTGGAGATGCTGCTTCGACGCTCCTGGGAAAGATATACCCTGCACTGGGATGAGTCTATCACCGCTCCCAGATGCTGTAGCTTCCTTGAGGGAGTGAGATGGCTCTTCTCTACATTGACTGAGAATCCGTGTTCTTGTAGAACGTGGTCTGGAGGTCTAATTTTGCTTGCTCCTGTGAGCTGGATTGAATCAATATGTCGTCCAGATAAAACTGTACACGCACCGGCATCAGCCTGAGATGGGCCGCTATTACTGCTAGGATTTTGGTAAATACCCTTGGGGCTGAGGATAGACCGAAGGGTAGTGCCCTGTATTGATAATGCCGGTGTGCGTAGGTAAATCTGAGAAATTTTCGGTATTTGGGGTATATGGGAATATGCAGGTACGCCTCCGTGAGATCTATTGAGGACAGGAGGTCGCCCTTCCTGACACTGGTTAGGATGGATTTCAGGGACTGCATTTTGAACCTTCTGTAAGTTATGTAATAATTCAGGCCCTTTAGGTCCAATATTGCTCTCCACCCTCCTGATGGCTTCGGTATCACAAAGAGGATGGAATAAAATCCTCTTGCTTCCTCCTCCTTTGGTACCCTTTCTATGGCCTGAATTGACAAGAGGTGTGCTATGGCCAAGGTTATCAGCCTTGCCTTGTGTACCTTTTTGGAGATGGGACATCTGATGAATCTGTTTGGTGGGGAAGAACAAAAGTCTAAGGTCAGGCCATGCCTGATTGTCCCCAAGACCCAGGCGTCGGTAGTGGTCTGCTCCCAGACCTCGATGAAATTCCCTAACCGACCTCCTATGGGAGTGTCCTGTCTGGCGTCACTTGGCGCGTTTAAAGGGTCGGCCTCCCGATCCTCTAAAGGGCCGCCTGGACTGAAACTGGCCTCTGGCTCCCCTGTTTGGGCGATCCTGGGAACAATCCTGTCTTGAATAGAAGGATCGTGAGCCTCTAGACCAATCCCAGGATTGCCCTGATCGAAAGGGCTGTGCCCAGTCCCAGGCGTTGCCCGAGCGTAAACTCTGCCTCCGGAATTCCTGACTGCCTCTCCTGTCTAATTTCTTTGATGGATGGACTAGAATTTTCCTTTTGTCCCTACTCTCGCTTACATGTGGATCCAGAATGGATCCAAACAGAAATGACCCACTGTACTTGGACGTCGAAAGACGCCACTTGGCCTTCAGATCTGTCTTCCAATTCTTGAGCCACAGTAATCTGCGAGAGGCTACTGTGGCCGAATTGATCTTGCCGCATACTTGATTGCGTGAAGTGAGGCGTCCGCCATAAATTGTGATGCCGCCAGTATCTTGGCCAAAGTTTGGTGAGCTCTGACCTGATCTGGAGGTACAGTGGTTTGTAGCTCACGCAGCCACATTATACACGCCCTGGCGAAGAATGATGATGATGTTGCCGCCTTGGCCGCCCAGGCTGCGGCCATGTGGGAACAACGGAGGGAGTGCTCAAATTTCTTTTCCTCTGGTTTCAAGGCCTCCGCCATGTCCCCTGGAATCGCAGAAGTAGAGAATAATGAGATCAAGGGACTGTCTATTGCAGGGACATCTAACATGCCCGAAAAGGAAGGAGAAACATTGAATAGTTTCCTCTACACGCTGCTAGGTGCTGGTGGTGTTGCTAGGGAACCCCATTGCTCCTCTATCGTGGTACGGAAAACCTCAGGACAAGGAATGTACTTGTCCTGTGGAACTTTCTTGGCAAAGAGAGGGTTTGCCTCTTTGCTAGTAGAAGGATTTTCCTCCTGAACTGAGGTCAAATTGACCGTAGAGACTGCCTTTATCAGAAGTGATTTTAGAAGAGCTGGATCAAAGAAGCCAGAGCTCGTTGCCTGCCCAGGAGCGGTGCCCTCATCCTCCGAGAGGGGCATATCAGACATGTCTAGGTCTAGTAAATCTCCCTCTCCGATTTGAGAGGAAGTTTCAAAAATGTTTGTAGCCGGAGCCTTGCTTCGTCCCTTAAGGGATGGCTGAAAGGCTACTTGGCCCTTAGAAGCCATGAACTGGGAAAAGGCATCCTGCATGAATGCCTGAAATTGTGCAGACCAGATGTCCTCCTGAGCTCTGTCCGTGGACGCAGCCACAGTGGGAGTATGGTCTGGTGACGAGTCAGGTGAAGAGGAGTGGGAGGAGTCCAACTGTTCGGTTTCCCCCAGAGGAGACCAAGTTCTGAGAACCTCCTGGGGGGTAGGTTCTGTAATAGGGGCCACCAATGGGGCAGGGGAAACCATGCTTGCCCCATTGGAACTGGTTTTCTGGGCCCTGGCAAATTGTCTTTCTAAAGCCAAATGTCTCCTCGAGGCCTCTCGCTCAGCTGTTTTGGATGGGCCCCTTTGAGTCAGGTGCTTTGTTTTAGCCTTCTTCTTCCCCCCCACCTCAGATTCTGAGGATCTGCGTTTTTGTTGTTGGGGGGGGGCAATTGGGGGCCCTGCGTAGCTGAATACGAGACATTGTCTGCCATTGTGGCCAGGTATCCCGAGTAGGCAATACCTGGGGTGGGGAATGAATAGTACGCAGATCGGTTGCAGATAATTAAGACCTAGAAGGCCTATTCTGCCCAGAAGAAACAATGGCCGGACAGACAGGTCCCTTTGCAAGGAAGGATCCTGTGGGCCTGTGACTAAAGGTCACCTTGAAGAACAGTGGAACAGTTCAAACTTTTCTCCCCTTCCTTCACCAGGGTTGATTGCAATGGCACTGATATAAGGCCAAAGGTTTGCTAGTGCTGTGAGTATAAATTCCCCAATCTGTGGCTGTAAAGACAGTCCACCGGGTGTGCTTATAAATGTCCTTCTACCTTTCCCTCTGCCTCTCTATCCCACACTCCTGTGGAAAACCTTCAAGTATATTTAATGGAGGCTATAAGAATACACCCAAAATGGAGGCTAAAGGAGGTGCACTCAAAATGGCGTCTGGGTGAAGGCCACGCCCTCCTATTAACTGCCAAAGAGAACCACGAGTCTCAAAATGGCGGATTTGTCTCCAATGGTCACTCCGTTGGCTGAGGAGGCTTTTTGGGGGGGGGCAGAAGCTAGGTACTGGTGCCTTAACAATCCCCCTGAAACAGGCCGCGCTCTCCCAGGTAATCCGGTGAAACAAGGGTTAAATTAAAGCCGGCCATTAAGGACTGGGCGAGTTGCCGTGCTGGCAAACCTCCAAAAACCTTGAACGCCGCTGTTCTGACTCGCCCTGTTCCGATTTCGCGCGCCCCAGCTGGTCCGGGAGATAAGGGCAGCCGACGCTCCCTGTATCTCCGCTGCCTCTCGCAGGCTCTCTCGGCAAATTTTTTTTTTTTTTTAAACGATACTCTCACCACCTCCTCACGCGACGCCTGTGGGAACAGCGATCTGTCGGCTGCTCGGAGCCTCGAGCAAAGGCTGAAAGGAAAAAAGCCTCCCTGTGAGTTTTCTAATTGAATTGTAAATTTTAGCAGAGGGTTTTAGGTCTAATTGTCAATCTCTGTCAGGAGCTAATTTGCTAGCTGGTAACGGGCTTCGAGACTGAGTCAAAACTGGGGTCACGCCCAAGGGAAGGGTGTGGCCAAAGTTTTTACCCAGTCTGCCGGGCAGGAAGGCTGTCATAGAACCCAACCATTGGACTCTACAGCCATCCTGCTGGAGAAGTGGAGACTCAGATGGAGACTGAAGCTTTGGGATTAAAATGATTTCAAAATTAGAACATGACTGAACTACTAGAATTATGTTTTTATACTTCTTTTTACCTTTTTGTCTAAATTCCGAGCTTCAACATCAATAGAAACAACTCTGGTATCTTTAATCTCTTCTGCACAAATCTGCAGGTTGAAGGAAATGTTGTATTAGTAATCTTGGAAGACACTCTATTATTGTAGAATATTTATTTAAAAATTAGTTTGGTTAAAAAAAATTATAAACCACAATGGATACATCATATTAGGTTAACTGAAGGGGAAAATGCTTGAGATATATTAAACTCTAGAAGAAACAGATGTCTAACTTAACTCATATATTCACAACAAATTATAACTGAATTTTCCTTTTACCGTAATAGTGCCTTTTCCTGCAGGCTTTCCTTTCTTCAACATTAAAGGCTGAACAAGTATTTTACTTGATACAATCTAAAATATAAATTGCACACATTATTCAAATTATATAAGAAAAATATGAAAATGTGCCTTATAATTATTTATACTGTAAAAGTCTGAATGATTAATCTTTTCCAATAAAAGATTACACTGCATGGTTATTTTATAAGAAAACGCTTCTTGGGGTCCCTAAGCAGGACAATTTTTAATCAGCATGGATTCTCAAACTATGGGTTCAGATGTCCAGGGGGTATGAGTAACTTAGAAGGACAGTCACAATTTTTATTTAAAACACTTATTTAGGATTGGACAGTCAACATGGGAGAACTGTCAAAATTAATTTTAGGTTGTGTTCATTTTAATTGTGCAAGCTAGAAGGCAGTAATTAGTACTACAAAATTTGAGGACCTCTGTGACATATAAATTTAAATCTTCTTGTTAAAATAAGTGATGTATTTTTTAGCTGACTCCAATTAAATAATTTGATTTATTCATGGGAGATATATCCAAATACATTTAGCACTTTAGGGGTTTGTGGCATAGCAAATTTTGGGAATTTTTTGAGATCAAACAATTTTTACATATAAAATTACTGTTCTTACGAATGCAATCCTCCAAGTGAAATGGAGAAATAATTGGCTGTACAGTTGTTTAAGGATTCTGCCAGATAGCATCCAAGAAACCCAGGAAATCTCCTTCCTCTCAACAAGAATAACAAAACGGAAGAAAGAACAGTAATTTGCTATCTCTTTGCTTAACTTAAAGCTTCTGAACATTAATATCTCCTTTTAATTATTCACCATCAGCAAAAAATAAATCTAAACTTTTACTTAACATTTTATATAGTAATGATCATAGTTGTTTACAGTACCTGACCCAGGGTACATTCAGCACCTCCAAGATAATCATCATCACTTAAGTCATATGACTTATTATCAATATCATATATACCAAATTTCAGCTTTTGAACTTTCTCAAAATAATAATCAATTAGCAGCTTTTTTGAAAATTGAGGATTCTGGCAATTCTTTATTTTTTCAGTTCGATCCAACTAGGAAAACAAAAAGAAAGAAAAGGGGCTGCTTAACACATAATGCAGTGTGAACAAACAGATTCATATATAGCATTCCCCCGGGCTTCATTTCACTTCAGGAGATCCGTAGTATGAGGCAAGTTGACCTCCAAGGAAGCTTGTCTGCTTTTTTTCTAAGCAGAAGTGTTCAGAAAAACATGATGCTGTTCTTCTATACATAATTAGAAACCATACCTCACTATCAGTAATGAATATTCTGGATTTTTATACACCACTCACCTCCAAACTTTTAATCTTTGGGTGAAAATAGGATTTTTATCTAATCAAATTAACAGAACTATGTGTAACTATGTTGGACGATTATAAAAACTTATGCTATTTTGAATAGGACCAACTTGTGATTGAACAAAATGCTGAGTTTTCCTATTCTATTTCTAGGTAAAAAAAGATAAAGGAGTCCCTGTGAATTTTACTCCGCTAATTATTGGCTGACTGAAGGGGAAAGTGCTCATCTCCATTTCAAGCCCATTGAGTCAGTGCTGTCTGAAGACATTTCCACGGTCATGTATCCAGCATGACATCATGAAACACTGTTACCTTCCTACTGAAGTGGTACTTATTCATCTACTCGCATCTATTATTCATCTACTCCCCCTGCCTGGGCAGGGGGTTGGACTAGATGACCTCCAAGATCCCTTCCAACTTTGATGATGATTATGATGAGGAGGAAGAGGAGGAGGATTAGGAGGATTTGTAGGCTTTCAAACTGCTAGGCTGGCAGAAGCTGGGACGAGGATAGGAGTTCACCCCATCATGTGGTGCTTGGGTCTCGAACCTGGGCTGCTGGCTTTCCAGCTGACAAGCCCAGCATTTTAACTGCTGAGCCACCACCCCCACCCCATTCTATTTCAAACAAGATATTAAATAAATGTTTGAATGTATATGAATGTAAAAGAAAAAAGAAAGAAAAAGATAAAACATAGTCTTTGAGATATCGCGTCCAGTATTTTTCTACAAAATGCTGAGAAAGGTAAAATGAAAGCAAAGAAGTACAATCAGCAGCAAGGTGAATGAATTCTATTAAAACTTACTTGGGTATACAGTTAGGTTTGGGAAGATCTAAACAGCCTGGTTAGGGTCAGATCATCCTGGAGAAGGTTTATTTGTGTAATTGCTAAAAATAAAGTTCTTGCAACATGCTATATCCAAATGCTGCTTCAAATAATTAAAAGGAATTAATTAAACGCAATAATAATACTTTCAATATTACAAAGAAAATGTATATTATCTGTAGACAGATAAAGCCAATGTGTATGCATTCCAAAAAAATGAGTAAGAGTTCCTTTCTCATTACAGTCTATTTCTTTTTCTCATTTCAAACTATTCAATAATAAGAAGCAAAACTATTTAACAATAAATAAATTTTAAAATTGAATTGGTTATGCCAGTGATGGCGAACCTTTATAGACTGAGTGCCCAAACCTCAACCCAAAACCCACTTATGTATTGTCGGGTGCCGGGTGGGCGTGGCCCATTGGGTGGGCGTAGCTGCAGTGGTAATAGCTGACTAGGTGGGACTAAAATGTTCAATCAATCAATTCCAACTTTGCGGGATCTTTTTTTTTTCCCATGAGAAGTTGAAATTGATTGATTGAACCTTTTTTTTTTTTTTTTGCACACGGCGGCAGAGACCTAAAACGAAAAGGTTTTATAAAACCCAGCTGAAGGCCTAGGACTGGGGCAACAGCGCACGTACCCACAGAGAGGGCTCTGCGTGCCACCTGTGGCATGCGTGCCATAGGTTCACCACCATGGGGTTATGCCAAATAACTAAAAATTGAATGTACTAATAAAACTCATTTTGAGATCATTTAATTGTATTTATGGTGGTTTATGCGAACTGAAATTTGCCAAAGTTTGCCAAAAATAATTCCTTGGAATTGTTTCAGCTGAAGTTAATTTAATCATATTTAAAATCAATCTACATCAAAAGGCTTTACCTACATCTGGTAATTTTATTACCATCAAAAATTCCTTACTTCAGTCCACTGATCACCACCAACATTTTGAAGCAAGACACACAGAGGATCAGATTTTGAGCCAACATCTTTATCAATCAGGTTGTCACAGGAAATGGACAGTTCCACCTTGGTCACGCAGTGAGCCATCTATAAACAGATTGAAAACAAAATAATGAATAGTCATTAAATGATAAAAAATTCAGTGTACAATGTGTATAGAATCTGGATTGATTTATATATCAATGTATCTGTTGATAATGTACTTCATTAGTTCTGTATTGGTTTCTTATTGTTGCTATTCTTTTAACATTTAAACCAATCAAAGAATGGAACACAAATGTTAACAAAGCTGAATGAATTTGGCTGAATACCAACCAAATCTTTTTCACCCCAACATATTTATACTATTATGAAAATAATCATGCAGCAACTATATTTAGCAAGATAAATATGTATTTAAACCGGCAGATATCTAATCTGTTGTTTAATATTGTTTTCATACTATTCCTTTAAAACAATACAAGTAAAAGTCACAGAAAAAGATAAAAGTTCAGAGAACATAACTCCTAAGTTTTTCTTCCTAATGTAAATAATTTCAAAAGCAACAGAGAACTAAATGATAGCAACCATGTCAGCAGTCCCATACAACACCCCAAAAAATATTCATTGCTGCAGAGTGCCAAATGTATAATTATATCAATAATGAATGAAATGCTATAATCTATTTAGTTTCTGTTGTGACAGTTCTGTCACTCCACTTCCCAGATTCTCAAAATACTGATACAACATCAGTTTCAGACACATTAGACTGGGTAAATCAATATAAAGCAGACTGCCTCTTGAATATATGGGCACCTAAAATATAAATGCAAGTATGATTTGTCTACATTGAATTCTAAATCTGAACAACCACAGAAAGGATAATATCAAACAGTTTCTGCATACTTAAAAAACAAAAATTTCAGCAATTCAAATATTAATATATCCAGCTAGATATTCTTTTCAGTTGGACAGACAACAGTAGTCTCCAAATAAAAACTGTGTAATACATGTCACACATGTTCTATTGGTGGCATTTCAATAATTATTTACAATAACTTTATATTGATGAATAACTAAAAAAAAAACATTTAAAAGGTTAAAATAGTTTATCACTTACTTTGAAAATACGTATTTAATTTTAAAAATCCTATCGCTAGATAATTGTGCACTCCAATGTCTAATATAATAACAGCAAAAACCAAAGAATTTATAAGATAACTAATTTGATATCTGAAAACTATGTAAATATCCCATTCCTCTCTAGCACAAGAAAAAAAATTAAATCAATGAATATTATTTTCAAACTCTAAAGCATCAAACTACACTTACATGCACACAGTGGTAGATATGAACATTCAACTGCTTTATGTAGTTCCCAAAGCACAGTGTGAACGGTAAACTTGAATATCAACCAGCTTATATAACAGAGCCTGAACTAACATGCTAACAATACTCTGTACTAGAATGAAGAAAAAATATTTGTTTTTTTTTTAGGGAGTGCAAAATCATATCGCAGTGGAAGTCAGAGCAAACAAGAAACACCCTGTCAGATCCAGAAATTTAAAATTCAGCTGTTTAAGATTTGGCTTTACAAATTAAAAGCTCACTATTTTAATTCATGGTTTCCCATATAGTTCAATCAGTGTACTTGTTCTTGCCAGTTGGGTACGTTCCTGCTCTGCCGCTTTCCTCCATTTCAATGGATCCTAGTTTACTAATCCATTGCCAATTTTAAATTATGATATTTGGCTATTCTGTCCTCCTTACACATTTTTAATTTTTTTTCCTTTTCTGTGAATTCTCTTCTCTCTAATCATTCTCTTTGAACTTTGCTTTGAGTTCATTGCCTATTTCTGTCCTACCTTCAGTCATCTTTCCCTTGTGACTGCTGATTCTAAGTAGTTGTCACACAGGAGGCTACCATTGTTAGTGGTACTTGCTGCTTACATAAGGAGAACCTCTGAGGACAGCATGACTTTTTACTTAGGACAGTAGCCCCAACCTTTTGGGCACCAGGGACCGGCTCTGTGGAGATTTTTCCCCAGACCAGAGGGGCGTGGTTTCTCATGCTGCCTGCATATCGCAAATGGGGCTTCATAGCCCAGTTGCTGGCATGCTGCAGACCCGTGCCAGTCCACAGACAAGAGGTTGGGGACCCGTAACTTAGGACTTAGTAATAATTAGCATCTGGGGCAGTTCAACCTGTTTCTTTCCATGGTTTTTGAGTCACATCATTATCAACTCACTTTTGGATGTTATTCATTAAAAGCATCAATGGAATGGATCCTGTTAGCTAAAGCCTTCTCAATTGCATAGTCAACAAATAACAAGACAGTGACCAAAAATAAAAAAAACAAAAACAAAACTCAGTTGCTGGGTAGATCTGACCCCAGACTTAGTTCCCTAGCATCCCCATATAAGACACCACTGCATTCATAGTCTGCAACGTTTTGACTGTAACCAAGCTAGTATTCTTATACAGAAACTCAACTGTCAGCATTTCTTGCTGCAGGCTTTGTTTCCTGAGCGACTATAATGTCCATGAACATTCTATGCTGAATCAGTTTATTATCAAAAGCTTTGCTGCCACAAACTCGATGTAATTCAGATCAAACCAGATAAACATTAATGTATGACAGTAATTATCAGACATGGAAAAGCAAGATTGAAAAAAGGGCAGCAGCAATCAGTGGAATATATATATATATATATATATATATATATATATATATATATATATATATATATATATATATATATCCTCCATACTTAAAGCAAACACTGTTGTTATTTACTGAGTAACAAATTTCTAACAATAGTCTTTGTTGCTCTTTGAGTTTTGGTTGCTTGTTTACTCTCCCTTCTAGCACTGAAGATGTTACCTAGTCTACTAGTGAAACATCTACAATCCAACAATCAAACTGAGAGCAACAAGGATTTCAGAACAACCTTGAGTTACATATATTCATGTCAAATGAAACTTCTGACATTCTTTTATGGACTGGTATGCATTCCTAATTCTCTCTATCTACACTATGAAATCAATAACATATGTTTACATTTACAACAATGCATATATTATAGTATTACCCTACAATAGTGTGGTAACATTATCAAGTCCATGATTATTGTTTCTTGCAATGGAATTTGCTACATATTGACAATGAAGGAAGCTATAGCATTAATAGTGATGATCCTTGAAAATGAAAAAAAGAAAAGCAAAAGATCAGGCAGGATGCTAAAAGTGAGAGAAACAAGGAAGCATAAGGGAGGCATTGAGGAAGCAGAAAACACAATAATCAATGCTGGCTTTTCATTTGAAAGGATCCTTTCATTGCTCTCCCACCTCATCTGTATCAATGGGTTTACCTGCAATTGCAATGCTGCTGACTTGATACTGATTTAATTTATGGCATCATTTGTCCAAGAGCATTTGTCAAGAGAATACAGGAAATTAAGATATTAATACTAAATCACTTGGTAGTTTTGTCAAAGTGACCTTGCAAATACAGAACATCATGGTAAGGCCTACAAAATGTGTATACCTCTGCATCTCAGTATGTATATATCTGGACCACAAAAAAACAAATATTAGATGGAACGTTGTTATAAAATCATGGCATATTGAAAAGGTGAAAACTCATAGATGCAAAATGTAGTTTTACAGAAGTGGCTTGCCACTGTCTTCTGGAAAATTTGCTCAATTTCTTAGGCTAGTCCCAGGGTTTCCCAATAGTCTTCCATTCAAGTGTTAATCAGTATTGAGTTGGGGTTTTTTTTCAGTTCAGGCAAGATCAGCTAGATGGTATATTAATTTATTCTGTAGGTTTCAAAGCCCAATGGCTCAACTTACATTTTACAGTATTTACATTTCTGAGGAAATGTTATCCTGCACCTCCTGATGGGAGTAGACTGAGTGATGTTTGCCTCATGTTGAACTAACCAATTAAAATACTCACCATCATCCTTTCAGGAAACTTTTGCCTTTGGGATTACCAATACTGCCAGCCACTCCTATTTTGATTGTAAGGAATGGGAAAGGAGGTGTATATTTAAGCTTCTAATGGACCCATCCTTATCAAAATGTTTTTCATTTGACTTGTTAGTATAATATTCTCCAATATGAATCTCTCTAGATATAATCCTGGACATTCCAAGAGCAGTTCAAGATATTTTGAAAAAGTCACGTTGAAAAAGATTTTTCTAATATGCTAATCAGAATATGCAACAGTACTCCAAGAGAGATTTAAGTATATGAACAAACAAATGAGAAGCTGTTTTGGTCTGCCTGCTACTATATATGTAAACTGCAAACAGTATAAAGAAAAGTAAAGAAACATAAAAGCCTGCATAAAGTTATATGATTTTACTCATTTCATAATCAAGAGAGATTTACTCTGGATGTTTGAAGAGTTTACAGTCATGGCAGTTAAAAGTTATGTCATCTAAAAGCTATTTCATCCCTGTCAGTCATTCAGTTGTGTCCAATACCAACACCTCGCTACTTTATGGATCAGTGTTCTCCATGCCCCTCTGTCTCGTATCACCTCCTTCAGATCCACCATGGTCATTCTCAAAGCTATTTACATTTGACTATATGATTCAAATAGTTCAAAATAAGTTTTCTAAGCTATGCATTGCATGGAATCTGTGTATTCACATTAATTCCTGAAGACTGACATATATGTGACCTTCAGTGTGACTTAGAAAGATTAAAATTCAGAAGAGACACCTCATCTTCTCGTTTCCTATAGCCTCATGCTTTGATTTTGTGCATGATCATCACTACAAACATTAACAGCATCTCAATTTGTATCTACACCTTGACCATAATGGAGCCCAGAATTCCCATAAGTCATGATAGTGATAAGCCAAGGCATCAATAGGACTGGACCTAAATTTAAAACTTTTGCAGTGGTCATTAATGAATCAATGTTCCTACGAGTGTTCTTTGCTGTAAATCAGCCAAAAGGCATCATAAATTGCAGTCACATGACCATGGAACACTGCAACTGGCCACAAAAGTGAATTAGTTGCCAAGAGTCTAAAATATGGAGTGGAGGTGTGCAACCATCGGAACTCCAGAATTGGATCATAATTAGCTT